AATTGAGCGGAGGCACTAGGTGGCGCCATTTTGTCTAATCTCCAGACACTCAAAGCCGAATTATCAATATCGGTATAGGAGCTGACAGAAACTAGATCCCTAGATCTAATGATTGTCACTATTATTGAAAAGAAAATGATTAGTCTCTCTTGAGTTGTATTCATTACCAGACTTAAGAAGCCAAAATGGCCATGCCTATACAAACAGACTTTCTTTTTTGGCTGTGTAGTACTAAAACCACTAACCTCACATTTTGGCTTGTAGAATCTATTAATCTCGACATTCCAAGCGCTCATGTTAAGTGATTCCCCCTTTGTGTTGTTGTGGTAAAAACATGACTTTGCACATGCTGTTTGTTTAAAGATTTGGTGTAATCCTTCAGATCAGGACTCAGCGGTAAAGTACACACCCCAACGCCCCATGCTAGTTTCAACCATAATTATGTTGGCAGCTGTCGTGTTTGGGTATGCTACGGGCCAATATGTGGAATTTCAGAAAAGCTAGGACAAAAAGGGTAAAAACACTCTGAAAAACATCATTCTCTTCCAACTAAAGGTTGACTGATCTGACTCTGAACGTTAAGAATACAATACAACAATACTGAGGCATTTTCTATGGGAGGGCGATATGCCAAAAGATTCATATCACTATTTTGTCGGAGCTATTTTGTCACAACTCATTACACATAGCATCTTTATATTGTCTTTAAGAGGTACCCTTTACTTGTTTTGACAGTTCACACTTCACTGTGACTGGCTGAATCCACCTGTCACTCACTGTAATAGTAATAGAAGAAGTGGGTTTGTGTATTTGAACCATAGAACTGCATTAAAGAAAACCACTGAATCACATATGACGATATCACCAGCATATTGTCACCGTTGTTTTTTATTGTTAGTTTTATTGTTGGGTTTATTGTTTCATTGTTTTATTGGAATGATTCAGCTTTCCGAGTACCACCATCTAGGAGGAGTCTAAATGTTCATTTGTTAATTTAAGTAGTAATTTAAGTATTTGCTTCCTCACACACCCTTTCGGACACAAGCAAACTGTGTGTGACAATTGGTTCGGTTTACTTGTTACACAAAAGTATTTCTTTTTTATAGTATACATATGCAATTATGTTTTTCTATTCTACTGTCCGAGTAAACATTCATTCATTCAAAGCAGGGCTGGGTCTAATCTAGGGCTAAACCAGGTCTAAAAGTGGACTACATCACTTGCACTGGAGTTCTAAACAAGAGATTATACAAAGGAGGACGAAACAGTGGATAGAGTGAACTTTAAATCCAGCAAAGCAACAAATTTAGGAACTGTCCTTGTACCACCTGAAGGAGCTTGGGACCACCAGTGGAAGATGATGTATCACTGTTTGAAAAACCTTGTCCTAGCCCATATTTTTGATCATTTCAAAGCAATGTGTGTTAAACTAGAGTTGACCCAAGATCTCAGGAGATAAAACTATTACAGTAACTGCAAAAGTATCATCCAAAATAAGATTTATTTTAAATTTGAAGCCCACATTGTGAACTGATACACAATATTTTATTTATTTAAAGGTCCTATATTATGCAGCTTTTAGCTGTATTAGAATATTGTTATCTAATCAAAAATGTATCCAGAGTTAAATTTTGTTTCAGTCACACATGCTTGAGTAACTCTTTATTATTAGTCTGTCTACATCTCCAAAGCTCTAAATGCTCTGTTCCACCTTGTGATGTCATGAAGCAGTAATTTTCAAGTTAACAACTACACTTTACCTTTTGTTTAGTAGATTAGATTGGCAATTACATGACTGAAATTATCCGAATTACTCTCGTAAAGGTTTATGGAATTTATTACCACATGACATCACAAGGTGGAACAGAGAGTTTTCTGTTTGAGGGACGAACTCAGCCTAAATATGCAGGATTTGTGTGTTAAACATGTGTGAATGAAACAAAACACAACCCCAGATATGTTTCTGAAGAGGAAAATAACAGATCACAGTAGGAATTGTCTTGCCCTCAAAACAGTTCTACCTAAAAAGCATTCATTTTCCACACCTGCTCTGTAAGACTTCATCCCAGTATATCGTACATACATATACTTATACCTCTGTAGTCTTCCATTTAGTATCAGTATATAAGTGAGCGGTTTCATTGTGGGAGCTGCTACATGAGAGGCTGACCTTTTGTTCTGTTTGCTTAGTGGGCATTCCTCTGAGTCCTGGCTCCGACCCAAGTCTAATCCACCGGACTCTCCGTGCCCTCTGCACACTGCACGCTGCTGCCACTGTGGGGACCTCATGGCAATACATCACATATGAAGGACCGTGTCAGCATTTTACACAGAAATATGAGCACATGTTAAAGATATGAATGTCCCACAGTCAGGAAAAACAAGTGGTTACATGTAGGACTGTCAAGAACGCATTTCCAATCACGATATATGGCTACAGAAAAATATTGCGATAAACGATAACAGAGAATACTTGTTGTATACTTTATGTAGTTAACTGCAAAAAATAAATAGCAACCCTCGATAGAAGTTAAGTATTCAACTCTTTGCTGTTAAAAAAAAAAAAAATCTAAAAGTTCCCCACCACTGGAAAGAAAATATACACGCGTTGTTTCATCCATCTATTGCATGATTTGTCTATGCAAAATGGAGCATTTTTTCTGATAGGCAAATACTTTTTGATCCCTGTTTTAAATATATTGTGTACTCACGGACACATTTATGAACACAGTCAAAGGTTGTATTATTTGTGTAATCCTTTACTATATTAAATGTTTTGCATGGCTGGCCAAGACTCCACGTTTTTACAATACTTGGATGTAGTCTGGAATGTGTTTACATAATTTCGGGGGAAAATATCTACAGTAGTTGCAGTTTCTTTTTAACAAGTCCAACTTTTCTAGTAGAGGGCTCACCACCTGCTCGTCTCCATGGTGATATTATTGTTTACCCTGGTACATTAAACATATCAGTCTTGTATTTCCTCAATAACATGGGTTTTTATTGACTTAAAAATTTGCATTCTTACTGTGAATGTGCTCGCCTCTCGACAGAACTGATGTCTTGGCCCTGTGGTGTCACTTGCTGTCCCTGTAGAGAGGATAAGTGGAATGCCATACTGTGGAACATTTCAGGCAATATCGCCATAGGATGCACCAGAAAAGACACATTGAACCTTTAAAAAGTAGGATTAGAGTGCCTATTGTTAAGAACTCCAGTAGCATTTACATTTGAGAGAAGACTGAAATATGAGCTGGTAAACTAATACTAGAATCCTATACATTTCAGAATATCTTTTGCAGAGGTCTAAACTATAGGTACAACAATATTTATCCAGAAAAGAGGATATGTAGTTCTTTGCAGAGGCCATTATTGTCTAAATATTTGCATCAGCTCAAATGGTTTAATGATTTGTTCACTAGCAAGGACCATGCCACAACAATGGAGTACAATAACGATATTTATTTATATTTAAAGATTTTATTTTGGGCTTCTGGGTAATAGAAGGCATGGTTGGGCTAAGCTGTGGTTGGCTGGAGAGGACATTGAAGCGTGGTCCAGTACCAGAATCTGTTAATCATATTAACTCCATATTTTGGAGTTTGTAGCATGTCTCTCTAATGTGAATCATTTCATATATGTGGCCATGATTGGATTGTCTTAAAATGTGATGGTTTTCAGAAAGAGATGCACCGATCCATCTTTTTCAGTTCCGAAATCAATTCTAATACTACAGCTTTAAGCATCTGCCAATATCCAATATCAACCAATACCTTTTAAACAAAAATTAAGACAGAACTAGGGATGGGCATGATTAATCGATTAATCGATAATTGATCATTAAGAATTTCATCGATTACGTTAATTTTTATCGACAAACCGAATGCAGGTTGCTGTGCGTAGCATGACCAAACAGGGTCAGTACATGTGTCTCTCTGCACTCAGAAGGAGTGAGCAAACACAAACACTCGGTCAGTCTGCAGTACGCGTTTGTGCTTCGGTACGAAGCACAAATGCGTATTTAATGATGATTTCTACAAGAAATTCCACACTTTCCGTTGCGTTCGGGACAACTGGGAGGCCATGTGCACAGTGCACAAAGCAGGAACATATGTTTCGGTGTCCAGTGGGAAAAAGTTTTGCCAGGTGAGAGTCGCGCAATGTTGATGACGAGTCCCCACCTCCCTCCCCCCGTACAGTGTCCTGGTTTTGACAAATGCAAATCTGGTCACACTAACCTGTATTCCACTGAGTCATGTCTTTTAATCCAACAGAAATTGACCACATCAGCGACACAAGAGCTGTAGTTTTATCTTCGCTGAGTTCATGCAAATTAGCGATGCGGTTTTAAGTTTCGCTTCTGTGAGAGTTGCGCAAAACTGAATTAAACACATAATAATGTCAAACGGATTGATGTGGCTCTAGAGTCGTTATGTTTATATGTTGTTAAGTTGAATTTATTTATGCACATTAGTAGTGCAGATAGTAATAATAATGATGATCATTTTAATATAAAAACGTTAATGATTAATCGATAATCGATCGTTAATTCTTCCGACGATCGATTAGGAAAATTTCATCGAATGCCCATCCCTAGACAGAACTGATTCAAATTTGTTATGTGGCTAACATTTATTCTGAAAGTAACTACAGGACAACTCTGTGTTAATAAAACATTTAATTTAAGACTTTCTGGGCCAACTGCTACCATTAATTATATGCCTAAGCAGGATATTGACTGAACCGATGTTTGGAAGCTGATACCTGATCCAACACATTTTTCAGTACATGTTAAAGATATGAATGTCAATATCTGTTACCAGTAGCAGGTCAATTAACTATAGAAGTTAGTTATTCAACTCTTTACAACTCAAACTTTTCTCATGTAATGTCAAAAATCTCCCCATTTTTTCAGATCAGTGTATCCCGATGTCAGATACTTTGCACCTCACTATTGTTTCCCTTTTCTAACACATATCCTGTGTCTGCTCTCTGTTCAGGTCCTTATGGTTGAAGTGCGTGCTGCTGCTGCTCTGTGCCATGCCTCCTGCCATGACAGACCTGGTGGACATATGGGCACACTCGCCCCTGTCCGGGCATGCTCCGTCCCACATCACTGTGGACTTCCTGCTGCCCACTGGAATTTACATCCAGATGGAGGTGCCACGAGAGGCCACCATACAACACATCAAACTGGTCAGTACCTGCACTAGTGTGATTACTTGGAGTCCATATTACGCTGTTTTCTGATCTGTTATAATCATAAACATACCTGGAGTTGTTTTGTTTCATTCATATGCATATTTATACTATTCTTCTGTCTAACTGAAAACGGGCTGTTCCACCTTGTGATGTCATGTGGTGATACAGGTGCTCCACTGTGTTTTTAAACTCTATATACCTTCAGTAGAATCATTTGGATAATCTCAGTCCTGGAATTGCTAATCTCTACTGAACAAAAAGTATTTAAACTACTGTGTCATGACATCACTAGTTGGAGCAGAGCATTTTGAGCTTCGGACATGTAGACAGACTATTAATAAAGAGTTTCTCAAGCGTGTGTGAATGAAACGCAGCACTCGGTATGTTTTTGATGAGGTAACAACATTCTAACATAGTTTAAAGCTCACGAGTTTTGCGTAATGTAGGACCTTTTAATCTGATGTAACTTGTATGCTAAAATTCCACCATAAGCAGGTCTGACAGGCAGCACTTTCAAATGAATTCTTGATGTATTAAAGAGACTGTGGGTTTACTTCTTGTAGTCTTATATATTTGAAACAAGTGGGTCCAGTAGGCCTCTCAAAATGACAAAGATAGATATTTTGCTGAAGAATACATAGACGAAGGTAACTGAAAGCTCTACTCTGTTGGAAGCTCTGTTACTCACATTAGACTTTTAATACAATCTGACCAGAAAGAGCTTTTTTGGTTGGAACCACAAGTGAGATAAATCCATTTTATACTTTTTCTTGAGTTTTCAGACTATCTTAAAACATTTTTGTCTGTGTTTTCTGATGTTTTGCATTGAGTCACCATGGTAAATGCTGAAAATTCTGCCCATAGAAATGCATCTAGAACAGTCATTCTTAACCATAGGGCCGGGGCCACCTCCTTGGGGCCCCCACAATCAGTACAATATAATGCATTTAATATAAGGTAGGGCCCCAGGTTACTTTATTCAGAAAAAGTCGGGCCCCAAGATGGAAAATGTTAAGAACCCCTGATCTAGAACACCTTTGTCAAAAAATATTTAGTAGTTATTTTACTTTTTTCCACATATTTTGCTTTATATACTTGATGTTTTCCATGTGTATCTCTATTAATGTAGAAAGTATCAGAAAAAAGAAAGAAAACACAGAGGGTGAGTCTAAAATTTTGACTGTAGTGTGTATATATATATATATATATATATATATATATTATATTTTTATTTTTTTTTTTTTTTTTTTACATTTTAATAAATTGTCTAAATTGTCTTCATTCCCCTGACAGATGTAACAGCCCTATCCCCACTGGTGGTTAGACATTCTCTCAGTGTTTGTAGTCAGACCTGTTACCGTGGTGAGATAATTGTTTTTGTTTGTCTCTGTGCCTCGGCTTTAGCTCATGACATCATGTGTGAGTGACTGGGCTGACCCTGTGAACCGGAGGTCACACTGTCTCGAGGGACTTTTGGACATTAGGGACTATAGTAGCATTGTTTATAAGCATGTTTGAGTGTGAGAAAGTTTAAAAAAGAAATAATTGCTCTTATTGACTGATTTACTGTTTCAGGATTGAGGCAAAGCGAGTTCATACTTGTCAAATGTTTGAACACACCGTCCCCATACATGTGTTTTTCCCATAGTTTTACGACTATCTTTTTGTTTACAGGCTGAAGGCATCAACTATATGAAATACAATATGTGGAATTGTGTAGCAAAAGAAAAAACTCAAATAATTTCCCTTGTGGATCAATAAAGTTTGTCTAAGTTTTTTATGTTCCAATTGTCAAAGTAGCCACCCTTTGCTTTGTTAAAAAATGTACTTACTTTACTTTACCTTACTAAATATAGTTTAAGTTCTCAGTAAAAATAAAGAAAAAGAAAGACTTTGCATGAGAGCGTGTCCAAACTTTTGATATATAGTGTATGTGTAGAACTTGTACATAAAGTAATTCAAAAGATTTTACAAGAATGAGAAATGTGTAACATAATAAAAACTAATTCTATTGTATCATTATTAGGGGTGTAATGAAATCCAAACCTCTCAGTACGATATTATCACAATATGCATCTACGATATTTATTGCGATATTTTGGAGAGGCTGATATATTTGTAGATAGGATGCTTTTTTGGTTTTAAAATACCTTTTCAAGATTTTGGTGTGAATTATTAGTCAGAATCTCAAAAATTTAAGTAAAAAACATATAAACTCATGTTGTCTGCTGAAATGAATCATGGGATATATAGTTCCTGATGTTTATTAGCCATTGCTACTATAAAACCATGCATTTAACAAAAGAACTTAATTCGTAGTTCGATATATTGTGACAGCCCACGATAATACTTTTGACAATAAGATATCACGATATTTCGGTTATTGTTACATCCATAATTGTTATATTTATCATTATAAAATTAAAGGTGCACTATGTAACTTTTCTGGTTGAGGGGCTGCCATCTGCTTGTGTCCATGGAGATGTAATTGTTTTGCTAGGAATGTTTCACAGTATCATGTGTTTTATCGGTTAATAATACCTTCAAAGATATGCATTCTTTGACCTGTAACTTGGCATGGTGGCATCATCTGCTTGTCTCTATTGGGATAAATAATCTTACACTGTGAAACATTTCTGGAATGCAACCTTTGCAAACCCTCTACCATGAATGTTTTTTTGTTTGTTTGTTTGTTTATTAATGGGCCCATATTATTTCTGATCTATGTTCTGCTGTTTCCTGATCACAAACATATCTGAAGTTGTGCTTTGTTTCATTCACACATGTTTAATACACTAATCCTACATATTTATGCAGAGTTTTTCTTTCAAACAGAAAGCACTGTGTTCCAGCTTGTGATGTCATGTGGCAATACAGGAAGTGCTCCAGCATGTATTTACACTCCATACACTAAGGCCTCTGACTTTTTTCCTCCTGTGAGCTACATTATGTAAAACAAAAATGCGAGAGAGCTACTAATTTTAGCAGTCACCAGAAATTTTGTAAATATAAGAGCCATGGCAAGCCGAAAATTAGATACAGTGAGACGTCTATAAACCATAACCCATTATCTAGTTATCAGTGCACAAAATTAGGCATTAAAATTATACAGTTACAAAAAAAAAGGCATTTTATCAGTCAATTTTGAGTTATTCAGTGCAATATGTATAATTCAGAAATCCCATGGTGAGCTACTTGTACTACTACTACTACTACATGTGTGCTACATTTGGGAGACCCTTGCCATACACCTTCACTAGAATCATTTGGATTATCTCAGCCCTGGAACTGCCAATCTCTATTACACCAAAGGTAAAGGTAGCTGCTAACTTCAAAACTTCTGCTTCATGACATCACTAGGTGGACCAGAGCATTTTAAGCTTTGGAGATGCAGACAGGCTAATAATAATAAAGGGTTCCTCAAACATTTGTGAATGAAACAACACAACTCCAGGTATGTTTTTGAGGAGGTAACAACATTGAAACATGGCTTAAAGTTCACAAGAATCAGTTCTGCATTATATTGGACCTATTGAGAATATCTCAATAAAATATTCCTTGAAAAAAGCGACTGAATCGAATACCCTGTCAGCTCTGGTACACGTGACTGTACACTGGCAGTCATTCAGTTTTGTTTTCCACGTGAGAGCTTTTATATCTGGAGGTGAAAACTGTACAGAAATGTTTAAGAAATCAAGAATATATTAAACCAAACAAGTGAATCTGAGCATGTGACCAGCCCCAGACTTCGAGGAAATGAAACAGAAACCAATAATTCCAGTTCATGTACTTTACCCTTAGGCACATCTTTTGTCGGAAACTTTATAAACAACATGATGTGCTCTGTGTCAGATACAGATTCACACTGGTTCAGGGCTATTGTTAAAGGTGCACTGCATAACATTTCTTGTCTCCATGGAAATGTTATTGCTTGTCTAGAATGTTCCACAGTATAGATGAAACCTATCTCAACAGGGAGACAAGCAGGTTATAGCACTGCACTACTTTACAGTTCAGATCTGTGGGGAGGCGCCCCTAGTCACTGAAGGAATTATTGTATTTTTGAGCAATGGAAACACCCAAAATGAATAAATGCTAGATGGATATGTTTTATGTCATACCGTGGAACATTCCAGGCAAATATAACATCTCCATGGAGACAAGTAGGTGATGGATAGCCAGGCTGGTGCCGCCTAGTCCCTCCACTCAATTAAATTTTTCTCCAGCGACTAGGTCAGGGATTGGAATAAACTAGACGGTTTGCAAGAAGCCCGGAAGTGCGAGTCCGGACACCAGCCAGTCAGCGAAGACCCATATATTCGGTGCTGGTAATGATTCCCAAGATCGAGGATTTAAATCTGCAACAAAGAGAATGTTTGGTGAATTTTATCAAGGGGAAAGACGTTATTGCCCTTCTTCCTACGGGATTTGGGAAAAGCTTAATATACCAGTTAGCCCCATTAGCAGCACATTACATATGTCACGACCAAATAGCAGCGATTGGTTAAATTTTAAAAAAAAGTACCCGCCTACTGTCGAGCGAACAAATTCGAACACTGTGAGGTCAGACGGTTTCTACGAAGTGAAACCGTCTGGTGAATCAGGCTAGGTGATGCACCCTCCACCAAAAAAGTTGCGCAGTGTACCTTTTAAGTCAGTTAACTGGTCAATAATGTCTTAGGCATTCAAACTGTTTATTTTATTTTTATTTTTGTTTGTTTTTTACACTAACAGAAAAGAAAAGGTATAGAAATAGTTTTAGGTGTGATATTAATATTAAGGGTGCGTTTATCACACTTTTACTTGTTTGAGCCCAGTTTAATTCTGATGTAAGTTTGGTTTGGTCCTGTTTTAGTCTTGGGTTGAGTTTAATTTTAATTTTAACATGGTGGAAGTGTGAACGCACTCTTATGCTAATATCAAACCCAGGCACTAATTTGAAGTGTCGATACGGAAGAAATTACTCAAAGGTTCATTGTGTAACGTTTCTGATGGATGGTTTGTCAAATGCATTACTCAATGGAGGAGATATTGCTTTCTCTCCAATGTTTCACAGTATGGCACTAAAACTTTCTATTTTCACGGAGAACAAACCAAACCAGGTTACAAGTCAGATCTGTGGAGAGGCAACCCCGCATACAGTCAGAATGCCTGTTTTTTCTAGATATTTTTGAGCTATAAAACCACGTGTAATTGAATAAATGTAAAGTAGAGCTGTTTAATGTCATCCTGTCATACAAACAAGTAGGCGATGGACCCCCAAACAAAAAGTTACATAGTGCACCTTTAAGCAGAATCAGAACTTGAATAGAATCATCATCTCTATCAAAACTTGTATTAACACTTCATAATAATAAAGAAGAAAATAGTACTACTTTGTGTTGGAAATAGCATTATGTGTGTAAAAATTTTAAGTGTGTTATATCATTGTGGTATCAAAATTGGTATCAAATATCAAGCCTTTTCTTTAGGACAGAGATCGGGTTTGAAATGTGACCCTCCTCTATTATCACTTGTACAATGTTGCATTTTTACTCCCTTTGTGTCTTAACTACATTCAAAGTATTTCTAATAGTGTTTGATTGGTTAGATTTAGGTCTATTTTTACAGTTATTCATCTTGTTGCTTTCTATTCTTTTACTGTTCTTTAATTTTGTGTCGCAACCATGAAATTTCCCCATTAGACAAATAAAATCTTTAATCTTTTATCTTTAAAATATCACTAGTGGGTGCAGTTATATGATGTATCTCAAAATCATTGGCGCCAAGCATTACTATTGATTAACATTCATTTGTACTGAGTAAACCAGGGCTATAAAACTGCTATTACCAAAAGCTGTTGTGGTTTTGGCTTGACCTTTTACACAGTGCGTTGTTTTGTGTGTTTCAGCTCTTATGGAAGCAGGCACAGTCCTTCCCCCTCTTCTCGGCCCTGGGGGAGATGGAGAGCCACATGTTTGAGTGTGTGAACCAGGAAGCCGTGCACGAGGAGCTGGAGGATGAGACGAGAAGACTCTGCGACGTCCGACCCTTTTTACCGGTCCTCAAACTCATCACGCGCAACTGTGGCAGAGCTGAGAGACTGCTGGACTCCAAGATTGGGGTGCTCATTGGGAAAGGTGAGCAGCAAAATCCAGCTCAGTTTACACCAGAACGCTCAGAGGTAAAAACGACAATATTTTATCAGAAGTGCCTTTCGTTTACACTGTGACGGCGTTTTTGGGGCTTTAAAAATGCCAAAATCTGAAACCACCCTCCAGAGTGGAAAAGTTGAATACACTTCGCCATAGAGTTTCCATCTACACTGCCCGAGACGCAAAACTCTGGTCACATACATCACCACCTATCCGCCTGGTATGCATACCCAATCAAGTTCCACACAGTCATCATATAAACGTAGCCTTAGGTTGATGACGGTCTGAACAGAAGACGCAAAGGTGGCTTCGTGTCTTCACTTTTTACTCCGCGTTTAGATGAGCGTTTTCGGGAAAAAATCTGCATGCATACGGTGACGCAAAAGTGTGTGAAATTCGATTGGGTATGCATGCCAGGTGGTGACGCTAGGTGGTGATGTATGTGGCGTAAACGCGTACACGACGTGAGCAGATCTGATCAGAGTTTTGCGTCTTTGGCAGTGTAGACAGAAATGCTACGGTGGAGAGTATTCAACTTTTTTACTCTGGAGGGTGGTTTCAGATTTTTGCATTTTTAAGCCCCAAAAACACCATCACTGTCTAAAAGAAAGGCACTTCCGATAAAATATTTTGTTGTTTTTATAAGCCAGCGTTCTCGTGTAAACAGGCCTTAGAGCACACTTCACTAACACGCATGGAATTAACTAAAACGAAACACTATGTAGTCCCACTTGAGCTGCAAGGTCAGAAATAGTCGAAAATTTGGTTCACCATATTACAGGGATTTGTGGTAGTTTTAAAGGTCTTATATTTCACAAAACTGACACTCTCGAGCTTTTAGACATGTTAAAATGTTGTTACCTCATCAAAAACATGTCCAGAGTTGTGTTTTGTTTCATTCACACATGTTTGAGTAATCCATTATTATTAGTCTGTCTACATCTCCAAAACTCTAAGCTCAAAATGATCTGTTCCACCTAGTGATCTCATGTAGTGGTAGTTTTCAAGTTAACTGCTACCTTTTACCTTTGGTTCAGTACAGAGAGGCAATTCCAGGCCTGAAATTATGGGGCACTGTATTACCACATGACATAACAAAGTAGAACAGAGTGTTTTCTGCTTGAGAGTAGAAAGCCTAATGTTAAATATGCAGGATTGGTGCTTTAAACATGTGTGAAAGAAACAACACAACTTGAGGTATGTTTGTGATGAGGAAACATTATAACATAGATCAGAACATTACGTTCATATTATCATCAGTGTTAACAGGTCATATCAGGGCTCAGTGCTCTTCTGTTAGGCAAGTCTCCATCAGCACATTCCAACATCACACCTGGTCTCTCTGTCTGGCCCCTGTCTCGTCTCCGCTGCCTGATATCAGAGCGTGAAGATTGTCTTGACGAGTTTCTGATAAGTTTCCCATCACCTGTCACTTTGTGTTATCTCCAATGAGGATTCAGCCTTTTAGAGCAGCAAGTACGATTGATCCTTTGCACTGTAAGGCCCACTCTGCCACTACCATTAGGCGTAAGAAATCATGTTGAAACTGTGTACAAATTCATTGGAAAATATATTACATGTTTAGATTTAGACTCTAGAAAACTTAATTGATTCACAAGCGAAATTATTTGGACAGTAGCTCACAGATCACAATATGTTATAATAGCCAAGAGCAACAATATAAATGGTGATAATACATTAAAAATAAGTAGCAAAAATAGCAAGAGACTGGTATCAAAATGATTGCATGTAATAATGAAAATGCAAACATGAACCAATTTAAAGGTACAGTATGTAACTTTCTGGAGATCCCATGTCAGTCGGGTTTGAGTTTCTTACTGTGACCTTACTGTAAAAATATTATGAACACTGTAAACGTACTGTAACCTTAACTATAACTGTAAAAGGGCAAGTGTCTCATTAAAAATACAAACTATTGACATTACCACTGTACTTTCTGGGTTGTCCAGTCAGCCCATGAATGTTTAACACTGGAATACTACTTTGAACACATTAAATCCAGATGTTATTCTTTGAGTCTTATGCCTGGCTTTGTAGACTGAAATATGAACTTATAACACTGGTACAAGAATCCAATGCATTTCCGTACGTGCTTTCAAGTGAACTAAGCTACAGCTTTAGAGGACTGAAATAGTGTTAGCTTAACATGTTATTAAAAAATAAAAAAAATAAAAAAAAGGAGGGGGGAGGACATTTTTAAGCTAACATCAATTTTTTTAGTTAAATAACTGTTTGTTTTTTGTCATTTTCAACATTTTTCAATTTTTTTTGGCAAATTTCTTCCTGATTAGGGTAAAAACAGGTACCATCACATCAAATTTAATTCATAAAAACATCTCATACACACTTTAAATCTCCATTTACTGTCACACTAACTCATAATCTGAATAAGTTGTATTGTCATAAGCCATATTCACGCTTTCGTTACAAACCAGGAAGACGTTTGGAAACATGCGACGACAACTTCTGGTGTAGTTACCGACACTGAGCTCACCAACCGTCTGTGATAAAACCCACTGAAGTAAATGTGATCAGTGGTAAAATGTATACTGCATATGTATGTGCTGTTTGGAATCATTTTGAATTTGGCGCCTCGTCTCTTCTAATCGCATGTACCAGTGCGCTCGAAGTTGTGTGTCAGTGGAGAAATGATGAAAACTGAGGTATGGTTGTAATTTAGATTAGCCGAACATAACGGAACGCTACAATGACATGGAGATGAATAAAACTGAGCCATTTTCTAATTTTTAGTAGATTTTGTCAGATTTACTACCGCGGACAAAGTTGTCATCGCATGTTTCCAAACGTCTCCTGGTTTGTGACATAATCGTGAATAGAGCCTATTGTCAGTGTAAAAAATTCACAAACTAGGAACATGCTTGGTCATTATGGTGCAACAGAAAACAATGAATAAAAATAAACTATTATAGAATAAAAAAGGGCATGCAGCAAAATAACGTAAAAATTAGACCTTGATTTAATTGTGAATTCAGTGCTGTTTAATTATCTATAGGAGCCTTAGCTGAATAAACGCTCATACAGATGAATGTTTCTTTTCCATCATTTAGTTTGCCATGCACATAGTCACTTTAAAAGCTAAACATGTACAGTGAATGTATTTACACCAGCCCTGCACTGGCAACCCTCCCCTTCAAAATAAACCACCAATCTTTACACCACCCGACCCTGATCTATTGACGTGCTGTTGTCATTTCAGGTCTCCATGAGCTGGACGCCATAAACGACCAGGAGGTGAAGGACTTCCGCAGTAAGATGTTCAGACTGAGTGAGGAGAGGATGCAGAAGGTGCAGATGATGAGCTGCACTGAGTGGCTGCAGGCGTCCTTCTCCCAGCAGCCAGAGATCGGACCAGGACCGGAACAAGTCAATGGAGTCTCAGACCGCACCGGAGACCTCAAAGTGACCATGCACTTCGAACAGTCACCGGTCAGTACGTCTTCTAATAAGGCTGTAGTTCTTTGGTCAATCAGTCTGTCAGTGGTGGGTCAAAATTTTTATTTATTGTAATCAGATTATTTTTTCAGGCCAAGGTTTAGTTTTTCATTTTCTGAGAGTTTCAAGTTCTCACTCAGAGTGGTCATGTGATATTGCTTTGACGTGTCCAGTCTATATTCTATACACGGAGTTGTGTTTTTGTTCATTCACATGTTTGAATAACCCTTAATTATTAGCCTGTCTACATCTCCAAAACTCAAAATGCTCTTTTCCACCTTGTGATGTCATCAAGCGTGAAGTACCATATTTTTTGGACTATAAGTCGCACTTTTTTCATGGTTTGGGTGGTCCTGCGACTTATACTCCAGTGTGACTTATATATTAAAATTTTCAGACTGACAGCTGCGAGAGGGCTCTCTATGCTTATGTATCAGTTTTCTAAATAAATAAATATGTATATAAATAAATAATAAAGAAATATGCAGCAGAAAACAGTAATCGTGCAGGAGAAAGAAAGTTTGGAGTAAGCGAGAAACTTGTGAGAGACTGGCGGAAAGCGGGGACTGAGAAACACAGCTTCACGGTAACAAGGAGGGTGCACCATGCAACTTTCCAGGAAGTCATTGGCTGGATTGACAAAGCCTGGACTTCAGTGACAGAAGCTCAGAAGTGACACAGAGGATGAAAAATCCAATGGATTCAATGGATTTAGTGATTTGGAGAGAGATCGAGGGTTTGGTAAACTTACGTTGTTTATGCTATAGTTATCTGAATAACTGTTAATATGTTACGTTAACATATCAGACGCCTATTCAGCCTGTTGTTCTTTATTCTAATGTTGTTACTATAACTTGCCTTTCATGTCAGTTCCTGGTCCCTGATTTTATAAAGTAAATTATCCCCAAAAAAGTGCGACTTATACTCTGGTGCGACTAAAAATATGGTAGTTTTCAAGTTAACGGCAACCTTTAAGCTTTTGTTCAGCAGAGATTGGCAATTCCAGTTCTGAAATTAGCCAAATTATTGCTGTGAAGGTGTATGGAGTTTAAAAACAGAAAACAGAAAAACAGAGTGGAGCACATCCTGTATTATCACATGACATCACAAGATGGAAAAAAGTGTGTCCAGTTTGTGGGGGGAAAAAAGAAAGAAAAACTCAACTCGGGGTATGTTTTTGATGAGGAAACAACATTATCACATAGATCAGAAAATAGCATAATATGGGCCCTTTAAGCTGCTTTAGACGTAATTTAGACATAATTAGCCACAATCTTTGTCCGCCTATTCTCCAGAGAGGAAAATAAGATGCACTGGATGTTACACTGAGATCTTCAAATTTGTTATTGTCCCCAAAGAAAAAGACAATATATTATGAGTAATGTGATATGTCCCAGCCCTGGTATACATTATGTTTGTATGACGAATCAATTACTGGAGAATAAACCAGGTTAATCCTGCTGTATGTAATATATATGAAATGTCAAGTAGAGATTAGATGAATCATAGTTTTTAAGTGTGCTCTTTTGTAGAATTGAAATAATTGGTACAGGAATGAGGTTGGGCCTCCGTATTAATTAATCTCAGTTGTTGATTCAATATAAATATAAATAACGAGGGATGGGACGAGGTCTTGTGAGACAGGGTAGTGCACACATGTGAAAAATGACCTTGTGAGATTTTTTCCACATGAGTTTACATTTGGATTGGACAAAAAAGGGTTTAACTGCTGGAGAGTTACACCTCTTGGGAAGTTCCAAGGAGCAGTGCTGCCATGACAACAAAATAATTTAATAAAATGAATCAAAACCTTTTAGGCCAAAATTATTAACTTGAGTGTTATACATTATCTAAAAACTTTCTCATTCTTTTGTCTTGCCTTATCTTGTGAAATTTGGTCTTGTCCCACCCCTATAAATAACAAAAATGATTCTAAACTCAAATACCATAATGAAAAAAAGCCTCCAAACTACATACTTTTTCTTCCACAAGATTGGTCACTGCTTAATAAAAGACCAGACCAAGACCAAATCAAAACCAAAGCTCACAATTCATTTAGTTTTTGTATTAATTGCACAACCCCATTAAACATTAGCCTGATTTATCAGACGGTTTTACTTTGTGGAAACTGTCTGATCTCACAGCATTAGAATTTGTTTGCTTGACTGTAGGTGGGTACTTTGTTTAAATTTAAATCGCTGCTATTTGGTCATGACATATGTAACGCGCTGCTAACGGGGCTAACTGGCATATTGAGCTTTTCCCAAATCCCGTAGGAAGGAGGACAATAACGTCTTTCCCTTGATTAAAATTCACCAACCATTCTCTTTGTTGCGGCTTTAAATCACCGATCTCGGGAATCGTTGCCAACACAGAATATATGACTCGCTGATGCCCGGACTCGCACTACCGGGGTATTTGCGAACTGTCTAGTGTATTCCAGTTCCTGACCTAGTCACTGGAGAAAAATGAAATTGAGTGGAGGGACTAGGTAGCGCCAGCCTGGCTAACTAAATGTCCCATAGTACTCTAAATTGACTCTTGTGAGCTTAAAGCCATGTTAGAATGTAGGGATATAACGGTCTCCAAATCTCTCGGTACGATATTTTTACAATGTGCATCTCACAGTACTATTTATCGTGATATTTTGTAGAGGCTCACAAAATTGTAAATAAGCTACTTTTTCCTCTTAAAATGCCTTGACAAGACTTAACCTAAAGAACTAAGATTTAAAAGTGCTTATAATAGTTATTTCTTCATGTAGTCGGCGCTGAAATGGAGCAAAGGATCATGATCCTCTGTCTTTTTTATTTATTTTTTAATTTTTTAGCTATTTCTGCACCATGACTATTCATTTAAGCAAAGAGACTTGTAATTCGATATATTGTGATGATCTACTGTATTATTGTGAGAACTTTGACTATACGATATCACAATATTGCAGTTATTGTTACATCCCTATTAGAATGTTGTTAGCTTCTCAAAAACATACCTGGAGTTGTGTTTTGTTTCATACACACATGTTTGAGTAACACTTTATTATTAGTCTGTCTACATCTCTGAAGCTCAGAATGCTCTGTTCCACCTTGTGATGTCATGAAGCAGTAGTTTTCAAATTAACAGATACCTTTTTACCTTTTGTTCAGTAGAGATTGACCATTCCAGATCTGAAATGATTCAAATGAAACATGTGCGAATGAAACAAAACACAACTCCAGGTATGTTTTTGATGAGAAAACATTAGACAATAAATCAGAAAATAGCATAATATGGGCCCTTTAAGTAATCCTCAACTGTACTACTGAGTTCAAGGGGGATAACTGACAAACATAACTCTAGTTCAGACTTTTGCAAGGCTAATGTCTCTAAATAACACTGGGACAATACAGCCTTGTTTTGAGTGGCAGAGTGACCATGTGACTCCTACACCCCTCACACAAACTCACACTCATTCAGCTCTTGTTTTTGGACGCTGTGCACATTTCACGTGACAGAATCCAACTTGTGGGTCATGTGACGATGCAAAGTGGGTCAAAACCATCAGAGAAATTGTGCCACTACCGCCTCTCTGCTCCTATGATTAAAATGGACCTCATTTCTCCATTGCTCCCTCTTTACCTCCTCTCTGCTGTCTCTTTCATTCTCTCTTTATTTCTCTCTCACTGCATCTGTCTCTCTGCATCACGCTCTCTCCATCTCTCTGTCTCTACATCTCTTTCATTTGCTCTTTGCAACTCTCTCCATCTCTCTCTCTCTCTCTCTCTCATCTCTCCATCTTTCTTCCTCTCTCTGCAACTCTCATCATTTCTTTCTCTTTTTTCTCACTTTCTCTCTCTCTCTCTCTGCATCTCCCTCTCTCCATCTCTTTCCACTCTCCTTCTGTCTCTCTTGTGTCTTTCCCTTTCCTTTTTCATAACCCCCTCTCTCTCTCTCTCATCTGTCTCTACATCTCTCTATCTTTCATTCGCTCTCTCCATCTCTCTCTCTCTGTGCATCTCCATTTCTCTCTCTCCACTCTTTCTCTGTCTCTCATGTCTTTCTCTCTCTCACACTCTCTCTCACTCTCACTCTGTCTCTCCCTCTCTCTCATTACCCTCTTTGTCTATTCTTTATCTGTCTTTCTCTGCCTCCTCTTTCTCTCTCCATGTATCTCTCCCCACCCATCTCCTGTCTCACATTTTCTCTTCGCTCTCCCCTCTCTTGCTATTGTGTTCTCTTTATCTCTGCTTCACTCTCTTTATCTCTCCTCACTCATATGTCTTTCTCCCTCACTCTCCATTCCCTTTATCCAACACCATCTTTTTTTTTTTTTGTCTCTCTCTCTCTCTCTCTTTCCCCTCTCTTCTCTCCCACTTCTTGTCTTTGACAGAAAAGGAGAGAGAGACTGGATAGAAAGATCAAGGGAGTCAGTGCCTTTCTCTTCTCCTTCTCTTCTCTTTCTCTTTTTCCTTTATCTGTCTCCCTCTTTCTCTCCCGTTTCTGTCTTTCATTCTCATCTCCTTTCCCTACTTTCTCTCTCTCCTCTTTCTCTTTCCCTTTCACTCTCACTCTCCATCTCAATCTCTCTCTGCTGTCTCTCTCTCTCTACATCTCTTTCTCTCTGCAACTCTCTCTATTTCTCTCTCCATCTCTCTCACTGTATCTCTCTCACTGCATCTCTCTCCATGTCTAATCTCTAGCTCTGTCTTTCTCTCTGCAACACTCACCATTTCTTTTTCTCTTTTTCTCTCTCTCTGTCTCACTGTCTGTCTCTCTCTCTCCTGTCTTTCTCTTTTCTCTTTCTCTACACCCTTTCTCTTTTGTTCTCATTACTTTGCCTATTCTTTATCTTTCTCTGCCTCCTCTTTCCTCTTTGTATCTCTTCCCCTCCCATCTCCTGTCTCATTTTTTTCTCTTCACTCTCCCCTCTCTTGCTATTGCATTTTCTTTCACTCTCCTTCACTCTTTATCTCTCCTCACTCTTATTTCTTTCTCCTTCACTATCTATCCCCTTCATCCAGCACCATAAGTTTCTTTTTTTTTTGTCTCTCTCTCCACCTCTCTTCTTTTTCTGTCAGTGTCTTTCTCATCTCCCTCTTTCTCTCCCGTTTCTGTCTTTCATTCTCATCTCCTTCCCCCACTTTCCCTTCTCTCTCTTCTCACTCACTCACTCTTTTACCACCACCTCTCCCTCCTCTTCCTCTCCCTCCTCTCCCTCATCTTCCTCATCTTCCTCCCTCCATCTGCGTGTTATCAAAAATAAAGTCATTTAATAATATTACAGCATCTGGTCAGGCCTCTGCAGACTCTGACTATCTGCTCCGATCAACATCATAAAAACAAGACTCCGTGATAAAACCATCTGGGCCAGTCAGCTCAGGTGGACGACAACTGGAAGTAGGCCTCTAGAAGAAAAGCCACGTAAGAAAAGAGCAGAAACGCACACAGTTTAGCCCAAAATGATATATAACCACCCAAGACACAAACCTGGACATGTGTTGTATGAAGATTTAAAAGGCTTGCGTCATTTTCATTGCAAGAAACCCCAATTATTTTAGAGTAGGGTAAAATACGAGCATGAAACTTTCGACCTTTTCATGCACGCCACCTGCCTGCCCAGCTCTGATAACCCCGTGTGCGTCTGTGTGGTTCTTGTTTCCGGGGCGACGCACACATTCACACACACACAGTTGGAGAGATCATGGAAATGTTCTGATGCTGCGTGACGTCCATTGAAAGCAGTGCGGACAGACTGTGTGTACGGGACATTCTGTATCTCGTGAAGGGTTTTGTGCTCGTTTCTGGACTGTTAACACTTGGCGTCGTGTTCCAGTGCACATCCCCACGTCTGTATTTTAGTCAGCAATTTATCGTACTTCAAAATGTGTGATCGTGACAGGCCTAGCCATATGCCGCAGCTTATCCTAACTAAGCTCCCCTCTCTGCCTGTGCTGTTCAGGACTCTGCCAGTCTGAAGGTGCCGCTGACCTACACTCCCTCCGAGCTGATGGAGATGGCCATGAGGAAGTGGCTGACCACGCACGGCCCTGAAGATGAGGCCAGCAGGGGGCAGTACTTCCTCAGGATCAGTCACTCTCTGGAGTTCCTTTGTGGAGACCACCCTTTAATCCAGTACAAGGTCAGTAACTATGGTGATGTCCTATCTCATGTTTCCCTGCCTTCTTAATTCAACACCGGACATGATTGACAGCTGTGGACTAAAGGAGTCAAGGTAACGTTATTGAAATATTTTAGTACAGATGGGTTTATAGAATATAACATTAAAAACTTCATTTTATTTTAAAATCTATTATGTTTACCAACTGACGAGAGGATTAATGGTTTAAACCTTGTTCTACTGGCAGGACATGATGTTACTTTAGGATATTTTTTCAGTAAATCATATTACAATAGGCAGTTTAGTGTGACAATCTGTTGAAAACCTGGCAAAGATCCCAGATGGGATTGAGAGAAACCCAACGGATTAAAAAAGTATAATTTGTACCAATTTTGTCATTTTGTGTGTGCAGTACATCCGGACATGTGTCCAAGCCAAAGAGTCTCCTCACCTGACCCTGGTCCACAGCAGCACCATCAAAGAACTGTTCGACAAAGAGATCTGCGCCATCAGAGCCGTGGTCAGCCGCAAGACCTGCACCTTACCCCTCCCTCTACCTCCCAAGAGACGCCCTCTCACGGTGAGCACCCTGCACTGTTTTAGTTGAGCTAAATTTAAAGGTGCACTATGTCACTTTTCTGCCAGGGGTGTGTCACCTGCTTGTCTCCACGCAGATGGTATTGCTGCCAGGAATATTCCATAGTATGGCAATGAACTTCTGTCTCCATGGAGACAAGCAGATAACATCAACAGGCCAGTTTACAAGTTGAGTCTTTGGAGCATGTTTCAAAGTATTTTCTTTCCAATAAAAACACCTGTTATGTAAAGATTCATGAGCATTCTGAGAAAGCAGTATATCATCTCCTTGGGGACATGTAAATGGCAAACCCTCCACTATAAAATTTACACTGTAAACCTTTAAAGACTTTTCATCACATTTAAAGCTTTTACTTTTTATCACAAAGTTTAGATTAGCTATCCTCCTTATCCTTTACCAAATAAGATTACAGTATGATCATCTTGTTGACTATTATAGTTATCAAAGTGTGTCAAAGATGAAGGGATTTCATCGGGTTGCTGGTCATGGTCCCTCAGATTGCTCAAATCAGATTTTGTGGATTGTATGCCATTTAAATAATCCTAAAGGTCCAGAAATCAGATTATAATAAAATGCTGGTGTCCATGTAAAAGAGCCAGTGATAAGGCAGTGGTAATTAGTTATAAGGTAGGTCAGTCTTGTTCAGTTCTTATTTTGTTAGTTCTGGTTTGTGATGAGGTAGAAATGTGATTTGATTCTTTTTATATAGTGTCTTTTTATATAGTTTTGTAAAGTTCACACACAAAAATATCTTATGGTCCTGTATTACACAAAGCTGACCATTTTTAATCATGTTATAATGTTGTTATCTTCTCAAAAACACAACCTAAATATACAGGGTTTGCGTGTTAAACATGGGTGAATGAAACAAAACACAACTCCAGGTATGATTGTGATAATACATTATAATATCGATTAGAAAATGACATAACATGGCCCCTTTAAATCTTTTAATCTTGAGTTGATGGAGAGATCCATTTTAGTTAGCTGAATGTGGTAATTACTTAACCAGATCTAGGTCATTAAAAACAGACTTACATAATTGTCCGTAGGTGTAACAGATAGCATCTTGTATTCACATAATTGTTACAACAATGGACTCTTTCTTTTATTGAGCCACCTGCATAGAGCCAAGCAGGTGAGGAAGAGGAGGAGGCCAGGGGAACAAGTGGCACCTGTATTTAAGAATGGCTTTACTCAAGTCTGCTATACACTCTCAAAATAACAGTGTTTCCTGATACAATTGACTAGTATTGGCAATTTTAGTTGAGCTTTTGTATTTGGATTGCTTATTTCAGTATAGATTTCTGACTTATTTCAGTACATTTTTCTTCATGCAAAACTTTTTTTCTAATTAATAACAATTTACTTAAACTGGTACATAATTTAACTTTCAACAAGATAAAATATGTCTTGAAATTATCTGAAGTAGGTATGAGCAGATTGGGGGGAAAAAGATCAGTGGTGTAGCATTATAATTTGCTCTCTTCACTGGTCAAACACACATAATATAATTTGAATGGAAATTAAAAAAAAAATACAAAAATATATGGGTATACATGATCATTTAAAGTGGCTGTAATAACTGTTTTCATTTTATATTTTTTTTAAATTTATTTAAATTTATTTTTATTTCATGTCAACATTCAATATAAAAACAATATATTTAAACAAGTCAAATATTCTCGACAAAATAAGTGACGTCTATAACTGGTAGTAATTAATATTCGTTTTACTTACTAAAGGTCCTGTATTACATGAAATCAACTTTTGCGAGCTTTAGGCCAGAAGTTGTGTTTTGTTTCATTCATACATTTGAGTAACTCTGCATGATTAGTCTGTTTAAAGCTCAAAATGCTCTGTTCCACCTTGTGATGTCATGAAGCTGTAGTTTTCAAATTAACAGCTGCACTTTACATTCAGTTCTGTAAAGACTGGAAATGGAAATGAAATTATCCAAATGATTCTTGTGAAGGTGTGAATGTTGAAAGAAGAACTTAGCCTAAATATTCCAGGTTTGTGGGTTAAACATGTAAATGAAACAAACACGACCCCGGGTATGATTGTGATGAGGAAACAACACTACAACAGCAGATCGGAAACTAACGTAACATGGGCCCATTAAGGATGACCCGTTTTCCAGTGGCTTGTGAAGAGCGGTTCCCCCTCAGGTACACGGTGACATCACTCATCTCTGCGTGTGTCCTGTTCAAATGTCAGCTTCATTTAATTGGCCTTCATTAGGCAGTCACCCTGGGATCTAAGTGGCCACTGCAGAGCTGCTCCCTCGAGTGGAGGGCTTTTGGGGGTTAGTATGAGAAATATTATACAGACCAGTGTTGGAAGGAAGAAGTCAAAGCCTCAATACTAACCAAAAACTTAATTGGTATCAAAATTAGATCCTTATTTGAGCAGATATCAATATAAAAAATGTATTAATTAAACGATAAATGCCAAATAGCATTTAAGAATTAATGGGAGCCTATTACACTATTTTCTGATCTGTTGTTTCCTTATCAAAATCATACCTGGAGTTGTACCTGGACCCTGCATATTTAGGCTGAGTTCTTCTCTCAAACGGAAGATGCTGTTAACATGAAAACCAGAGGTGGGGACTTGCAAGTCGTGACTTGGACTCAAGTCAGACATGAGTCACTATTTTTAGGGGCTTGAGACTTGGTTTGATAAAATGGACTTAGACTTGGGACTTGGGACTTAGACTTGAAGGTCAGTGACGTGGGACTTGACTTGGACTTGAGGCCTGTGACTTGAGAAAACTTGAGAAGCACTTTTAAATCTGAATTCTTTCTATTCTGAGTGTAATGATTCACACTAAGATCTTGTCAAGATATTTAAAAAAGAAAAAAATAACATTTCTACAACTCTTACATAGTCTATAAATACTCATATAAATATATTATGATTTTTTTTGTACAATTTAAAACATTTAAATTTTTAAGATTAAAATTCATAAATTGCGAAAAAAAAAAATTCTAAGCTATATTTGGTTTAAAGACTTAAAATGACTTGAAGCTCAAAGCAGATGACTTGGACTTGACTTGGACTTACGAGCCAGTGACTCGAGACTTAACCTGGACTTGCCTGTCTTTGACTTGACTTGGACTTGAGGTCAAAGACTTGAAACTTTAGACTTGCAAAACAACTACTTGGTCCCACCAAGTAGTTGTTTTGCAAGTCTAAAGTGAAGTCTGATGAAAACTACCCCTTCATGACATCACAAGATGGAATAGAGCACAAGCTTTGGAGATGTAAACATAACTCATACCAACATTGCTCAAACATGTGCGAATGAAACAAAACATAACTCCATGTACGTTTTTGAGGAGGGAGCAACATTTCGACATGACATAAATTTCACAGGAGTCAATTGTATTGAGTTTAGGACTTTTAAAATGACTTTATCTCAATCAGAATTAATAGCACAACCCTGCTTAAATTATGTCCTAAGTTAAAGATACATTAATTTTTAATTGTCAATGATCAGCTTGGGTCTTTTTAATGCAGTGGGCTACAATCTTCTTTCCTCTTTACAATCCAGTTCAGAAAATGATATATATTGTTTTTAATTATGGCAGTTAAAATTCTATATTGTTTATGTTCATGAAATTAACTCTGAAAGACATTTTTATTTATTTTAATGAGAATAAAATATAATCTTTTTTTTTTTTTTTTTTATATTACCCAGCCCTTGTAAACTATCTTGCAAGCACTCTGCAATATCTTGAAATCATTGAAATCTTGTACATCATTAGATTTTCAATGTTTGCAGTGTGTAAGATAACTGTGATAATGCTTCAGCTTGACCCTGTATCATCAGAAATCAAACCCCGATATATTTTAATATTAATGACTTTTCGATACTGGATACTTCCTTACAAAGATAATATTTAAACTTGCCGTAATGTGATCTGCAGAAACAGATCTGCAGAGAGGTAAAATGCAGAGACACAGGCATTTCCACAGATAACGGCATACCGCAAGAGAGGTACGAAAACAGGAAGTCAGAACTGCGATTGGCTGTCTGTGGTCATGTGTACTCGGTTTGTCCTGCTGACACTCACAAATCTCCAGAGTGACATCACAGTGACCTGAATGACCTCATGTGTGTTTATGGTTTGAAATAGTTGACAGCTTTTTTTTATTTTGGTTTTTGCACCCTCTGAAAATATTTATTCAGATATTAACTCTGTCGGCTACAATGAGCATCTAAAAACGGCTTAAAACTATGAAAACTAACACTCAAATGTGTGGTATTTGTGGTACATATTGTATACCACAAATACCATATAAGTGAAATGTTACTGGCTATTATAGCACTTACTGAAAAATAGTCCTATGACCTGTTTATAATTATTCTTAAAGGTGCACTGTGTAACTTTTCCTCACCTGCTTGTCTCTATATTCCACAGTAAGGCTTATAAACTTATCGATACCTTGGATTTTATTGCTCAGAAATACAGTACTTTGACCTTCTTACTATGAGTGGGATTGCCTCTTCATAGATCTGAGCTGTGACTTGGCCTGGTGACATCTTGTGTTGGTTTCCAGGGAGTTGGATATGTTTAGCGCCATATACTGTGCAACACTCTAGACAACGCTAGACCAGAAAAGTTGAGCAGTGCACCTAAGACCAAGATTTAAACAACTGTCTAAAATGTGTTGTTTTTAATAATTTAACCTTTTGTGTTGTTGTTTTCTCCCTCAGCAAATCCAAACATGCGTGTGGGATGTACCAAGCTCGTTTAAGATTGTTCTAGTAAATGCAAGCAAGGTGAACGCAGAGGAAACGGCCAAGGTAAATATCAGCTATACTCTATACACTTCCATAAGCGTAACAAGTGTTTTAATATGCAAAGGAATAATTCAGCAAGTAAATGTATGTTTTGTTTAGTTAAAGGTCCAATACAAGTCCTGTTTGTTTTATATTATGAAAAAATACAGGTGGAACTCGATTAAAAGAATTTATCGAATTAATTGCAGGCTTCATACTTAAATAATCTCAGTTAATTGCATAACGGTATTTGCCTTATTCATTTTCTTTCTGAAGCCCGTCATTTGTTCAAGTTTGGGCTACTCACACTTCTTGTTTGTACTCGGACCAGAACTGCTCACGCCAACAGCTCCAGCAGTTACTGCGCAGCGAGCGCAGTAACTGCTGGAGTCATATGTTTTGCATTTAAATAGTATTGTAGGGTTGAGGTGTTTCTGTGATATGCAAACTCTTTTCTGCCGCCTTTGTCAATACTTTCATCAAGTAGTTTTTTGAATAGAAGCACTTTCATGCTCCGCTGTTGTAGTCGGAACTGTGTGCGTCAGTATAATTGGCATACCACAACATGATGCACTGACAAACATTCTGTGTAAAATGCGTTAATATTTTTAATGCATTATTCTCTTGGTAATTAACTGATCATAATTAATACACTAATGTCCCACCCCTAGTAAAAAATTACAAACATTGTGGAGGGTACTTACCATTATTGCCACAGTGAAAAACCAAACACATTTTTAAAATCTCATTTTCTCTCTCTTTTTTTTTTTAATCTAATACTTTTTAACTGCACAATGAATTAGGTGTGATTTTAAAATGTACTCAGTAGGTTGAATTTAGAAATGAAATTGTAATAACAATATTATTCACTTAGCCAGTTACATTGCCATACATTGTTGTGTTATCCTGTCATGTTGCACAGGTGCATAACAATAAAAAAAAAGTAATTTAATTTTACACTTTATTATTTTGTTAACCCGATAAACACCATATTGCTTTATTCTGCTATGGTATTCCCTGTATCTCAGTATATAATTGTCCTGTGATATACTTGGACTAAGATTTAGACTAGTCAAATAAGACATAATTATATGTGTATATGTACAAGTCAAAATAGAATAGAAAGATAAGTAATAAAATAAAATCACAGGTTCATACAAGAGGTCATATGAAGACAGTGCAGCAATGATATGATTATTGACAGGACATAGGGTTAACCATTACATAAGGGTGAGAGAATAGAATGGACTGATTAAAGGAGAGAAGGGCAGAGACCATGAAAGAAAGAAAAACGGCAAGAGAGATATTGAGATTACAAGAATTCCAATACTATGCGTTTTTCATCTCCCATCTCTAGTGGGGGGTCATTACAGTATAAAACCTTCATGCTGTGATGTTGTACAGGTGCAGGTGAGGGCGGGGCTGTTCCATGGGGCGGAGCTTCTGTGTAAACCTGCCGTGAGCAGTGAGAGCAGCGGCCGCTCGGAACACACCTGGAAGGATAGCACTTTAGAGTTTGACATCTCCGTGTGCGACCTGCCCAGGATGACCCGCCTCGCCATCGCCATCTACGCCGTTATGGACAAGGTCAAGAAGCAGAAGTCCACCAAGAACCCCCACATCAACAAGTACCAGACCATACGCAAGTCCGGCAAAGTGGTAAGAAGAGACCAGTTTAACCATTGTATTACTTCACGACCCAATTTAGCCTGATTCATCAGCCGGTTTCACTTTGTGGAAGCCATCTGACTTTGCAGCATTAGGATTTGTTTAGTCGATGGTAGGCGGGTACTTTTTTTTATTTAACCAATCGCTACTATTTGGATGTGACATATGTAATGCGCTGCTAACGGGGCTAACTGGTATATTCAGTTTTTCCAAAATCCCATAGAAAGAAGGGCAACAACATCTTTCCCTTTGATAAAATTCACCAAACATTCTCTTTGTTTCGGCTTTAAATCCTCAATCTCGTGAGTGTATTCCAATTCCTGACCTAGTCGCTGGAGAGAAATGAAAGCCTGACTAGCCCCAGTCAGCTTGTCTTCATGGACTTGTTTGGAATGTGCCACAACATGGCATTAATCGTATCTATCTCAAGTATATTAAAGATGAAACGTCATGATGAATATTTTAATCAGATTGGTCAAAGTGTCACAATAGAGGAACAAGCTGAAAAAACAAACTTTTGCTACATCTACTTGAGAGAAAAGCACAGACATCTACCCTGTTCACAAATATAGTCCATATTCCCACTAAAACTGTTGTGGTTCACCCACCTGTGGGCAGCCCTGATCACACTGCCCAGAGCATGCCGAGATGCATTCTTCTGAGTTTGTGAATTCAAATATCATGAGAATCCATCTTATAGAGAGGTTAAATAGAATAGACTGTTGATCCCTATATTTTCTGCTAATCATTATTTTGTTCTGTTCAGCTTTACCCTATAGCCTGGGTCAATACAATGGTGTTTGACTATAAAGGCCATTTGAAGACTGGAGACATCATCCTTCACTGCTGGTCTTCATTTCCTGGTAAGAAAAACCCATGTTGTGAAAGTCCATTAGAACATTATGACATCATTTGAAGTCCTCTTCCTTTTCCAATCATGTTGTGTTTCCTGAACAGATGAACTTGAAGAGATGCTGAACCCAATAGGAACAGTTCAGACAAACCCGTACACTGAGAACGCCACAGCGCTGCACATCAGCTTCCCTGAATACTTACCACACTCCATCGTCTTTCCTCCGTTTGACAAGGTGAGAAACAAGCGGCAATTTTAACAGTTTTGAGGAAATCACAACTAGGAATAAACATGCCTCCTGCTTTTGCACTAATGCATAAAAGCACCAAAACAAATTTTCTTTTATGTAATAGGTTACTGTAACATGTGTGGTATTTTGCATCCTGCTTGTTTCTGATATTGCTTTGTCCACTGTATAAAATCTATATTTATTATTTTATTTTATACTGTGGAACATTACTGGCAAAGCAATAACATCTTCGTAGAGACAAGCAAGTGGTGGATCCCCAGTCAGAAAACCAGAAAACGTACAGTCCCTGACAAAAGTCTTATCCATTTTGTAGAAACAAAAGCTTATAACCTGACTTTAAATTAATCGATTGGTTTTAGAAATGTCTCATATGAAAGCTAAAACCCTCCCAAATTATGCTCAATATACTAAAATAAATTTGCTTCACTGAAGAAAGATTGATCATTTAATGAACACAGAAAGGTCAGATTTTGGCAAGACAAAAGTTTTGTCGCCTACAGAAAATTTAACAAATAATTTACTTCAAATACAAAAATATGTTGCATAACGTCAGTGAATTAAGTAGTGGTGCTGTGAGATCCATATTTAATATCTTGTATGACTTCCATGAGCTTGAAGGACGCATCCATGCGGTTCCACAATGATTCATACAATTTGTTGATGAAGTCATCAGGAATAGCAAAGAAAGCGTCTTACATGCCTCCCAGAGTTCATCAAGATTCTTTGGTTTTGCCTTCCATGCTTCCTCTTTCATTCTACCCCAGACATGCTCAATGATGTTCATGTCTGGTGACTGGGCTGGCCAGTCCTGGAGCACCTTGATCTTCTTCGCCTTGAGAAACTTTGATGTAGAGATAGAAGTATGTGATGGAGCACCATCCTGCTGCAAAATTTGACCCTTTTATGGTTGGGAATGTAAGAGGAGCTAATACTTCTTGATATTTTAGGTTATTGATATTGCCTTCCACCCTGCAAATGTCTCGCACACCCCCATACTGGGTGTAACCCCAGACCATGATTTTTGATGATGATTCCGCCACCAAACTTAACTGTGTTCTGGGTGAATCTTGGATCCATGCGGGCTCCAGTAGGTCTCCTGCAATATCTGCGTCGACTGTGATGTAATTCAACCGAGGATTCATCTGAGAAATCCACCTTCTGCCACTTTTCCAGTGTCCATCCTTTTAGCAGGCTGTGGGCCTTGGCAAATGCCACACGTTTTTTTAATTGCCTTTTGTTTAGTGCTGATTTCTGTGCACTGATTCGACCATGAAGGCCATTTCGAGACAGAATTCTACAAACTGTTGTGGTTGACACAGGGATTTGAGGTGACCAGGCCTGGTGGAGCTCTGCTGCAGTGGAAAAGGGGCCTTGGATTTTCGAATCAACAAACGGTCCTCCTGAGCAGTTGTCTTGCGGGGTCTGCCGGACCTGGGCTTGTCAAAAACATCTCCAGTCATTTCAGATCTTTTTCTTATTCTTTGTACTTGACGCTGAGACACATTGAAGGTGTCACCACCTCAGCAGTGGATCTGGTCTTCAGCCTCTTGATAATTAACGCTTTGGTCTCAGGGTGGATCTTAGGCATGTTGTCAGAGGTCAAGTTGCAGTTGATGTGAAGGTCTGGTGTGCTGGGGTTCTTTTTATACACACCCACTAATTGATTAATCAGTAACTGATCACAGGTGAGGCTGTAATCTAGGATTGGGTGCATCATATGACAAGGCGACAAGACGACAAGACTTTTGTCTTGCCAAAATCTGACCTTTCTGTGTTCATTAAATGATACATTTTTCTTCAGTGAAGGAAATTTATGTTAGTATATTGAGCATAATTTGGGAGGGTTTTAGCTTTTATATGAGACATTTCTAAAACCAATCGATTAATTTAAAGTCAGGTTATAAGCTTTTGTTTCTACAAAATGGATAAGCGACAAGACTTTTGTCAGGGACTGTATATAGTACACCTTTAAGTATAAGTGTAGCAGATTTGTGGCTATGATAATGTTTGCAGTTTTGTTTTGCTTGGTTTTGCTCTTCTGCCAGCTACTGTAACTAGGAAACATACTGTATATTCTGACACATCTGTGACACATTTGGAGATACTTTACATTTCCGATTCCAATGCTAGAGCTTTAAGTATCTGCCAATACCCGATGTCAACTGATACCAGTGTAGAGACTAAAAACAGCATTTATTTCCTTAAACCAAAAGTAAAATAAGACTAAAACAGTCTGTCAAAGTGTGTTAAGTAGCTGTTATTTATAACTGTTATTTATCTCTCTCTAGTAATGACTTTGTATGAATGAAAATTGAAACTTTCTGGCCCAACTATGAGCAGTAAATAGTAAAATCAATTTAAATGGCCATACCAGCTTGTCAAAACCTGATCCCGTCAGATCTCAGAAGCTAAGCAGGGCCGGGCCTGGTTAGTACTTGGATGGGAGACCACTGGGAAAATCAGGTGCTGCAGTTGGACACCAGTCACAAAAACTGTTGTTGTGTCCTTAGGCAAGACACTTCCTCCACATTGCCTAGTATGAAAGTGGTGTGTGCGTGAGTGATGGTGGTGAGGGACTGATGGCGCCAATTGGCATGGCAGCCACGCTTCAGTCAGTCTGCCCCAGGGCACCTGTGGCTACAATAGTAGTTTACCATCACCGGGTATAGAGTGAATGAATAATGCTGAATAATGCTAAGCGTCTTTGTGACATAAGACTTACTTATTCAACCAGAATATTTGCTGAACCAATATTTGGAAGTTGATATCTGATACAGCACATTTTTCAGTATCAGAAACTATATCCGGTTTCAGTATTTTTATTTTTTTGTTTTTTTTCCTTCTCTTTGCTTGTAGGTGCCACCTGCTTGTCTCCATAGTGATATATCAGTTGAATGCCATGGAACATTGAACATTCTAGCCAAAGCAATAACATGTCTGTGGAGACAAGTTGTTGGCATACGCTTCAACAGTACAAATACATAATAATATTTACGTTATAATACTGCAGTTGTTTTGTTGGAGATATATAAAATTAGGATATACATGTATATTAAATGGCTTTAATACAGACTATAAAGCTCTTTTTGGTTATTTTTTGTTAACATTGCCCACCTCTATAGCGCATCTTTAAATGTTGATATAAACTGAGTAAACTTGACTAGCCTTTGCCTTGGCCAGTGGCTCTCCCTGCTTTCTAATGGGAGCAGGTGATTATGATGGAACAGAGGCTGGTGAAGTGGAAGGATGGAAACACACTCAGCTTAATGGGGCTTTTAGGACAAGGCTGTTCTGTGCGTATTCACCTGGAGCCCATGTAATGTATTTTTATTTTTTTTATTTTTCAGATTCTGGAAAAAGCAGCAGAAATCGCACGTGCAAATGACTGTGCCCCGATGGTGAGTAGTAGTAGTAGTAGTAAATAGTAAATAGTAAAAAAAAGTTAATTTGAAATAAACAATAAAATATCCATGGAATTCTGAAAAGATGAAAACTTTGGACTGTTGCCATATCAATTGACAATTTAAAATAAAAAAAATATATATCTTTTGAATGGTGAAAAGTCCTTAAAAAACTGCTAAAAACTGGCAACAAAAGTATATTCTGTGCAATGTTCTGTATTTTCATTATCTTATCTTGAGAGGACTCAATTGTCAAAAATCTGGTTAATTTTAAATAGTAATCTGATCAACATGTAGGCCCAGGGCAGTAGACAGAAACGGGACAAAGGGGTCTGTTGTCCCGGGCCCCAGGGGTTTAGGGGCCCAGAATTGAACCCTCTTTCTATTAATTTATATCTGAGGGAGTACTATATACTGTTGAAAAAAATACAGATGGTAAACGATAATATTAAAACTAATGTATGCCCCTGACTCAATAACCTTACAGCAGGGTCAGCCCCAAAAACTATTCTAAATTTTGTACAATATAGTTACAAAAACACAAACTGCAATGAATAAATAGCAGAATAAATCACATTAGTAGTTTGTTTGTCTCTCTAATAAGCCATAGAAGTTATTTTTTCAACCCTCCACAGCTCATATCTAATCATAGTACACAAAAATACCAAAAAGTTCCCAAAATGCGTTGTTCTGTTTTTTTAATCGGTCGACGGTCTCCTAGTTAACCAAAGTTTTTATGAGTCAATAAATCATTTTCTGTAGATAAGGCTTTTGATATGCACTAAAGCAGAAAGGGGAAGGCATGGCGTGAGTAATCTGGAGTTTTGGGAGTGAATCATGACTTTTTTTTTTATTAATATGAAGACAAGATTTCCTAATATTGTTCTGATTAAATAGTTAGTGCATTAACTCCTGTGCAGTTCAATAATACTGAAAGGTTTTAAGAACTTTGTCCACGACCCCCCTTTTAATCGGCGAATGAATAGGCAGGACACATCTTTTGTCAACAAAGAGGAAACAGACCTACTAGTTTCTCACTTAAAATATGTTATCAAAAGTAAATTTATAATCCCATGCTCATCCTGTTACTCATTACTGTTTACATAATTTCTCAGTCTTTATCAAGAACTGTTCAACCTGGGATGTCATTTTGCACTACTTATCTAAGACAAAATTTCCCTTTCCAACTTTTCTGGTGAAGGCTCTGCTACCTTCTTGTCTCCATGGAGATGTTATTGCTTTTTCTGGAATGTTCCACAGTATGACATTAAACATATCCAGCCTAGCAGTCATTCTTTAATATTGTTTCTATTGCTCAAAAATAGGCAAGGCAAGGCAAGTTTATTTGTATAGCACAATTCGTACACAAAGTAATTCAAAGTGCTTTACAGAATAAGAAATACATTAAAATCATAATAAAAACAAATCAAAACTTAAATAATCATGAAGATTAAAATTAAAAAAGAGAGACATAAATTGGAGAGAAGAGTGCGGAATGAAAACCTTTCAGTTATATATAACAATATACAATAACTTCTTCTGTGAATAGGGGCGACTCTCCACAGATCTGAACTGTAATTTCACATTCTAATCAAAGCAATAACATTTCCATGGAGACAAGCAGGTGGCAGTTCCTCCACTAAAAATGTTACACAGTGCACCTTTTAACTATTCTGGATAGTAGTCTTACAAGGTTTATTTGGTCTTCAGACAATTTATTTTTTATTTGATTCTTTTTCAGGCCAAGGTTTAGTTTGTTTTCATTCTTTTAGTTTTGACTTCTCACTAGCAAATTGTCAGGTATGAAAATAAACTGAAACCTTGGTCTGAAAAAATAAATATATTCAGTATAGTTTTTGGCTATCCTGCTCTTTCTCCAATAATGCATTAATCTTATTCCACCTCATTCACCTCCACCTTTAAATCGTTATGACACCCACATTTACACACAAAAATAGAATAATAAATAATTTTAAAAAAATTTTTAAGTGAAGTAGAGAATGAGAAAGCATACATTTTACACAAACCCTCTCATTAAAGATTAGAGGTTTAGGCCTATTTAGCAATTGAATATAATAGTTTTCTTTAATGCAGTACAAATATTTCTACTCTCCGAAACAAATAACCTGAGTAAATTAACAATGCTTTTAGAAAATCTTAAAGGTGCATTGTGTTATTTTTCTAGTGAAGGGTTCGTCAAAAGCTTTTCACCATGGAAATGTTTTTCTTTTGTTTTGGGTTTTTTTTTTTTTTTCTGGAAAATAAAAAAATATGGCATTAAACATTTTTGTCTTCACTGACACTAAACCTGACCAAGTTACAGGTAGGATCTGTGGAGAGGCAACCCCGCCCACAGTCAGAATACATGTTCTTAGACTTAGAGAAACGTTATTGATCCAAAAGGGAAATTATTTGGACACGGTAGCTTGCACATCACAGTACAGTATATTATAATAACAAAGAACAAAAATTTAAATTGGAATAAATAGTAGCAAAAATAGCATCAGATTGGTGTCAAATAAGGTATGTATATGTATAAGTTGAAATGAAAAATATTATATTAAACAGCTCTATCTCACATTTATTCAATTTCATGTGGTTTTATTGCTTAAAAATACCTATATTTCTATATTTTTTAAGGCTGAGTGATGACAGATGACAGTGATAGAAACAAGCAGGTGATGGACCTCTAACCAAAACGTTACACAGCACACCTAGTAAATGTGGGAAAGTATGCATCCATTTTGCATAAATCCACTAATAAAATTGGCAACAGTTGAGGTCAAGACCTGCTTAACAACTCACTCAATACCATAGTTTTCTTTTAATACACTACAAATATGTCTACTCCCCCAAAGGACTTAACCAGACTTAAACTTTAAGACTTTGCTTTCTCTCTCCGCACCTCTCTCTGGGCGTGTGACTTACGGCTACTTATGTAACACAGTGTTATGTGGAGGGCAGGTCTGAACGTGACCCGTTTCTGTGGGGACCATTTGAAACCTGGGATTAACATGGGATCCCGTACAACTTTGTTTCAATTTCAATTATAGGTCAATACGTGCGTCATTGTGTGCTCCCACTATGAGAACTTCCTCAATGGTTCCTGTAATTATGCTGTGACCGCTACTTCTTTGTGGGCTATATTAAGATGTGTATACCTCAGCCCCATTTGTCATGATTTAAGAATATGTTTCTCAATATTAACTTCACCATTTAGTAAGAATAGAGATAGTTTTGGTTTAGAAATGATCTCTGTTAAGGTATATTGTATATGGTCTAAAACTCTCTTGCCCTCTGGTGGTCATTTACGGAAACTATCGCTTTGCCGAATCAACGCTATTGTTCTATAGTCCTCCAATTTGTTTATTTATTGAACGATATGTGTAATTGCGTAGTGTGGGATATTCGAGACAAAGCAGTAACGTCATCACAGAGACAATTCTTCCCATGAAAGTTACACAGTGCACCTTTAAAGTGATGTATAGGCAGTTTAGTCCTGGTGTATTCCTGGTTTAATCCCGGCCTACCTAGTTCATGTTTAGTTCTGAGTTTCACCGCGTTTTCTCACCATTTTGCTGTGATGTGTGTGAATATAGTAATAATAATAATAATAATAATAATATAACTTGTGAGCTGATTTCAATTGTTATTCCAGGGCCGAGGAGGTAAGAAGTTCCACATTGAGTTAAAGGAGATCATGGAGCGGGACCCTCTGTCTCAGCTCTGTGAAAACGAGAAGGATCTGATCTGGACACTTCGTCACGACTGCAGAGAAAACTTCCCTCAGTCACTGCCCAAACTGCTGCTGTCTGTGAAGTGGAGTAAACATGAGGACATGGCACAGGTTGGATATATTTTTTTTTTCCTCTTAAAGGTCTTATATTACACAACATCACTTGTGCGATTGTTAGAATGTTGTTACCTCCTCAAAAACATAACTAGTTGTGTTTTGTTTCATTCACATGTTTTTAAGGAATTATTATTAGTCTGTGTACATCTCTAAAGCTCAAAATGCTCTATTCCACCGTGTGATGTCATGTTGTGGTAGTTTTGAAGTTAACATCTATTTTTTTGCTTTTTGTTTAGTGTAGATTGGCAATTTAGGGTCTGAAATTATCAAAATGATTCTAGCGAAGTTGTATGGAGCTTAGAATGCAGTGGAGCAATTCCTGTATTACTATATGACATCACAAGGTGGAACAGAGTGTTTTCAGTTTGACAGAAGAACTTAGTGTCAATATACAGGATTTATGTGTTAAACATGTGTGAACAAAACAAAACACAACTCCAGGTATGTTTGTGATGAGGAAGCACCATTGTCACGTAGCTCAGAAAAGTACATACTATGGGCGCTTTAAATGTTTAAAAATAGGAATGGGACAAGATCTCATGAGACAAAATTGCCACAAGACTTTGCACTCATGAGAAAAATTATCTCATGAGATTTTCTTCCATGTGTTTACATTTGGATTAGAGAAAAAAAAGTGCTAGTGAGTTAACATATTTATGAAGATTAATGATCCAAAGAGCAGTGCTAGAATGGCCGATGTAAAAGTATTCAGTAACATGAATAAAAAAAGGAAGGGCCAAAACTGTGAACCAAGCACATCATTTATTTTTTATAAGTTATGTCAAAATCTCAGCTTGTTTCGACCTTGTGGGAACTGTCTCGTCCCTTCTCTTTGTAAAAATAATCTCCCAAATTAATAAACAAATGTATACATATTTGTGGCATTTAGTGAAAGTAACAAAACAAATGCAGTTTCATAAGGGGGGTGGGATTAAACAGGTTTCCTTCTTCCCACTCCTTTTTGGGCAGATTTTTTGTTGTTGTTCTTGTTTCTGTTGTTATGATTGCACTAATGTCAATATTGATCACACTATGTTCCATTGTGAAAGAATGTCAAATGCTTACTTGCTCAAAATAATTACATAAATAAAAAAACAAAACTTACAGACTGGCAGTTATATATTGTCAGTTAACCCTAGAGCAGCTGTGACTAGAGTCATAGTTTATTGCCACTGAATGGGTGGGAAGTAAGGTTGACAAAAGTGTCATTAGTTAAAAAGTCCTTCTCAGGACAGAAATGAACCTTTCCTGAACAGCTTTAGAATGATCTTGAGCTATATCAGTACGAGTATAAGAGCACACGGACTAGTAGAGTAGTAGTAGTGTGGAGAAACCAGCTTTGTGACTATACCGGCTTGTCTATGCCTGATCCCTTCAGATCTCAGAAGCTAGTCAAGGCCGGGCCGGGTTAGTACTTAGATGAGAGATCGCTGGGAAAATCAAGTGCCACTCTGGTGGGCAGGTCGCAGAAAAATTATTTTTATGTCCCTAGGCAAGGCACTTCGCCCACGTTGCCTAGTCTGAAAGTGGGGTTTGATGGTGGTGGTTGGAGGGGCTGATGGTGCAGATTGGCACTCTTGCATCTGTCAGACTGCCCCAGGACAGCTGTGGCTATTATAGTAGTTTACCACAAGTGGGTGTAAACTGAATGAAAAATGCTCTGTAAAGTGTCTGAGTGTCGTGAAAAGCGCTATATAAAACTGATGCATTATTAGTATACACCCATGGGCCACTATGGAACCTCCCTGGACAACTGAGGGATTACACAGATATAAAACCATAAAAGAAAGTGCTATTTTTTAATGTTGAAAATTACATTCTTTTTTTTTTTTATTCCTTAGTATAGTATAGAAATTGAGTCTGAAATTCAACAATTCAAAATAGTTCTGTTAGTAATGCAAAATGTTTGTAAAATGGTATTCTTAAATTGCCTGCAGAAAGTAAAATGTTGTTCATGTTTTTGATAGCTCCAGGCCCTGCTCCAGATTTGGCCCAAACTGAGTCCTAGAGATGCTCTGGAGCTCCTGGACTTTAACTACCCCGACCAGTATGTCCGCGAGTACGCTGTGGGCTGTCTACGGGACATGAGGTAGGCCTACTTTAACAATGAACAGACAACAACTGGTGTTTTAGTATTAAAGGTCCTATATTATGCAAAATAGATTCTTGTGAGCTTTAAACCATGTTATAATGCTGTTACCTGTAGTTGTTTTGTTTCATTCATATATAACACTTTCTTATTAGTCTGTTTACATCTCTAAAGCTTAAAATGCTGTGTTCCACTGTGTGATGTCATTAAGCGATAGTTTTGAGTTAATTGTTACCTTTTACCTTTTCTTCAGTAGAGATTGGCAATTCCAGGTCTGAAATTTGACAAATAATTCTGGTCAATGTGTAATCTGGATGACTGAGCGATTACATAAATATAATGTCACGTGGTAATGGAAAAGAAAGTACTAGGCTTAATATAAAAAATGACATTCTATTGTCTAAATAGAATGTATTTTTTATTATCATTGTGGTATTGGAAGCTGCATTGAGTATCAAGTCTATTCTTTGGTATCGAGATCAAGTTTGAAATTTTAGTGTCATGACAACACAATACAATTCAATTAAAGGTACTAGTACTAATTGAGTCATTTTCATAAAATTTACTCACAATGTACAATTTAAGATTTTAATTTCTGACTATTTTTGTTCATATAGTCAATTAACAGATAATATATTATGTATTGCGTTTTTTTCCAGTGATGAGGAGCTGTCCCAGTACCTGCTGCAGCTGGTGCAGGTGTTGAGATATGAGCCTTACTACGACTGTGCCCTCACCCACTTTCTATTGGAGCGCGCCCAAAGAAACCGGAAGATTGGACACTTCTTATTCTGGCACTTAAGGTGTGTATGAAAGTAAAATATGTGTGAGGTGTTTTTATTGACCTCGGTTATATTTAGACATGGCATATGTTATCTGAATGTGTCATTCTGTGTTTTCCAGGTCAGAGATCCACATGCCTGCTGTTTCAGTCCAGTTTTCGCTCATTTTAGAGGCCTACTGTAGAGGCAGCATCCCTCATATTGAGGTTCTTAAAAAGCAGGTTAGTAACATCATGTATTAATTTTGACTATTCTAACCCACTTCTCTCACTTCTCTCTCATTATTTAAAGGCGTACTCTGTAACCTTTCTGGTGTATGGTCTGCCTCCTCTTTCCAATCCAATCCAACTTTATTTGTATAGCACTTTTTATAAACATGACAGTTTCCAAAGTGCTTTACATAGAATTGTAGAACATTTTACTTAAAAAAAATAAAAATAAAAAATCTGAGTCAGAATTATGTTCCAACCAAAAGGAAACTAATAGAATCAATAAATAAAATAAAATAAAAATCAATGAATAATAAAAGCAGTACTAAAAAATAAAATGGTTAAAAACAATAAATAAATTAATTAAATAATATGTTTGACTCCATGGAGATGTTATTGATTTACCTGAATTGTTGCACATATATGGTATTAAAACTGTCTTGCATTTATTCAATCCCAAGATATTTGTCACAAAAAAAAAAAAAAAAAAAAAAATGGACAAACATGCATTCTTACTGTGCTCACCTCTCCGCTGATCTGACTGTGGCTTTTTGGCACTGCTGAAATTAAGTTTAAGGTAATAACACATACCAGGCAAAGCAATCAGATCTCTATGACGATAGGCAGGTGGCGGACCCTACCCTTTGACTTCATCTCCTTTTTGACTTTTGATACAACTCTGCTTCTTATGGCATTAGAGTCTTATAACAATAAGGCTGCTGGTGTTGTTGTCGTGTCCTTGGGCAAGACACTTTGACCACCTTTTTTCTCTGTAACAATAGACTTCAGTTGTAAAGTATTTTTAGCCTTGTCACCGTCCCTGCCCTTTGCCCTTTGACCTCTGTAGAGTTAATTTTGACAGTTACTCCACTTCCTCTTTACTTCCTTGTCAGTGTGACTATTTATGTGACCACTTCCTGTTTTGAGAGGTGCTCACATTGTTAGACGTTTATATGCTGATGTTCCAGGAGTCTAAATACTTCTTCACTTCCTAATAGTGTGTTTTGGTGTGGTTAACATACAATAATAAATAGAAAGACATACTTTGACAACAAAAATTCAGTATGGGGTCAAGTTGTGTTATTCGAATTGGGTTTTGTCTGAAGAGTAATTTTTATACTAAATTGTAAAACAACATATTATACCAAAATACTGTTATTTTCACTTATTTAAAATTGACAGTAATAACTTTAATAACTTAATATTTGCTTTTCTTCTTAACCAATTAACCTTTTTCACTACATCCATTAATATTCTCTTTTGTCTTCCTGTAGACCTCCTGTTTCCTAACATTCTTAACCTTAGCATTGGCACTATTTTTCACCCAAACACAGTCCTAGTTTATGAATTTTGTTTATTGATAATCAAGGGTGTTGTGGCCGTGGTATCCGGGGGTACGTCCACCCACTTCCCACTTCTCCCAGCATGAGATATAAAAAAAAAAAATATATATATATATATATATATATATATATATATATATATATATATATATATATATATATATATATATATATATATATATATATATATATATAAAAAAATAGCCTACAACTTAAATGTCATGCAATTGATTAATTGCATGACAAATTTAATTAAACCAGCACTAAACCAGGACTGAGTGTCAGTACGGGCCCAGAGGTGCGCCCTTGTAGACCGCTGTGTGACTGCGGGCGAAAGGACCGGCGAAGAGCTCCTCACCTCATAGGACTATGCACAGACATCCAGACCATGCTCTGCTGGCTTGGGGTTCTCTCTGTTTTTCAATCTAGACCTGGTTTAGACCTGGTTTAGACCTGGTTTAGACCTGGTTTAGACCTGGTTTAGACCTGGTTTAGTCCTCCTAGTTCAGTCACAAATTGCGTACACCCACTTAAAAAATTCCCACTACACCACTATAGATAATCCCAGTCTAACTTTTTTTTTAAGGTAAGTTTAATACCATATTGTGAAACATTCCAGGCAAAACTAACATCTCCAAGCAGTTGGCAGACACGCTAACATAAAGCTTACCTTACCTTACCTATTTTCAGTGACCCTTTAAGCAATGGTAGTTTTTTTAATTTATTTTTTTATACTGGACCTCTGAAAATCTCAATTATTTCTTCTTTATGTTCAGGTGGAAGCATTGAGTAAGCTGAAATCAGTGAATGAACTGATCAAACTTGGGACCATCAAAAGCGCTCGGAGCAAAGCCAAGGAGGCCATGCTGACCAAAGAGGCCATGATGACATGTCTGAGGCAGAGCGGATACTCAGACACCCTGTCAGACATACACTCCCCCCTCAACCCCAATGTACTACTGGCTGCGGTCAAGTAAGAAACAAACATGTCATTGATTTATAATGTTAATCTTTAAAAGTTTTTGTACTTATATATTTTTTGTGTTTTTCCTTAGTGTGGAAAAGTGTCGGTACATGGACTCCAAGATGAAGCCTCTGTGGATCGTTTACAACAACAAGCTGCTGGACGGGGACACGCTGGGAATCATCTTTAAAAATGGAGATGGTAAGAAAACACGGAAAATAATGGAGGACTTAAATTAGCGCTTGGATTTTTTTTTTTACTTTTTTCCATCCATCTATCTTGTTCCACTTCATCTATGCCAGACGTTCCCAGACACACACATCTTTTCACATTAATGTCTGTTTCTTTATTTCTTTGGGTGGCTGCATGTGTACACAATCGTCATAAAATCCAACAAAATAACGCCTTTCAATTATTATAATTTTTTTTGTCCCTAACTTTACTGCAATTAGACATCAGTTTGTAAGCATTTATTTTAAAAAAGCAAAAATGGATGCGTAAGGCAAGTTAAATATTGGATATTGGTTATAAATGAAAAGAATCAGACCATGTTTACAACTGTGTCTCCCTTTTAATATTTGGTTATAGTGTTTCATTGAACCAACTTAGCCGAAAACATCAAAAATATCTTAATAGCTTTCTCAAAGAGTGTGGGAAAATAGGTGCCACACAGCTCAAGGACCTTATTTACACTTTTAAATCCAGGTCATTCAAAAAAGCAAAAGAAATACTGGCAGACTTCACACGCCCAGCATTCAGTGTTACTGGTCTTTTAAATAAACTATAAAAGAACCATATTCTACCATCTCACTTATTTAATTTTAAACTTTTAACTAAGGTGCACTTTGTAACTTCTGTTGGAGGGTCCATCACCTGCTTCTGTTCATGGAAATTATGTCTGGAATATTCTACAGTATCTCAATACACTTATTCATTTCTACAGAGACTGTGAGGCTATAGGGCCAAGTTACATGTGAGATCTGTGAAGAGCCAAGCCCGCTCACAGTAAGAATGCAAGTTTTCAAGTCAATAAAAACACGTGTTATTGAGTAAACGCGAGATGGATACGCTTCGTGCCATACCGGGATATTCCAGACAAAGCAACAACATCCCCATGGAGACGAGCAGATGGCAGGCTCTAAACCTGGAAAGTTACACAGTGCACTCTTAAATTATCTTTTTTACCATGTTTTTTATTCTCATGTCCGTGTCTATTGTTGTGAGCTGTGACTTGGAAGTTGAAGAATTAGTTTTTGCCCTGGACGCTAATCTAAACAGGTGGTCATTATGTCACGGCTAATCTGTGTCTCTATCTCTTTAACAGACTTGCGACAGGACATGTTAACACTGCAGATATTACGACTAATGGATCTTCTTTGGAAAGAGGCCAGTCTAGATCTCAGGTAAGACTTCTGCATTTGCTTTTTTTGTAGTTAGTGTCTTGAGTTGTTTTTCCAGCTCTCTGTGTGATATAGAAAGCAGAGAAGAGATTCAGCTCTGCTTTAGAGAGACGCTTAGACACTTGGAGGGTCCGTCACCTGCTTGTTTCTGTGGATATCTGTCTTTAGTTTGCCTGAAATGTTGCACAGTATGACATTAAACAGTTTTATCTTACATTTATTCAATTACAGGTGGTTTTATTGCCCAAAAACACCTACAAAAACAATCACAGACTCACTGACTGTGAGCGGGGTCGCCTCTCCACAGATCTGAGCTGTAACTTGGTTTAGTTTGGGCTCCATGAAGATAAAAAGATTTAATACAATACAGTGATACTTTGCAGACAAAGCAATGACATTTACATGGAGAAAAGACTGACGGACCTTCCACCAGAAAAGTTACACGATGCCCCTTTAAATGACTTCATGCTAGTTTGAGCCATGACCCTTTTACACCCAAGTTTTCAGTACTTTCTGAGCACACCCACACACTTAAAATATGCTACATCGTCCAAATTAAAGCCACATTTTTGGGAAACGCTAGCTCTCTTTGTCATACATGGACACATCTGGGGCAGAGCCATGGAAAAGTTGTTTTGACAGTTGAGCTACAGAGAAATGGTTCGTGTTACAAGGACAGAAGTTCAGGGTTCAAACTCAGAATGGGGATAAAAGGCGTGGGGCAGAAAGTCTTCCCTTATGATGTAACCTTAGCTTTCATATTTTACAGTTTCAGTTTTGTGTAAAGGTTTTATTGAGGTGTGGAGATATAACATTAAATTATTCAAAGATTCAATTACCTTTGCACAATGTAAGAATGTATACTTCTGTGAGATGGGACCACTTTTGGCATTGATTTTATCTTATTTTTCATTCTTATGTGCCATTTTTTTGTAACAGAACCAGCAAAGTCAAGGCAGGTTTTCACTTAAAGCAATAGTGTGTAACTTTTTAGCCAAACATAGTCTTAAAAAAAACAAAAAACATGTTTTTTGTGTGTGTTTATTGCACTGAAACACATGTGGGCTTGCATCTCCACAAACCTGACTCTTATTTGGCCACAGTATAGGTTTAACTTTCTACGTCTGTGGAATTATGCAAGTTCTACCACCAGATCATTACATACTTCTGACTTTACCTAAAACATCAAATATCAACCTTTTAAGAATTGTACAAAAAAATAATAATAATTAAAGGTGCAGAATATCAGTATATGCCTTTCTCTCAAACAAGAGTAATACAGTGATATTTCTGCCCTTTTTGTGGTTAATTTTATGCTCCATTCACATTTTGTACGATACCAAGATATTTGTTGTTTTGTTTTGTTTTTTTGTCAATATCTCCCAACTCCACTTCATAACTGTTTTCACTGCTCCCTCCTTACCTCCCTTGTGGAGATATTATATTGCTTTACCTAGAATGTTCCACAGTATGGTCTGGGCCCATAGATTGTCTGGGGAAAGTTAAAGGTGCATGTCTTTATATCTGCCACAAGAGGGCAGTGCATACCTAAAAATCGTTAACAAATCACCATATTTCAGACTTTATTTTGTTCATAATGTATTTAAGTAATTTAATGTATGTAAGTGTCAAAGTGAAAGATGGAAAAAAAATACTAGTTGATTAATCAATGTATTAATTGACGACTAACATCAAATTTCAATAACGTCCCATGCCAACACTAATTTTGATATAGATATAATTCAGATATCATTACTTTTTTTTCTATTTGGAGTCATTTGATAAAGTAGAGGTGCATCTAACCATTTTTTGCATGAGAAAGGACTTAATTTTTATCTCAAAAAGAAAACTATTCGACTACTAAAACAATGGTTACTTGCAGCTCTGTTGATAACTTCTTTCCTCTCCTACAGAATAGTCCCATACGGTTGCCTGGCGACAGGGGACCGGGCAGGGCTGATCGAGGTGGTGTCTTCGGCCGACACCATCGCAAACATCCAGCTCACCAGCAGCAATGTGGCTGCAGCTGCCGCCTTCAACAAAGACGCTCTGCTCAACTGGCTCAAGGAGAGGAACTCTGGGTACTGCTCTGTCTTATGGCTGTCTATATGTGTTCTGTACAGTGTGGATATTTAAAGGTCTTTTATTATAATATTTGTACACATTTTGATTAACATAATAGTCTATAGTCTATAGTAAGTCAAATGATCTCATATTTATTTATATACAAAATACCAGCAGGGGGCACTAAACGTCCATGAAAGCTTTAGATGTGGGCAAAAATGCTGTGATAATGCAATTTTTTTTAAAAACTAAAAAAAAATATGGATTAATTTAAAATAAAAAATCTAAATAGAAAATTCTTAAATGTTGGAAAAGGAGGAAACAACATTATAACAGAAAATAGTTTAATATTGGTTGTTTAAACTTGTTGTGACCTATGTAAACTTGTTCCTGCAGCGACGCTCTGGACCGAGCCATAGAGGAGTTCACTCTGTCTTGTGCTGGGTACTGTGTGGCCACTTATGTCCTGGGCATCGGAGACAGACACAGTGACAACATCATGGTCCGCAGCACTGGACAGGTGAGGCACAAGCATACACTACAACTAGACAGAGATGGAATCATTAACATAATATGGTTTATGCTAATAAAAGGGTAGACAGGATTATTTGTGGGATATTATATATAATTATAATAATCTCTACCAAATATAATGGCCATTTAATCATCAGAATGTGCAGAAAAAAACTACTTATCCTATGATTATCTCCAGTTCAGTTTTATTTAACACATTTTATGAACATGATTGAGACTGAGAGACTTTAGTGATCCCAAGGGAAATTCAATTTTTATGTGAGTTATGATGTCAGTTGATGGAGCTTAGTTAGTCCAAAATGTATTTCTCATGCCTTTTTCTTCTCAGCCCACATATGAATTACACGTATGTATGCTAAAGTGTGTTATTTTAATGTATTTCTTTTGTGTCTGTTTGAAGCTCTTTCACATAGACTTTGGGCATATTCTGGGAAACTTCAAGTCCAAGTTTGGCATCAAGAGAGAGAGGGTCCCATTCATCCTGACGCACGACTTCATCCACGTCATTCAACAGGGCAAGACTGGATACACGGAGAAATTTGGAAGGTAACATTTATACTGGTTTATGATTTAATTTTATAATTTTACTTTCTTTAATTAAATTAGATGATATTTGTAATTTTACCATATTAATCCTAATTCAGTGCATCTTATTAACATATTCAGTATAATATGTGGTTGGAGTGCCATTAAAAGTTGAATATATTGATATCATTGAAACAATGAGCAATGCTAATCTCCATCAATAGATGGCACTGCCTGCATAAAAACTGTCACTGCAGATGGCCTGCACAATATGACAAAAATACATATATATGATATTTTCTTGGATAGTATTAATAGGACCAAACAGGAGATTTATGCATTTTATGAAATGTTATAATAAAAGGCGCCATTACCATTATCAAACTGTTAATCTCCTGTACCAATTACAGTTTATTATTACAAAGATGAAGCACCTTTGGCCACTATGAAAAATAAATGCAAGCTTGTACTCCACCACCATGGTGCATGGTGCATTTGACACACTTGTTCACTGGCACTCGTGTTGTACCATGTGCTTTGGTGGAGTTATTTACAACAATGTGTGATGGAACATTTAGACTCATATAAGGCAGAGGTTATACTCATGTATTTGTTATGGTGACCTATAAAGTTGTACCACAAGAAAACATTTATCAGAAATGCTTGTAGAATTTAGTTCAGGATGTTCTGAAAGATTGTATCAACATTACTGCTGTCACGTACAATTCTTGTGGTGGGCACCTTGCAGCTTGTTGCAATTTAATTTATGTTTTAGTTTTTTCTAGAATTGACAATTCACAATGTCAGATTATAGTGTTTTAATAGATTTTATGAATTCATTTGTATAATTGCAGATAGGTGTGGGCAGTCCAGAACAGAAAAGTGTTAAAACATGTCTTTAAATGTATTAGTTGAGGTTTCAGTATCAGACAAATGGGAATGGCTTCGAAATTACTACTACTACTATTAATAATAATAATAATAATAATAATAATTTCAGTTTTATATAGAGCTTTATTGGACACTTAAAGACGCTTTACAGAGCAATAGTCATTCACTACACACCCAGTGAGTGTAAGCTACTACTGTAGCCACAGCTCCCCTGGGGCAGACTGGCGGAAGCGAGGCTGCCAATCTGCGCCATCGGCCCCTCCGACCACCACCATCACTCACACACACACCACTTTTATACTAGGCAATGTGGGTGAAATGCCTTACCTAAGGGCCACAATGACAGTTTTTGCGACTGGCGCCCCCCCTGTGGCACCTGATTTTCCCAGTGGTCTCCCATCCAAGTACTAACCAGGCCCAGCCCTGCTTAGCTTCTGAGATCTGACGGGATTAGGCTTTGACAAGCCGGTATAGCCACAATAAGCCGGTATAGCCACATTTAAATTGTGCATATTTTCAAAACAACATTTACATCTATTTTTGGATAATCAGTTCACCTTTGCCATGATTGTCCATACTTCAAATGACTCCTGCCTTTAAAAGCCACCCTGAGAAAGCCATTTTTCATCGGGGGTGGGCCTGGTTAGCACTTGGATGGGAGGCCACTGAGAATAGCAGGTGCCATAGCAATGCATCAGAGCCCCTAGTACATATGGTTATTGTGTCCTTAATCAATACACTTCACCCACTTTACCTAGTATGACCTTGGTGTATAAGTGAATGTTGGCGTTGGCCTGGAGTGACTGAGTGAGTACAGATATATTGCTTCTTTTAAAACTACATACTTCACTGTGATTGGTCATTTCTACCTCATGCCAGAGATTGATCAGTAGTAGTAATAGAGTGAGTGAGGTAAAATGTTTGGTTGAGCTTGCAGGCAGATTTACTTGTTTTGTTATAGACATGCAGACATTAACTTAAAAAAAAAGTAATTCTGATTCTGAGTTGGAGTTTCACTTTTATCACTCAATGCTACAGTGAACCTATATCTGTTAAGATGGTTCTGTTAAGGTTGTACCCTTCCTCCATCTCTTAGTCGCCCCTACCTCATAATGTGCATAATAGGTGTTTAATGACTGAACTAAGCCTGAGGAGGCAAACCATCCTCTTCCCCTGTCCCACGCTGTATTTGAGTACAACAGTGAGTCATTTGACCTAAAACCAAATAAAATGTTTTGATCTCTGATTTGTGAGCAGCATAATTTGGAAGCTCAACTCATCTGGACGTATTACATTTACAAAATTTATACAGAAATATTATGACTCATCACCATTTTTATGCCAAGTCTATGTTCTTATTAAAGGTACACAATGCAAGTTTTCTGGTGGAGGGTCAGTCATCTGCTTGTCTCATGTTTTCCACAGTATTGTTGTAATACTTTTTTTAAGGGAGTCACATGCTTGTCTCCAGGTAGATTGCCAAATTTCATGCTATTTTGTGGAACATCCATCCATCCATTTTCTTCCGCTTATCCGGGGTCGGGTCACGGGGGCAACAGTCTGAGGAGGGCCTCCCAGTCTTCCCTCTCCTCCAGCTCTTCCAGGGGGATCCCGAGACGTTCCCAGGCCAGCCGAGAGACATAGTCCCTCCAGCGTGTCCTGGGTCTTCCCCGGGGCCTCCTCCCGGTGGGACGTGCCTGGAACACCTCCCGAGGGAGGCGTAGAGGAGACATCTGAAACAGATGCCCGAGCCACCTCAGCTGGCTCCTCTCAACGTGGAGGAGCAGCGGCTCTACTCCGAGCTCCTCCCATGTGACTGAGCTCCTCACCCTATCTCTAAGGGAGCGCCCAACCACCCTGCGGTGGAAACTCATTTCGACCGCTTGTATCCGCGATCTTGTCCTTTCGGTCATTACCCAAAGCTCATGACCATAGGCGAGGGTAGGAACGTAGATTGACCGGTAAATCGAGAGCTTCGCCTTTCAACTCAGCTCCCTCTTCACCACAACGGTCTGATACAGCGACCGCATCACTGCCGACACTGCACCGATCCGCCTGTCAATCTCACGCTCCATCCTCCCCTCACTTGTGAACAAGACGGATCTCGCCCACCCCTGGAGCCTTGCCACCAAGGAGCTTGCCAACCACCTCAGTGACTTCAGCCAGGGTGATGGATGAGTCCACCTCTGAGTCCCCAGCCTCTGCTTCCTCCTCGGAAGACGTGACGGTGGGATTGAGGAGATCCTCAAAGTATTCCTTCCACCGCCCGACAACGTCCCCAGTCGAGGTCAACAGCTCTTCCCCCACACTGTAAACAGTGTTGGTGAAGAACTGCTTCCCCCTCCTGAGGCGTCGGACAGTTTGCCAGAATTTCTTTGAGGCCATCCCATAGTCCTCCTCCATGGCCTCTCCGAACTCCTCCCAGCTCCAAGTTTTTGCCTCTGCGACCGCATGGGCTGCAGCACGCTTGGCCCGCTGGTACCCGTCAGCTGCCTCAGGAGTCCCATGAGCCAACAAGGCCCGATAGGACTCCTTCTTCAGCCTGACGGCATCCCTTACTAACTGTTGTATAAATTTAAATTACAGGATTAATATGTTTAATGCTGAATAAGATGAGATATTTTCTTGTTGGTGGAGAAAATGATGGACTACAAAAATGGCGGTCTATTGCATCCAGTCGAAGTTGCAATTTTTATTTGATTATGATTCGTCTTGAGTCGTGAATGTTTTTTTCCTCCTTTTATGTAGTTATTATAAAGACTCTTGTGTTTACACCAACATCTCTGCTCATAAATTCCTTGCATGTGTGTGTGTTTGCGTAGCTTTCGACAGTACTGTGAAGAGGCCTATCTCATCTTGAGGAGGAATGGAAACCTCTTCATCACGTTGTTCGCGCTGATGTTAACAGCTGGTCTGCCTGAACTCACCTCTGTCAAAGACATCCAGTATCTTAAGGTAAGAATTTCATTTTGACTGAAAATTAGTCATTCAAAACCATAATTAAAGTCCTATATTACACAAAATATGATAATGATAATGTTACCTCATCAAAAACATACCTCGAGTTGTGTTTTGTTTCATTCACACATTTTTGAGTAATTCAGCATTATTAGCCTCTTAGTTAGCCTAGCCTATTAGTGAGGAGTGGGGGCGGGTGTGTGGAGAAGAAGTGAGGAGCGGGGGTGCGCAGAGATTCCTTGCACGGAGAGGAAGTGAGGAGCTTGGGTGGGTGCGCAGAGATTTCTTGCACAGAGAAGTGGGGGTGCGCAGAGAGTTCTTATTCCTTGCACGGAGAGGAAGTGAGGAGCGGGGGTGAGTGCGCAGAGATTTCTTGCACAGAGAAGAAGTAAGTAGAGGTAGAGCAGGGGTGGGACGACCGTAGTTTTGGTTCAGAGGGATGTACTCAAGGCGGGGGCCACTTGTTGTCAAGGCTATAACGTGCTTTTTATTAACTATAAAGTGCTGCGGGAACCGGTGCATGGTAGTTTTTAAGTTAACAACTACCTTTTATTTAATAGAGACCACCAGTTCCAGGGCTGAAATGATCCAAAAGATTCTAGTGAAGGTACGCCGCATTTAAAATCACAATGGAGCACTTCCTGTATTACCACATGACATCACAAGGAGGAACAGCGTGTTTTCTGTTTTAGACAAGAACCTAAATATGCAGCGTTTGTGCATTTAAACACGTGAATCAAAACACAACTCCAGGGTATGTTTTTGATGAGGAAACTGCATTAAAACAGATCACAAAATAGCGTAATATAGGACCTTTAAGTGTGCAATAGCCAATTCAAAACGGATCAGTTTGTCAGTTGGTTAGAGTTTTTGTAGTAGTACAATGTGTAGTATGTGCAGTGTTGTGATCTTTTGATTTGTCGAATATTAACATGTACTAGAGCCCGACCGATATAGATTTTGTTGTGGCCAATATGAAACCGATATAATGGGAGTTGGAGCTGCCGATATAATCGCCTATATATTTAGTGATGTAAAAATTCACTCTAAATCTTGAATTGTTTAAAAAACGTAGGTTTGGCCCTAGTGGATTTTCAATTGGGTTTATTTAAGCAACATTTATTGTTAGGTCTCTTTAGGTCATATTTACAGACAGTAGGTTGGACTAATGACATTTTGCATCACATTCTAGCTACTAGTGATGGGTATTCCAGTTCTTTTTAGAGAACCGGCTCTTTTGGCTCGGTTCACTAAAAGCAGCTGGCTCTTTTGGGTCCCAAGCAGCTCTTCAGATTGTTTTGTTGCCAGCAGGACTAAACCAGAACTGAACCAGGGCTAAAACGGATCTAAACCATGTGTAAAACAGGACTAAACCAGAACTGAACCTGGACTGAGTGTCGGGACTCGGTCTCTATCTCTCTCCCTCTCTTGAACCCAAGATTAGTCCTGCTTTATTTATTTTATGCTAAACTACAGCCAAATATGCAAGTTTTTTCTCTCATATGCACACGCAGATTTCTGAAAGTTTCGTTTTGAGCCGCTGCCGCTGTCAAACTACCACAAGTCTGCACGCGGAGTGAAGAGAAAAAAAGTGAGAGAAAGAGAAAACACGGCTCCCAATAAGGAGCAGGCTCCCGTCGTTCGCTTCAAAGAGCCGACTCTAAGAGCCGCTTCGTTAGCGACCGATCCATAACTAATAGCTAGTAAAAAAAACTACCGCTATTAGCCTTTAGCAGTAAATAGGTGCGCGCCGCGGTAATTAATTATATGCGCAAGTATCATCATTCACACCTCTATTCACAGCTCATTTACATATCAATGCAGGTCCAGTAACAAATATACGGCAAATATAGTCACTTTGCAATAGGCCAATAGAAAACAGTCTGTTGATGTGCGGGAGCTACAGCAGCTAACCGCTAACTAATGAGAAAAAACAAAACTACTGTAGCTTCAAAGTCGACATATTTCCAACACTCACCGCTCACACAGGCTCCTCCCACATCACAAGTCTGCACTAATAAATGTCCTTTTAATCCAGACTCAAACCAAATGTCTGTAAAAAGAATATAATCTTAGTGTTTGGATCTATGTCTGCCAGTGTAAACAAACGCACGTGAGTGATGCGACTCTGGGGTTGTGTTCAGGGACAGTACAGACACACACACAGACAAATGACTCTGCAGATAAATACTCAGTGTTGGGAAGGTTACTTTTAAAATGTAATCCCCTACAGATTACAGATTACACACCCCAAAATGTAGTTTGTAACGTAATCCATTAAATCACTTAAAGTGAGTAACGTAATCTGATTACTTTGGATTACTTGATATTGTCATGTTTTTAAACGACATGAATGTAGCAACCACATCCTGAAAATTCTTGTTTGTTGTCTTCAAATTGTCTGAGCCCAAGTCTCCATGAATAAGCAACTGTTTGCTGTAGAGAAACAAAGACCACGACATCTTAATATAAGAGGTTTTGTCTGTTAAAAGACAGTAACAAGATCAGTCTTTCCTTCACCAGATTAAAAAATATTATTGATAGAGAAGTTATTTTTTATATGAGATCACCTTAAATTATGTCAACCTACTGTTAGGTGTCAGGCTGTTTAGACCTGGTTTAGACCTGGTTTAGACCTGGTTTAGACCTGGTTTAGTCCTGGTTTAGTCCTGGTTTAGTCCTGATTTTTAGACCTGGTTTAGACCAGGTCTAGACCAGGTCTTTAGTTCTGGTTTAGTCGTGGTTTAGTCCTAGTTTAAACCTGGTTCAGTCCTGCTTTAGTCCTGGTTTAGTCCTGGATTAGTCCTGGTTTAGTCCTGGTGTTAGTTCTGGTTTAGAGGCACACAGGATGGAAGCGCGGTTTACGCGAGAAAACACGGTCCACACGCGGCCCACGAGACGGCGGTGTCCGTGCTGTAACTACGGAAGGAGACGTGGTCCGCGGGTTGTCAGGTTGATGACGATGATGAAGGTGTGTGTTTGTGTGTGCACGTCCACTCATGTGGCAGGTCACTATAGGACAGTAGTGCAGATATTATGAGTCTATGCAGGTTGTTTTCACCAGTGCCAGTAGCTCCAGTTTCACATTTAAGTTGTAGGCGATTTTATATTAGTTTTTTTTATATATATATCTCACATCGGGAGAAGAATTTCCAAGACACAAATGCATTTTTACCAATGCACTGCCGCTTCCACTGTGTGACTGACACCGCCAACTTTAAAATGGCATTTACATCGCTCTTATTGCGCGCGTTCTGTTTGGGTTTCCGGCAATGAGTGGAATTACCGAAATAAAAAAATAAATAAATGGGATGTAGCACAAAATGTGAAAACGGGAAAATACCGCCTTGTAATCCACTTATTTCAGCAAAGTAACTGTAATCCAATTACCACTCACTGAAACAGTAACTGTAACGGAATACAGTTACTCATAATTTGTACTCTGATTACGTAACGGTGGTACATGTAATCCGTTACTCCCCAACACTGTAAATACTGATGCGGAGCCACATATTAGGACATTTATCTGTCTGTAAATTGGATTAAATGAACATAATATAGATAGTCTAAGCTTTATAACGAGGTATAACATGCCCATGGGAAATATCAGACGATAGTTGCCCGATAATATCGGCCAACCAATATATCAGTCGGGCTCTAACATGTACATCCAAAATCTGTCTTGCGTGTTAATTGTTGTATTTGAAGTCAATTCTTTTTTTTTTTTTTAAGTACACTTTCAACCCAGATTAGTTTGACTTTTTGCTAAAGCAATCAGAAAACAGATTACACAAGTCTGATTTAGATGTTGACTTCAATATTTCAATGTTAATAATGATTTTTTTGTGTCCTACAATATTTTTAGTTTCATATTTTTGATTGTGTTTTGTACTATAGTCTCTTACTGACTGACCTCTTCTCCTGCTCCCATCAGGACTCTCTGGCTCTGGGCAAAACGGACGAGGAAGCTCTGAAACAGTTTCGACAGAAGTTTGATGAGGCTCTGAGAGAAAGCTGGACCACCAAAGTCAACTGGATGGCTCATAACGTGGCCAAAGACAACCGCTCATAGAAAGAACTAAAGTACAACACCCCAGGAGCGAATGAGAGACAATGACAATGTTGAAACCAGTGAAAGGGAATGCACAGGAGCAGATTCGTCACTGTATGTTTTAATAATAGAGTACAAACACTGGACTTCTGCCTTGTACTCTGCTCTGTTGTGAGATATGAACTAAAAATCCAATCTTATGACATTTCTGTGGGTTGAACGTTGCAGGTTTTGCACAGGCACAACCAGTGATGGAGCACAAAGCCAAAGTAAGGAGCCTCTATACGCCCACACTAAAAGAGATGGACTGTTCAATTCAACACGCCTGTATAACATGTTACAGGTTCCTAAAGACTGTTAAACAGACTTAAGCCCATTCAGTGGTCAAACCATTGTTACCAACTCTGGACTGTGCTAAGTACAGAAGAGGAGGGCAGACCCTTTTTAATGTTTTATTCTTGCTGCCTCAAATTTGCCACAGAACTACAGGAAGATTGTATTTTTAATGGTTTTTTTTTTCTTTTTAATTTTAGACTTTATCTCAAACCTGTATGTGCCAGGCTACTTTAAAAGTCTATTAAGGTATTTTTAAGGGGAATGTGATAGCAGAATTGGTTGTATACAGTGACACAAGCCTTTTTTAATTTAAGTACAATTATTTTATTTAGATATCAAAACACTGGAATTAAAGTTTTGACACTTCATATAGTTGTAATCTTTAACTATATTATGACATTTATTTTGCCTTTGCCCAAATACTGAAACCCTAGATAGACACAACACAATTCAACTCACCCAAATCAGGAAATAACTTATTCATGTAATATCTTTCCTGGGACCAAAACAACATAGAAAAACATTTAATTATTTTTATTTTAATGTTTTAAATCATGAGTCAAAGCTGAATGTTCCGCTAAGTGTATGTTTTATACAAACATTTTGGTGGAGTTGAAATGGGCGAGGTTTATCAATGTAGAAACGGCTCTGCTTTAAATGGTGGGAGCTCTTCTCTGTTTCGACGAAAGGTGCTCGTATGGCATCTTTAAATATTGTGCAATATCTGTAAACATGCATACACCGTATCCTGTAAGAAACCTGGACCCCACTCTTAAAGGTGCACCACGGCGCTTTTCTGGTGGAGGATCTGGTATTTTCGTTTGAGATGTCATTGCTTTGCCTTGTGCATTCGCTGTATGAGATGAAACCTATGATGCCAAGAGGCCAAGTTACAAGTCATATCAGTGGAGAAACAACCTCAGTGTCAGAAAGAATGCAATGTATTTTCAGTTAAAACACCTATAACTCAAGAAATGCAAGATGGTCAAGTTTCTCAGGCCAGAACCAAAAATGATCGCCACATCAGATTAGTTTATTTCAATGACGCATGAGAATTAAGAGCTTTTTGGTCACATATGATTTACAAAAAAGATGAACAGAATTTATTGCTACGCTTATGACAGAAATCTGTGATCTTTCCTTTCTTTTATCCTCATAAGTCATACTGCTTGAATACTGACAAACCATGCATGTCCCTGATTGGCTAATCCACCTGTCAATCACCCATATGAACTCAGTAACCAAACTTACATCTTCGTAAAGTATTCAAGAACTGTGTATTTTTCAGCAAAGCAATAACATCAATATGCAAACACGCAGGCAGCAGACCCTCCACCAAAAAAGTGACATAGTGCAGCTTTAAAATGCCTGTAATGTTTATTTGTGGCTTCATGTGAGAGACATGACACCACTAGCCTTTAAGTCTCAGACACTGGATATTGTAATTGTACAGGCTTTTAATGTTATGCTGTTTTGTTTCATAGGAGTTTTATTAAAGTTATTTTCAACTGCACAACATTTCTTTCTCTGGCATTTTTAATAATGTGAGTTTGCATTCATTGAGGATTCATCTGTGTCTGTTTTGCTACTGGATATTGTATAAGCATTGGACTTTAAAGCACCAAAAATGGACTTCACCAACTTCTTGATTAATTTTACATTTAATGGGATTGATCAGTTAATCGATGCAGACATTGTCAACTATTCTAGACTAAAATCACAGTCTACAATGTTAAATGCTTATGCAATTAAATCAGTTGGGGGAGGTTACTGAAATTGAAATTTACAAACACGTAAGACTGAGAAGTACATTTAACCTTTGAAGTAAAATGAGAAATACTTTTTATAGCCATAGTAGTGTAATCGCCTGGATAGCAACCTTAGCGGTAAAGAGGAACAGAGTAGAGCTGAGCCGATTTGTAGTGAAGATCCACAACCAAGACCAAAAAATATTTACAAAAGTGCAAGGTTAAAAACAGGCATGGCAGTAACCTGCACTCATACAGAGCACCTCCTGACAAACTATGAGGCTGGCTCCTTTTATAGGCTTCCTCTAACTGCGTGAGCTCAACTTAACGTGCAGTTACAGTCAACAATTTATATTCAATATCTTAAAAGTTAGATTTTTTTTTAAAAAGCACAACAAATATTCAGTTAATCTAAATACAAAATTTGCACTCTTTATTAAATTAGCAGTATGTATTCTTCATTTTAAAATACTAAATAGAAAAGTTTAAATCTCTGTGCTCCCCTCCTCCCAACAAAATAGTAGCCTGCCCCGGAACCTCCTTAAGGTGCTCCGGCTGTGTGGGGACTCTTTTGGCCGGAACAACTGAGGCAAAAAAGAGAGTAAGAACAACTGATTTTAACCATAATTTCTTAAATTTAAATGCAGTTATTTTACTTATTTCATTTTGTTTTACAGGTCTCTACTACAAAGACACTTTAATCACTTATCAATAAACATTTTAAAACTTTAAAACTTGCTAGTTTGTTTCTTATTACTCTCCCTTGTTAGCTAGCACCTGGCCCATGTAATGGACTAGCTACATTACAAGTATTAATGATATATATTTTTGTTTATTTTATTCTGAAAGAGGAGATGGTGCAAATCTTGTATGTCCCGAAGGTGGTAAAGTATAAGATTTTTGGCATATAGTAGAGAAAACTTTATAGGACATGCAAAAAACTTACTTGCAAATACTAGAGTAAAAATTACTATTGTTGTTCCATCTAACTAGAGGCGGGACAGAAATTTGTTATTTTAGAGATAAGCAAAATGAGATTATATTGTCTAAAATAGTTAATTAAAAAACACAAAAAACGCTGATTAAAATAAAAATGGTAAAATAGTTGTATATTTTTTTCAAACCAACACCTAAACCAACACATTTTGCACAAACACTTCAGATCTCGCATTGTTAAAGTATTCCTCACTGTTGCCATGGTAATAAAATATAACAACAAAACAAATCATTATTGCGATATTAAGTTTCTTCTCAGCATAGTGACCTTCTGTGACTGGACCACCTGCCTGTGTCTCTGAAAAGCATCTTCAGTATCTCTTGACAAACGCAGTGAGCAGTTTCTTTTCTCCCAGTGGGCTACAGTAGCTTTACCTTTAGCTACCATCATTTATTCATCGTCCATTTCTTGTAGGAGCAATCACAGCCCAGTGTGAATCACCCAGACTTTGTTATTGTCTGCAGTTACGTAACACAATAACCTGGATGGAAGCTTGTTTATACCGAGGAGGCCCAGGGACAGATATCCTGCAAGATACGCAAGTAAACAAAGCCTATACAAAACAGTCCACATATCATATTCATTAATGTTAATAAGCTTGATGCTAAGGTGAGTGAAAGGTCCCTCTGTATAAAGTTCATTTATGGTCTATGGTTTATCTGGCAAGTGGGTTGAGGCTACATACTGCATGTAATACTCTGTAAACATTCTGAGCAGTTTTCTTAAAGGTACGTTGCACAACTTTTCGGGTGATTGGACCTTCACCTGCTTGTCTGCACAGAGATGTTATTACGTTGCCTGAACAGGTATGTCAATAAACACTGTCTATCTAGCATTTATTCATGACAGGTGTTTCTGTTGCTCAAAAACACAAGAAATCTCTCTCTATAGGGTTGCATCTCTGCAGATCTGACTTATAATGTAGCCTATAGTGTAGTTGTCTCCCTTGAAATAAGTTTCTACTGTGGAACATTCTAGACAAAGCAATATCATCTCCATGGAGCAAGCATGTGACTGACCTTTAAAGTATTGATAAAAATATTGGAAAGAAAACTGTTTAAAGTTTAAAGTTTTCAGGTGGAGAATGCACCATCATTTGCTTGTCATGGAGATATTGTTGCTTTGCCTGACAGTATGACCTGAAAGTATGCCATTAAATATACGTATCATTGAGTTAAGGTAGTTTATATTGCTTAGAATCGAGTAAAACTTGGATACTTTAGTGAGCTGGCACGTCTCTCCACAGATCTGATATGTACCTTGCTTGACCTCGTAATGCTTTCTTTTTTGTCTCCATGGAAATGATTGAAACCCAATGCAAAAACATCTCCACTGGGCACAAGCAGGTGGCAGATCCTCTAGAAAAGTTACATAATGTGCCTTTAATGTGGCCAAATTCAAAACAGAACAAAAAAGAACAACAAAAACAGAAAACATATTTTTTCTGGTATGTTGATTGAACTTTCAAAGGAAAGTCTAAATCAGCAATATTGTGTAATTCTCTGTAATCAAGCATAATCAAATGTAATGGTGACCTACTCTCACAAAGTTGATAAACCTGTTGTGAATGTAGCACTAAACCACCAACCATTTTGTTTATTTTTATATCTGCAAAGCGGCACATAGTAATAACTTACTTGAATGAAGAAAAATACTGTGAAATGAAATGTGTTGAAATGTCAAGAGGAAGTTTTGTTAAAGGTTGTATAGAGGATTTTCCAAGGAACGAGAAATCCAGCGACTGTTTGTCCTTTTTCAAATGTTGCGCATGCGTGAAACCACCCCCCCTCCCCTACAGCTCCCTACGTAGAAACGCCCCCTCCCTCCTCCTCCTTACGCCAGAAACAGGTTTGCTTACAGCCGGTGCACTGCACATGACTTGTAAACAACTAACTACAGTGTTGGTTAGGGGGGGGTGCGGACATTTCGTGCGCAGACGAGAAGTGAGGAGCAGGGAGAAGAGCAGAGCGGGGAGCAGGGAGAGGAGAGAGGAGAGGGGAGCGGTGCGCGGAGATTCCGTGCCCGGAGAAGTGAGGAGCAGGTAGAAGAGCGGAACGAGCAGCGGGGAGAGGAGCAGGAAAGGGGTGCAGAGAAGGGTGCGTGGAGATTCCGTGCGAATGAACTAGCTACAACACGCAGCAGCAAGCGGACTCTTTCTTTGCCTTGAAAATTACGTTTTCAGACATACGATATCGCTTTCGTGTCCTGAAAAACGTTTGTCTAGCTCTTGGAAATAAAGTACGTTTTCATAATAAGCAGAAGTGACCTGTCCAGGAGTAATTTGGCGACCAATGCGTCAGTCTTTAGACCCTGCGTCTGCTTCAGTTGCGCCATCGCTGGAATGAATCTTCAAGAATCACCTTAGTTTGGCTTCGCTGCTTTTCCCCTTTTCTTCTTTCAGCAATCTCAAAAACGGACTTTCTTTTGCGGCTAACTGCTCCTGGATTCTTGTCTGCCATTGCAACAAACTTTGTGCTAACTGCGAGGAAGATATAGGTCAAAAAAAGCCGCTAAGAACTGTTGCGTTGGTGGAGTAAACAGCGTCTGTGCGTCTTGCATCTGTGGACTGCGTGACAGGCGTACGCAAACCACGTAACGGCAGCGCGCAGGCAAGTCAGTTACGCTAGAAACGTAGGGAGTTTGATTGACAGCCTGTCAGCTAACAGATAACGAGGCAGTGTCGTTATCTATTGGCAAATGTTTATCTGGCTCCACCACGTCCAGAGTTGATGAATTTTTATTCTCTTTTTTTTGGTCATCATAATTACAAGGCTACTGCACCTCTATAATGCTATCATTGACAACTTGAAACAAAAAAAATCCTCCATACAACCTTTAACCTGAAGATTGGTTTGCTCTTTTTCTTTAAAGGTGAGGAGAAAAATTCAGTTTGTCGACTGGACAAAAGTTAGTTTGGTTGAAGACGTTTCGCACCTCATCCAAATTGCTTCAAGAAGCAGCTTGGATGAATTTTTTTCCTCATGGATTCTACCTGGACGACAATTCTATATTTTTTTCTTTAAAGTTTAAAATGCAAAAAAAAATAAATAAAAATAAAAAATAAATATTATTGCAGTGTTACGACCCAAAAGATTTGAGTCCCAACATATTTAGGAAAGGACACGGAAACCAAAGTAGAATTTTAGAGTTTTTATTTTAGTTTGTACAGAGATGTTTAAACCCCCCAAAAAAAGAAACCCTACCCGTGCCCAAACCAAAAGTAGCAACAGAGAGGTGGACCTGGTGAGCCGGCCAAAAAGAACAAAAGTTTGCGACACCGGGCCAACCCTATACAGGGCCGTAGGAGCCGGTGCCAGCACCCGTAACTAAAGACCAAAAAGCCCAACAACCTAAACCCAACAGAAAAGCGAAAACAGGACAGCCGGTCCCACCAGGTCAAACAAAAGGCTAACGGCTAACGAAAGCTACCAGAACGATGGAGCAGGGGAGCCGCTCCGGTACCTGCGGCGGCGGCGGACGAGGAGAAGGAGAAAGCGATAGAGAGAGCGAGGCGGCGCCGGGCTCGCGCATTTAAGGCCTCCTGCCGGAAATGAGGACAAAAAAAAACTACAAAAACGTAATTAACCTACAAAAACAAAACTAAGCAGAAATGCTACAAAAAATATATAAACAATAAAAAGAAAGCAGGGAAAAACCAAAAGTGCCCAAACATAACATGCAGTAATTCACTTTTTGAACTGTCAGTTGTGACCAACTGACTTACTTTTTTCTTTAATTTATATTGTTTTTTTCTGTAATTATCTTTTTTTTCTACCTGTTTTGCTCCACTAAAATATAGTTAGAGAGACATTTAGTGACCAGAAACCATTCAATTGTGGTGTCACGTGTGATGTGTGACATGTCTTGCTCTAGGACATAATGGCTGTACAATACACTAGTGAACGAAACTAGCAAAGTAAAGCATATGGAAAATTTAATTTAAAAAAACACAACAAATTTATGTTGTAATCTTTCAAACACGGGTATGTATCACCTTCTTATAATTACATTTGAATGAGTTGAATTCCATGGTGTGGAAGAGTTTTTTTTTTGTTTAGTTTTGTTTGTCTTTATCATAGACTGCATATATAAATGGACATAGCATTCCAAAAAGAAAGTGATCATGGGGGCGCTTCTGGCTCCATTGCCTCTGGTTTCAAATGACTTTACCTTCAAAAATTGTTACCCCTCTCTCTGTAACTGCGGCAGTGAGCCTCATCATTTTGGTCTTAAAATGATTGTATTAACCCACTCTACATGATCCTGGTGTTTTTATTTTGCTAATTTGTCTGTAAATAAATTTCTATTTCTAACATGGAATTTGGCTACAAATTCGCCTGCTAGTCTTGTCACCTTTATTTGACTGCAGCTATGGGTGACATCACACTGCCACTTCTGGTCCACTTCTGGTCCACTTCTTTCTACAGTCTATGGTCTTTATGACAAAGAATATGTTTAAAGCTTGTATTATAGCAAGTGAATGCATTTGGGTTAATGTTCAGTCCCATGTCTTTCAGATATAGAGGATTTCTGGTTAGATAATCACAATATTGGCCGAACTAGGATCCACCCACTGTGTGACTCACCTGTTTTGGGAATTCCACCTACGATCGGGGGCTCCCAATCTGCCTCCCCAAGAGTCCAGGGGCTTCTGTACTGTCTGGTGTGCGTGCGCGCATGTGATTGCATTATACTTATTAAAAAGGATGCAAACAATAAACCATGAATCAGTCAACACCTACGTACCTTTCTACCCACTTCTGAAATCATATTAACATGTTGCAATTTCTTTTGATGGAGACGCTACAAGAAGGTTCCCAAGCTGGAGTAAGGATGCTGATGGTAATGAGTATTCAGTCTTTGGCATTACACAACACATACTAGTTAATTTTTTTACTTTATTAAATTTTTTTTTTTTTTTTTTTTGGAAGGGTCTGCCACCTGCTTGTCTCCATGTTGTTGCTGGAATCCCCCACAGTATGGCATTAAACATACTAATGGATTTATTCCATTACGATTGCTATTACTGCTCAGAAATACCCTGAAAAACATGCATTCTTAGTGTGAGCACAGACCAGCTCCACTGATCTAACCCGTAACTTGTCTTTGTGACGTCACCTCCTTATTTCCATGGAGATCCTTTGTATGAAACATTTGTGAATCAATGCTTGCTGAAAAATTGCCATAATCTCAAAACTGTAAGAAGTTATAATTGAACTGTGAAGGGAGTTTCATTCTTCCAGTGCCCAGTTGGACACCAGGAGAGTGGGAGGATGTGACAGACTTGGCGTAGCACATTTGCTGACTGGCCACTGTGTACCTCCTCAGCTTCTGTGTGGGTGTGGTACCAGCGGGAAGGAGCCAAAACTGAGAATTCCACTCACTCAGAGTTTCCTGTCTTGAGCATGTTGTGGTGGCTATCATCGCAACATGTGCTAAAACAGCTTGCCAGTCTCCACTCATAGCAAATCAACAGATGAGCAAACCTGACACAAAGCAGTTCCATTCATGTGAAGGGCGTATTGAATAATGGACTAAAAAAGAGTGAGGATGTTAACTCACACACCTCAAAAGATATGATGCAAGCAAGATCAGCCAGGGAACCATAACTTAGCATTTTAATAGCTCATTCTATGATGCCTAAATGAGGGTATGAAGGAAGCACAGAGATTTTAGGTAGCGTTGATAATATGCCTATTTATCTGTAATTCAAACGGATCTAACATTAATAACTGTAGTTTTGGCATTAGTTCATCATTCTTGTAGCCTCTGTAGTGTTCTAATGCCAGGTTTTATTAATTATCCGGCTGTTTACACGCGGTTTATAGCGTGCATTTACTGTTAATAACCCATACAAAAGCATATACTCATGTCTTTGCAATACAAATAGTCCTATAAGTTTATTATTTAACTTGTTACGTACTTTTACCTTTATTATTTAACGTTTTAGCTATTTACTTACTAATTCGTATAACAACCAATTATTAAATAAGCCTAAATAAGCCCACGGTTATCACAATGACTGGTTTTTGTTTACATTTGCATTTATGTAAGTTTTGCACTTGATACACGCAGTCGTAACTACCTGAGTCTCATACCACACACAACATGGGATCCCACGTGCAGCGGCTGACTTGTTTATATAAAACGATGGACAGCGCCAAGAGCCAATGGGAGTTTATTGTTGCTAAGTCGTCATCCTTTCCATGGAAACCCTCTATTCTGGGCCAATCAGAGCAAGTAGGGGCTGGGTCTTGAATTGAGGTCGAGCTCCGGGCTCTGTGATTGGCTGGCGGGCCGAAGCCGGAGAGAACCTGGGAGGAACTGCTTGCTAGTGTGTCAACCCGTCTGAGCAGCGACTCCCATTCACCAATATTGGACCCTATAACTGTATGATTTTCTCCGCGGGCATCGTTTCTTTTGCCTGATAGCAAGAACCTACGGAGTGTTTCTTTTTCTTTCTACGGTACTGGTGAGTGTGTCTCATTTTACTTTAATGCTTTAGCTAGAACAAAAAACGAGCGCAAAAAATAAGTTGCATAACTAAACCCGATGTGCGCATGCGCGAAAATTGTGATTGCTCTACTTATTGTAGTTTTAGCATAAAAAATAGCCGCGTCGTGACATTAAACTGCTTCGTTACGACAGGAAACGTGTTTTTTCATCGTTTCTGACCAATTCGCGGTGGTTACGCGGCGAAATTTCGCGTATTTTAGCCAAAACAGTGACTTTTACATAACTGTGTCAGTGTACCGTGCAGTGGATTGCAGGTCAACGTGTGTGTGGATTTCGTATAGCAGGTCATTTCAATGGCTATTGTGTACTGTTTCAGGTATCCGTGTGTGACATCGTAATGAACATTATTGATTGTTTTTACCAGTGAATAGGCTTGTATATCTTGAGGAGCAGTAAAGAAAGCAGAGGAGCCATCACTTACAACATGATGAATAATATGACCAAATATGTCGTTATTGTACAGTATTTAGAAATAGTCTTTGTAGACACACCTGCGCATAAAACATTAATACATATATTTAATATGGTGACATTTTATTTTAAGGTTTAAATACCAGTTTCTCCATCAAAGGCCTACTCTGTTTGCCACTATAGCCTACAATCTTCCAGCAACTTCCTTAACATCGTATGTATTTCTTTTAATCTGACATTTAAAGGTGTTTTTACTGACATTATTTTAATAGTTCGTGTTTATATTTAATCTTAAAGCACGTTTGGGTTTAATACATTTGATTTTATAGCACTTATTCACATTAGAACATCAAGTTCTTTTTGAAATTAGGTCTTACTCTAACGCAATTAGGTCATAACGTGGTATATCTCCAGTTTTTGTCATGGCATTAGCGATTTTAATAGCATTTATTTAAAAATATTAAATATTTTTGTTCAATGCTGAAAAAATGTTAATTCCTCGATTAACATTAGAAGAACACGGTAGCCTATTTCTAGTCTCCTCAGTGGAGTAGGAGCAGTCTCGCGATAGTTCGATACAATTATGTCATTTTCGAGATTTTATGAAGATGTAAAAGTATGGGCTTCTAGAGTTACATAAATGTATAATTTCATTGTTTATATAAAAATGGTACAATAATGTAATTCTTTAACCTGTAGCCTATGTATTTTCACGTTATTCGTGGTTTATGTAAGTTATCATTTTCGTGTTGCTTCTGTCCCACTATGTCCTGCCCCTAATATAACTGCATCACGTTTTTATTCCTATTTTATAATCAATGTCGTCACGAGTTTTTTTTTTTTTTTTGACGCAGTTGTTTGAGTATGCGCCAAGTGAAAGCATGTGGGTTTATGAAAGAGGCTACAGTCGCTCGCTTTGTGCCGCTGCGCCGTAGCTAGCTCCATGTGACTGGAGTAGCGTTGTATAATGCCCGGGATCTGCGCTTCTGTGCTGGGTGTGTTTTCTGCTCAAGGGCTGGGATGGGGCTGTTTTTACTTGCACGTTATGTCACTCTTCCACTCACAAGTTTTTCCTCCGTTTTATGAATTATCTCCTTTTATATAATAACCTACTGTAATGCGATATCAAGACAGAGTGGACTACTTATGACGTTCACAGCAGTGGTTCCCCCTTAACTTTTTCTCACAATATTCAGAATACACCTTATCTCAAGTTTTTATCATACTACAAAATACAGTGATATAAAATGCATTATAAATAACAAGAATATTCATATGTCATGCAATTTAACTTAAAATCAGGGATCATTCAAAGTACCCTCTGGTCAGTGGACAGTGGACAGTGATAAGATTCATATTAAACACTGACATACAACATTACATTTCTTGGAAACCAAAAAACTAAAATAAGTATCTGCTAATAAACAGGTTAAGCGGTTTCAAAGTATGATTAAAGACCTTTGTGTGTCATGGTAAGGGTTCATCAGTTCTTACAACTTGTTAAAGTGTCATTGTTAAATCCCTCATAACAGTGCTGCCAGTTTTCCTGCTCAAAAACTTTAAAAGAATGCATTTTTTAAAGTTCATTTTAGCTTTTTTGTCGCATTGCACTTTCTCAACGTAAACAGTACAAATCTACATAGTCCAAACTTCCACTGTACACGTTCAAAGTTACATGCATATTTATGTTCAGTTGTTTTATGTGTCACATGACTATTTCCTCTTTTATTATTTCAACTCTCTGTAACCTGTGGAACCACTTACTCTGCTCTGATTGGCTACATTTTCCAGCCAATAGGAAGTCCTTACTCCATACGCTTTATTGCACTAAACTGCAGAGTGGGTCATATCTATGGTTAAAGTGGGGTTTTTAAGGTGGGGCCAATGCCTAGTTGAAACATCAAGTTATAATTTAATTTCCGATTTCAGATGTTAAAATGTGACTTGGACATGTTGAAGTTATGTAAATGAATCCTTATGTAAAGAGCACATAGTAGCAAGAGTAGTCTCGTTGCTCATTTTGCACACTTACATAAATGGCTGCAACATGATCTGACTCACAGGAAAACAGCAAATAGACTCAAATTGACCTTGCTCTAGCTTTTGTGTAGAAGAATAGCTTGTCTGCTTTAGCTTTGGAGATGTCTCAAGAGGAGGCTGAGCGATGAAAACTGAAGCTTATTTGAGAAATCTGTAGGCTGATCTGTGCCCATGATACAAATGAAAAGTTGGGCTTTATGTGAGATGAGATGTATCATTACAATTCACGACAAAGGTAATTTCTCCACTTTTTCAATATTTTTTGATCAAAATAATTGAGTAAAATGAAATAAAAAACTAAGTTATATGCAGAATTGTCTTATTTGTTGTCTGAAATATCCTAAATGTTAAGCTTGACTCCTCAGAGATGTGAGATCCAGGAAGAATAGCTGTATAGAAGCACAGCTAATGAAGGTCAAAATAAATACATATACAAATACAAGTGTTGCTTTGTCCAGAATGTTCCAGAATATGGCATTTAAGTATCTGGAGGCATGCAGATGATACCAGCAGGCCAAGCTACAGATCAGATTGACTCTGCTCATAGTAAGAATGCATATTTTCTTGACATTTTGTAGCACTATAAAGAAAAGAAATGCAAGATAAGTTAAATGCTGTACTGTGGAACATTCTAGCAAAGTGATAACTATATGAGGACAAACAGGTTGTGGATGCAGCCCCCACCAGAACAGTTAAACATAGACATTTGTGATGCACTGTTTTGCATAGAATTCAGCTGCTGGTCAAACAGGTATCATCGCGTGTAATGTTCAGGGGTCCTTATCCTTCATGGAGGATTATATTTTAGGTTGTCCGCCAACGCTGTTTTTATCTGCGCAGTCCTCTTTCATCTGAAGAGCCCTTTTGAAAAACTGAACTGGATCAAACCACTCTGCGGCTTAAGACCTTTGCAAAGGGCACTGACAGCGCACCGAATGAACAGACCTTTAGCTCGACCTGTTGAAATCAAAGTGTGAAACTGAATGAGGTCATCAACAGGGTCACTGCACTGTCCACTGTTTGTGAACTCTATGATTGTTTTTAAAAAGTACACTACCAGTCAAGTACGGACACAAAATCTCATTCAATGTTTTTTTTATTTATTTTTTATTATTATAATTTTTTTAATTTTACTTTCTACATTTTAGATACACACAGAAGGCATCAAATATATGAACTGGTAGTGTATGTTATTATGTAAAGGCCTTATAGGTATTGGTATGTCTGGGTGATATGGTATATTGTTTGATCTGATATATGTTTAGGAAGATAAACGAGACAGACCTCAATATCATTCAACAGTCCAGTGAAATATCTTCTGGCTGAAGTCCAAACCACGTGCTTTTACTGACAGAGGATTGGCTGTAGAGTTCAGAGTTCAGATTTGAACCTCATTGCTTTGACTTTATATTGATTTACCCTTTTCAGCATCTTTTTCATTGATTGTTTGTGTGTGGTTTTCAGTCTGTGATGACACACACCCAGAGGAGTGGCAGGTGGAAGCAATTTTTTTTTCCTCTTTTGATTATGATGTGCCTTTCATCTTAAGTGGCATTTCATCATAACAAGCAAAGGACTTCCGTTTACTTACTTTTACTATTGGAAAAATAGCAATTTTTGAATCCATATGTGAGTGGAGATAAGTGGTAATGAAAACAAACTTTTTGAGCACTCAAATCTCAAACGCAGCATAATACAGGGTTACTTAAACACACGAATCAATTAAAATACAAGAATCTTAGTAAACAAATGATGAGGGAACATGTTTTATAACATGCTGAAAAACTCATAAAAGTCTGTGTCACATTTTAATTACTACAACCTTATTCTCATGATGCATTTACAAGTAACAATTAAAAGTTAAATATTATTTCATGTGAAAAATCTTCAGAAGATATCGAGATCTGTGAATAGAGCAATGGATTATCACACCTCATAGAATTTTCCATTGCTGAATACTAAACATAGCATTCATTCACAAGTTTACACTGATGTAATTCATGTGTTTGCCAGAACAGTAATAGTTTATTGAGTTGTTCCAGTGCTCGTTTGTGTTTATTTTTGTATTCGTTTGGCAATGCAAGTCTATGGATGTTTTCCTCTGCCCCAAAACTATGCCCATGCTAGTTTGACATTCCATTCTGTACTCTGTTATAGATGAGCACATTGCATTTCTTTGTAGTACTTCTAACACTATTCTCTTCTTCGTTTTAGGGTAAGTTCTGGCTGTTCATCTGAAGCAGAAGTCGATCTTTGGGCCATATCTACATGGTCTTGCTATGTGGAAGGTGACCTGAGCTCCCAGCGCTGCTCTGTGGCTTATGTCAGAAGACAGCGATCCAAAGCAGTACTTGTACCCTTTGGAAGGGCATCAGCAGGACATGGCCAGCAGTTACAGCGAGGGATGCAGCGGGCGAGATGGCGAGCTGGAGCCAGAGCTTGGCCTAGCGTCGGAAGGTAGCGACAGCAGCCATGAGCACCCAGTCTCGCCTGCCTCCCCACATGACGAAAGGAAGCGCCCCCGGGCCCCCATGCATGAGGACGTGGAGATGGGTGGCAGTGGCTCCAGTGGAAGTGGCACCGAATCCCATGGCAACGAGTCCCACGGAAACGAGTCCCACGGCAACGAGTCTGTGGGCAGCTCCAACGGCAATGGGAAAGACTCGGCGCTGCTGGAGTCATCAGGAAGCAACAAGAGGTGAGCTCCATCACGCTGTATGTTCTGTTGAAGTTTTTAACAGATTAACTGGATTTTTTTGAAGTAATAATTGATTAACGTTTAGCCACCCGACTTGAGGTCATACTACATCACATTTTATAAACAAGATTTTTTTCCACTAAATCATAAAAGGTGCCATAAGATAGATGTAATTTAATGCTAAAAGTATGGACTAGAATAAAAGCTTTTTTTTTTAAATAATGGATTATTGTATTGCACCTCCACAAACCAGACTCCCCTGCTGCTTCTCTCCAGGAAAATCTCATTCCTAAGGCCATAATATTCAGTTGAATGGCATTAAATTACTAGAATGTTATGAAGTATAATTTTAACTTTCATGGAAACATGCAGGCAATCAAAATTGCCTGGTGTTGCTTTAAGTTTAGATAACAATAACATTTTATGCTAAATTGTCCCTAATAATTTGGGAGAGTTCTCAGACTATACTGGTTGTTTGTTTTTTTTATCCTACAGTGTCACAATTTGTCACATTATCTTTAATTAACTGATTAAGCCCATACTGTTACATTTCCAATTAACGGTTTAATAGGCCTGCGAAGATAAAAAAGTGTGCGATATATTGCTGAAGAAAATATAGACAATAAACCAAACTATAAAGCAGAATTATCCCCAAAACGTATTTTAATTGTAGAGTATTGTTAAAAAATATGAGATTCAATAGATAAATAACAGAATGGAATGCTTAAGTAGTTAGTTTGTCAATAATGAGCAATAGAAGTTCCTAATTCAACATAATTCTACAGTTTAAATCTCAGCGCAATACAGAAAAACAAAACACATTTCCTACTGGTACAAAGAAAAAAGTATCCATGATAAATACTGACCCCCAAAATAATAGTTCCATCTAACATCTATTGAGAATATGTCGATATAGTAATTGTCATAACAGGCCTGCCACTGAGACATGAACATCCCCTGACTGTAGTTCACCACAACATAACTACAATGCAGTGGACTGTGAGAAGTGGTGAAAGTTTCCTCCTCTGTCTTGGTGCCATCTAGGTCACGGAAGTAAGGTTGATTTGACGTAATAACAGCGCGGTTTTATGTGAGTCATTTCTGTGTCTGACTCATCACAATAGACCGACCACTCTCTAGAACTTTGATTTTGTATTACATGAGAGATTACAAAAGAGCTAGAGATTGAGATGGCAATTCTTATGTGTAGATGGCAGCCTCCATTCAGAAAGGTGAAGTAGTTAAAAATGCAATTGCACTGAATACAAAAGATGATGATAAGCTATAAACATTTTTGTCATTGGCAAAATTGTAAACGTAAGGGGTAATCATCTTGTTTATGTATTTAAATTAACACTTATAAGAACACAGTGTAACTCTTCTGGTGCCCGGAGTGTTCCACAGTATGACATTAAACTTATCTTGCCTTTACCGGTGGGCTCCAGTGTCTGCAGCTCTTGTATCTGGGCCTGATAGCATCACCAGCTAGTCTAGTATGTAGAGATAGAGAAGTTTAATGTCATACTGTGGAAAATTTGAGACACAGCTATATCCACATATCCATGAATACTAGCCCTCTACCAGAAAAGTTTACATAGTGCAATTTTAAATCCTCCAGTCAAACAAATATTGTGATTTGAGAATTCATTTCACCTTCTTTGCTTTGCAGAGCATCAGAAATATCTTGTGAAGTGGTTGTTTTTTAGAACATATTTGTCCTTGGGACTAAAAGTAGAAATGGAGTAGAAACAAATATATATATATATATCTGTTACGATTACTGTAGATAGATAGACGCGTAGTCTTGGAAAAGAAAATTGGCCTTGGCTGTACAATTGTTGAAGATAAAAGTTAAATTAATCTCTCAAGAACCATTTCTTGCTTACATAATATTTAGGCTTTTATAAACTACTTTGCATTTGTGTGCTGACCATAGAGCTTTAAAAACACAATTTAATCCACTTTTTTTTTTTTTTTTTTGCTAATGATAGAAAAGAAATGTTACTAATGACTTGTACTAACCTTTTGTAGATCCCAGTTTTTGCTATTGTATTTGCTTACGTAAGTCCTCCTTAAGTTGAATTATCTAGTGTCTTTGCAAACTGTGGTAAGACATGGAGGACGGAAGGAGGACTCAGACACCATCTGTCTCACAACTCCATCCTCAAACCTAAAACCTAAAACTAACAAGAGAACGAAAAGGGCAGCCAGGCAGGTCCAGAGGGGTGAAAGCAGCAATTATGGTCCTGAATGGTTAGGCTAACAAAGGGCCGTCCACACGACAATGTTTTTTGGTCAAAACAGAGAGGTTTGTATTCGTTTTGGCCTCTCGTCCACACGGAGCCGGCGAAAACTGAGTTTTTTGAGAATGGGTTCCAGAGTAGAGAAATCTGAGAACGCCGGAGTCATATTTTCGTGTGGACAAGCAAATCGGAGCTTTTGGAAAACGATGACATCATGAGCCTGTCATCGCCAGGGTCCTCTGATGCAGCAAAACCTGCAGCCCTCCAACTAGCCTTCACAGACCGCAAGAGCATTGCCAAAATGGGCATACTAAAAACGCGCACCATAGATTATGCGCACGGATCAATCGCAAAGACTACATTTACACTGAAATGAATCTAGGTATCACCGTATTAGAAACGATCTGCGTCCAGACATATCATTTCTGTGTTCGCAAGTCTTACCTATTCACACAGCTTTTAGCATATTTGTCTACGTTTTACAGAAACTAAACTTAAAACAGCATGGCTAAATTGCATAAACTAAGCCTAAAAAATACAGCTTGCTATTGTGCGCTGATGCGGTTCAGTTTCTGTCGGACTAAAGGACACGACTCAGTGGAATATATGGGTTCTTTCTGTGACCTTTGTTTAACTTTTGCAAAACAAAACAGCTGTATTTCTGGGATATATCTAAAATAGGCTAATTCTGACTGAAAGGTGTACTAAGTAACTTTTCTGTTGAGGGTCCACAACCTGCTTGCCTCCATGAAGATGTTATTGCTTTACCTGCAATATCCAAACCAAAAACTTAAAACATACAGGTTGCCTCTCCACAGATCTGACCTGTAACTTGCCCCGATGGCTTGTCTCTGAGGAGATAGATAAGTTTATTGCTATACTGATTATTTCATGCAAAGCAATAACCTTTGCAGGTAATGGACTACTACCAGAAAAGTTACACAGTGAACCTTTATGCCTTTAACCTTTAATATTTAAATTAACAATGCACACCTACTGTATATTATGCCATCTGCTCCCTGTCCTTCGCTACCCTTTTTGTTTTTAATATATAATTATTTTAACAGGAAAATATTTTGATTTTAATCCTTGCATACATACAGTGTAGATTCAGATGCGCAGTGTCCTTGGTGTTCTCATGTTTGTCCCTGATTTTGTTTGGTGTTTCTGTCTGTTATTCATATTTTTAACCAGTCAGTTCATGTTTTACAATAACATTTTAAATATGTTTTTTGTTTTAACAGCTCAAACTCACACAGTCCTTCACCGCCCAGCAGCTCCAATGCCTTCAGCCTGATGAGCTCTGAACAGGACAACCCTTCTACTAGTGGCTGCAGGTTTGTACATTTATACAGACCTCCTATTTTATTATCCTCCATTTTATTAAAGGTACCGAATTTTTTGACCACAAGCAAATTTATTTGGACACTGTAGCTCACACGAACACAGAAACTTTTTACTTTTTTACTTCCTTAAAAAAATTTGAAAAACAAAACTAGTTCATTTTGCAATGGTCCAAAGTTATTTCTCACTTTCTTAACTTCTAGCATCCCAATTATTCACCACAATGAGTTTTTAAGCACTCTTCACAACTTCCAGAGACCAGAGCGGAGTTTTGGCATTGCAGTAAGGCCAAACAAAACTTCTTAGTTCATTTGTGGTGAAATGAGGTCACTTTCAATGCTTTCTGCATTGAAAGACATTTGTTATAAAACATCTGTTGTGTGGCAAACAATATTTCTTTATCACATGAAAAAGATAACATAACCGATAGTATAATGGTTTCATCAGTAACAAGGTAATAAAGTGAAATGAGAAACAAATTGCAATGGTAATAATTTAGTACTGAAATGTTCTCTTCAGGTCAGTTATCTGTTTTTTGCTCATTGAATAAACTATTACTTTAGGTACTTACTAAAGACTTAAATTTATATATTTTCTTTAGGAAAAGCTGGCCTCTTTAAAGTAATTTCTCAGAATTATAAGTTACATAAGCATCCTTGGTCTCATCTAATAATGATTTGAATGCACACTGAAACCTAATATGATTGAATAAAACCACTTAATTTAAAATGAGTATCGAAATGATATAACCAACATTTCTACCACAAAAAATAAAAGGCTCTATAAGGTATCTCTAAGCATAATGTCTATTCTAAATAGGAGACTATGATGGCACAAATATATTTCATTTGAATAAATGTAATCTCCTTTTTGCCCATTATAGTTTTTTTAAAAGTTTTTTATGTTTAATTTAATATAAAGGGCAATAAAGTGTGATTTTATTATGAAAATGTATTCCACATTCTTAGACTATGGGCTAATCATTAGGTCTGTCACAATAAATTTTGGAGTGTGATATATTACTGAAAATATATACAATACTATATACTATAGTATATAATATATATAATACTATAATAATACTATATTATTGAAACCAAACCATAAGCAGAATTACCCTCCAAAAAGGATTCTTAATGTACAATATTGTTTAAAAAAAGCAAGCAATAAGCAATAAAATAAATAGCAGTATGCAAGACTATTATCTATAATGAGTCTTAGAAGTTCATAATTCAATAACCTACAGCTCAAATCTAATATTAGTACAAAATAACCCCAATTTTCCCACTACGGAAGGGAAAAAGTACCCATGATAAGTACTGATCCCCAAAAAGTGTTGTTCCATCTATCGTACATTGAGTGATAAGTCGATATATAGTATTATATATGTATAGTAGTATGAGGTCAGGGAGCTCATCTCGTAAAAATGTGAAAAAACACAACTTGTCTGTAGACAGACACCAAAACCAAAAATATACAATAGTACATTGTTATTATCAGAAACAAAGTGTTTCAAGAATCTTATAGCAGGCCCAGACAATTACACGCTCACCTCCCATCACAGTAATATATTGATAGCTCCTCCTGCTTTGCTATTTCTATGTGGTTATGCCTTTGCCTCCAGAATATGACAGCAGTGAGACCTCGTCAATTTAACACGTGTATCTGTCTCATGTTCCTCTGCAGTAGCGAACAGTCAGCCAAGGCTAAGACACAGAAGGAGCTGTTCAAGACCCTCAAGGAGCTGAAGATGCATCTGCTATCGGAAAAGAGGAGCAAAGGAAAATCGACCACCGTAAACACGCTCAAATACGCCCTGCGATGTGTCAAACAGGTGAAAGGTAAGCAGACCACTTAGGATGGCATGCACATGTTTTTGCATGTGCTAATGAAGCACTGAAGAACTGGCATTGCTTATCAGGATTGTGATTGCTGTAGCTCTGTGGATAGCGTTCAATCGGTGGTGGTTATGTCAACTTAACTTTGTGACATTTTTGCTAATCTTTGTCACAAGCTGATTGTGCAGTTTTTTCCTCATTTTTTAAGTTTTTTTTTTTTTTTTTCAATTGCTGTAAAATGTTTGAGAATGCAACTTTAAAATGCAATTGTATTTTTATTTTTACAGCTAATGAGGAGTATTATCAAATGCTGATGATCAATGATAGCCAACCACCAGGATTCGATGTGTCCTCTTATACCATTGAAGAAATCAACAGCATAACATCTGAATATACACTCAAAAACAATGTAAGTACCATATGTTGTGACCATAACCTTTTTAACATGCGTTCCATTCATAAGTCACATATAATACAGCCAATATTAATGATTTTTTATTATCTCTTCTTTGTCATTTTAGGATATTTTCGCTGTGGCAGTCTCGCTTATCACAGGAAAAATTGTGTACATTTCGGAACAGGCGGCGTCCATTTTGAACTGCAAGCGTGAGGTCTTCAACAATGCCAAATTTGTGGAGTTTTTGACCCCTCAGGATGTCAGTGTCTTCTACAGCTTCACCACTCCCTACCGCCTCCCATCCTGGAGCATGTGCACAGGAGCAGGTAAGCCCAATCATATCACGTTATTCAAAAAAAGTGGTCATTTTTGAAAGTGTTTTTGTAAAATACCTGTTGGGGGGATTTCATTTCACGTGTAAATAGCACATGAAACACGTCTCACACCACCTGCTACATAAAAAAACTTATTTCCTATGCATGCTCTGCCCCCGCACCCACATGCCGATACACACCTCACACATATTAAATTAACAGGCCCTTGTTAATCAGGCCGCACAACCTGTCACTTGCAATATGTGCCTGCAATAATATGTCAGGTATATTATTTAGATCTATTTTTGTGGGGGCTTGTTACAGGTAAAAGTTAAATTATACTGGAGAAAATAAACAGTTTGGCTTATTAAAAAAATTAAAAGGAAGAAAATTTGATACAAAAATAAACTTTTGTATACTTTTTTTTTGGTGGGGGGCAAATCACTATCTTGTCTCCTTTGAGATGGCTTTTCCTCGAATGTTCCACAGCATGGCATTAAATGTAGTCATGATGCGTTTATTCAATTACATGTGTCTTTTATTAATACTACTAATATAATAGACGTACATTCTACTGTGAGCGGAGTGGCCTTCCCACAGATATGACTTGGCAGACAAGGCTAATATGGTCAACAGGTGTGAAACCTTTGCCAAATGAATGAAAGCTTAATTCATTTGCTTATCACTTCACACTTTTGGGCAGAGAATGTACTGTGAAAAATATCCAGTCTCCCTAGTCCAGTGACAAACACTTGACTGTGTCTGGTTTTAATTTAGAAGCTCCTTTGAATGCATTTATTTATTTTATTCATCCTCTCTCTTCTCTCTCCCAATCAGAGTCCTCCCCCACAGAGTGCATGCAGGAGAAGTCCTTCTTCTGCCGCATCAGGTGAGCCATGGCTAATTTCCGGTTCAAAATCATGCTGTGCTTCAGGCAACTGGGAGTTGACAGTTTTCCATCTGGAGCTAACCAGCTCAGACTTAAGATCTTTTAAATCTAATTATTCTGAAAATAAGAATGACGTGACAAAATTATGTCCATGAAATTATATATATACAATTTGGAAAATTATAAATAGGCAACAGATCCAAATTAGTCCAATGAGGTTCATTTGGTCTTCTGTTCACCAGTGGTCTTCCTCAGAGTGGTAACGGGATGTTGGTATGACATGTCTGGACAGTTGATTTATACAGCGCCAAAACCTGTGTAAATCAGCTGACCGGACACGCCTCCAGCGTCAATGGGTTAATATATGTAGAGTGAATTGGATCCTTAAACAATAAGCATTAAAACATTGTAAACACAACTTTAAAACACAAGGCTATTCAGACAAACTGCTCTATAGTTGCTTGACAAATCTGTGGCTAGTTAGTGGCTCAGTCAATCACACCAGAGTTTGGGCAGGGCTTCACAGTGTCCCTACCCACATGGCATATTTTTTTTTACTTGGGGTAAACATTTTTACATCTTCCCAGGTTTCTGACTAGCACCTGTAGCATAAAGTCCACATGGGGTAGTATGTTAGGACAATGTATTTACAAAAAAAGGCTTTAATTAACATTGACAGAATATTTAATTATCAGTGATCAGAACATTTATAGAGGTCCAAACTAAGATTTTTCTGTAATATGACAGGATAACATTCTATTACCTAAATAACTGTAGCTTTTTCAGTTTCTCAAATTGCACTTTCTATTATATTACAATACAACGTGCAGCCCTACTCAAGAGCAGAAAAGTATAGCAGTCAGATTTGTATTATGGTTCACAAACTTTAACAAAAATGTATGTTTGTTTTGTTTTTAGTGGGGGTAAGGAGCGAGAAGGGGACCTCCAGTACTATCCTTTTCGAATGACTCCATATCTAATGAAAGTCCAGGATGCAGAGCTGTCTGAGGAACAGTTCTGCTGCCTCCTACTGGCCGAGAGGGTACACTCTGGCTATGAGGGTAAGGAACAAGATTTTTAGGAAGGATGGGAAAAGATCTTGCATGCTATTGATTATTCTATCATGTCTAATCTTGTTTTATTTATGTATGTCATAGGGACAGTGCATATTATTAAACCTCTCTAAATACAGTGTAAATATGCCAGATTAGACCAAAAATGCTAATTTCCATCTGTTAATAATTCTTGTGGGAATTATTTCTGTCCCACTTAGTGCAGTAAATTTAAGCAAAACATATAGTTGTTGTAATTACTAAAAATAATCATTTACTGTCTTTGGTGTCCTATTACTTGATGATTTGGGGGTTAATTCAAAGGCACTGTTGCTGATTTTTACAGTGTTAAAACATTAGCTCCTTTTTTGTAGTGGTCCGAAATTATTCCTCACTTACATTACACATATCACGTACACATAGAAAGTATTATATATTTTCAAGTGCTTTTCTCAGTTTTACTTGGTGCACTAGTCTTATTTCCTGGTTCTCAGACAATAAAAACACTTAGAATTAGATGCAGAGAGTACACAGTCTCATTTTGACGCCAAGAGCTGTACTGGGGCAACACACGTTTAACATTATTAGGCAAAAGAAATTATGTGATGACGAATAATTTGTACTGTTTTATCATAATTAACATTTTTATTTTGTCATTTTGTCCATAGCTCCTCGGATTCCATCAGACAAGAGGATATTTACCACCACTCACACTCCTAACTGTGTGTTCCAGGATGTAGATGAAAGGTCAGTAATTTCATACATTTATCTTGTTTTACTGAATGCATCTATTACTATATTCTGAAAGATGAGATTAATTATCTTCTCCTTGTCTCTCAGGGCTGTTCCTCTGTTGGGTTACCTGCCTCAAGATCTGATTGGGACCCCAGTGCTGCTAAACCTACACCCAAGTGACCGCCCCTTGATGTTGGCAGTGCATAGAAAAAGTAATTGGTTTATTATTATTGATTGAACAATACTCTGTGTACAAAATTTAAATGACTAATTTAGGCCATTTCCAAAAGGTTTTACATTAAAGGTGCGCTCGGTAACTTTTCTGATGGAGGTCTGCTACCTACTTTAACATGTCTAAGTTGCTATGTAGTATATCTAACAATATATTGGAAAGCATGTGTTCCTATTTTGATATAACCAGACCAAGTTACAGGGTGCTCACTTGCTTTTCTTCACAAAGATATATTTAGTTATTTTGTGGAACTTTCCAGGCAAAACAATTACAGCTCCATGGAGACAACAGGTGGCAAACCCTCCATCAGAAAAATTACATAATGTATCTTCAACTACAAGATGTTCACTATTACTCAACATACGGATTTGTGTAGGTCCTTTTGTTCTTTTTATTTCAATATATGTTTTCTTTCAACAGTTTTGCAGTACGCTGGTCAGCCTTTTGACCACTCCTCCATCCGGTTCTGTGCTAGAAATGGTGAATACGTCACTTTAGACACAAGTTGGTCGAGCTTTGTCAATCCTTGGAGCCGTAAAGTCTTTTGTGATTGGAAGGCACAAAGTGAGAATGTAAGTATTAGAGCAATATTTAAATTGCATTGGTTTTAAAAGTCTCTTGAGTGCTAGTATGCTAATTTTGTATTGATTTATTTCAGGGGTCCTGTGAATGAAGATGTCTTTGCAGCTCCTGCTTTCCATGGGGGGAAGATAATGGACTCCGATATACAAGAAATAAGTGAACAAATACACCGGCTCCTATTACAAGTATGTATTTTCTACTAAGTTTGTGTAGGGGTGGTCAAATTTTCTTGAAGCTAGATAGCAATATTTATTTTAACACAATTTATACACATTATCTTTTTATATTACCTTTAAGCGTTAAACTAAGTCTTCTGCTTGTTTTGAAAGTTCACACTTCACTGTGGTTAAGTGACAGTTGGAATTAACCAAACAAGCTTTATGGAGGCTGACCAATGGGAGATGTGGGTGTGGGAACGTGTCTATGTTTGTTTGATTATAGAGCATTAAACAGGGAAATCAATGAATCACAATCTGACAGTTTTACAAAACCTAGCTGTTTTTAAATATTTGTGTGTTTATAGACAGAACAATAAGACGATAACCTTGACATGAGACAAAAAATATAATTACAAATTGATATTTGTAACGCTATATTGACAAAAAACAGTTGTATTTATTTGTATCATCATATCGCCCAGCCCATGTCCATGCTACTCATATGAAATGATCTTCATAAACAAACATTATTATGCTAATGTAATGTAAAACCCAAGTACACTTCACCTTCAGTACCTCATTCTCTTTTCCCCTCTCCAGCCGGTGCACAACATGGGCTCCAGCGGTTATGGAAGCCACGGTAGCAACGGTTCACACGAGCAGCTAGTTAGCATTAGCTCCTCCAGCGAGAGCAATGGGAACCTTGCTGCAGAGAACGCACAAGAGGAGATGGGCAAAGCCAAACCCACACGGACCTTCCAGGAGATCTGCAAAGGGGTGCACATGCTCAAGAACCAGGATACACAAGGTGGCATTCGCTCACCCTGCCCCTCCCCTTTGCCATCCTTATCCAAACCAGAACAGAAGAAAATGTCTGACTGTGAGTACAACAAGACACTTTATTTTATTGTATTTATCTTTGGTATTTAAAAGCTGTGTGTGTTAATTTATAATATTTCAATAATTGTATATGTTCTGGCAGTTGCCTCTCAAAAGAGCCCAGTGGTCCGTTTGAAGGACTCTGCAACCCCTCTCCTGGCCAAAGACAGTACTGCAGCCAGTATGGAGGACTTCACTTACAAAGATCAGACTGTGTGCTCCTATCAGCAGATTAGCTGCTTGGATAGTGTTATCAGGTAGCCAACACTGAAAATAATAACAACATATAAGACATATAATATATCAGATTTTATGATAATACTTAACCTGTGTGCTTTTGTAGATACCTGGAGAGCTGCAACATTCCCATCACTGTGAAGCGGAAGTATCAGTTTCACTCCAACACTACTTCCTCCAACTCTGATGACGATAAGAAAGGGTCAGAGGAGGGCATCCATGTGCCTCAGGATACTACCGCAGGTATGTTTTTGTATTTAAAATTAATCATTTTTTGGGAACACTTGGCTTGAAACTGACTGAGAAATACCGGTACCTACTATATATAGATCCATTGATGCTGGATGCGCAGCCAGGCCTTTCCAACATGAAAGCCCCTAAAAAGCCCCCCTCCGGGGCACCTGCCGTAGTTGGATCTCCTCTGGCCCCTCTCACTCTCCCGAGTAAAGCTGAAAGTGTGGTGTCCATCACCTCCCAGTGCAGCTACAGCAGCACCATAGTACATGTAGGAGACAAGAAGCCTCAGCCAGAGTCCGGTCAGTACTGGTTTTAGTTATAAACAAACTCTGGTTTAATGTTTGTTTAGTCTCTCTGTATTTGTCTAACTTGTGTAAAATGTCTGGTACAGAGATTATTGAGGATGTGGCTGAGAGCCCGGCCCCTCCTGCACAGCTGGTCAGTGTGGTGTCTCCTCCGAGTCAGGAGAAAGAGGCCTATAAGAGGCTGGGTCTGACCAAACAGGTCCTGGCAGCTCACACACAGAAGGAGGAGCAGGCCTTTTTGAACCGCTGCAGAGAACTCCGAGACGCACGCTCCCTCCAGAAGAACTATTCCACATGTGTGCACAAGCAGAGAGGCCCTGCCAATGTTGAAGGTACACACAAGTTTATTTTAGAAAGGTTAAATAAACTAATTTTATCCTTTCATTATAAACAACACTGACTTTTTCTTTTAGAATCCTCTGGTTTAAGGGGAGCTGCTAAACAGGGCAGCACTAGACCAGAGACCGCTGCAAAGAAAGGCAACCGAAACAGGAAGTCTAAGAAGCCACGTATGAAGCATCCTGACTCCTCCGACAGCGCTGTGTCCAACCGCAAACCTCGGCCTCCGCTCCAGGGGCTCAACCAGACCTCGTGGTCCCCATCAGAGGCATCACAGTCTGCGTTCAACGTGTCATACCCCACCATGGTGCCTGCTTACCCCCTGTATCCCCCTGCTGCTGCTGCTGCCCCGCCCCAGGCCCCTCGCCCGGATCCCTCTCTGTCCACAGGGTACAGAGACGGCCAGAGCTCACAGGCCCCGCCCACTGCTGGCCCCTTTCCCGCCCCCATTGTTACACCTGTGGTGGCTTTGGTGCTGCCTAATTACCTCTTCCCTCAGATAGGTCAAATAGGACAGTTAGGGGCTGCTCCCAGACCTGCCTTTTTCCCAGAGCAGACCCAGGCACAGCCGGCCTACCCTACCCAGCAGGCCTTTCAGCCCCCTCAGCCTGCCTACTCCATACAGACTCAACCCGCCTACTCCATACAGACCCAGCCTGCATACTCCATACAGACACAGCCTGCCTATGCGCCACAGCAGTTTCCAGTGCAGACTTTTGCCTCTCAGCAGCCATACCAGGGGGCCCCCGCGCAGTACACTGCCCCACAGCCTTTCCAGGGCACTCAGAACTACACTGCCCAGCAGCCCTTTGCGCCACAGCCTTCATTCCCAGTGCAGACCCCGTTTGTGGGACAGGCTACTTACCCCACTCAGCCGTTCTCCTACAGTCTGACAGCAGACGCCTCTAAAGCAGCCGCAGTGGAGCCCAGAGAGGGGGCAGCATCGCGCTCATCTACACCTGCCTCTGGGGCCCGTGAGCCCACCACATCACCCCCACTGTTTGAGTCCCGGTGCAGCTCTCCTCTGCAGCTCAACCTGCTAAGTATGGAGGAAGGGCAGCGCTCAGTGGAACGGCAGGACAGCACAGCGCCCCCCTCTGGAGCACAGGGGAACAGTGCAATGGGAGCATCAGGGTCAGTGGAGGGTCAGAAGAACCCTACTGCCAAGGCTGAAAGCCACCAACAGGTGAGAGATTAGGTTTAAAAACAATTTATCAGCAATTTATCAGAAGTCTTGTTATACATTTTTAACATGGAAACACTTTGAGTGTTTGAAAGGCTAAGATTAGATTTGGGAGTAGGATTCTTTTCAGAATGCCCATTGTAAACAGCTCCAGGAGGAACATTTGAGAGACTGAAATATGAACTGATAAACTAAAATAAGAATCCCATGAATTTCAGAACATATTTGTAGAGTTCTAAGCTACAGGTTTCTAAAAAGAGACACATTTTTGCTCTTTAAAAATATTCTATCATATAATTAATTGCAGCCTTTGTGATTTAATAATTAAATCCAAATTTGCTTTTAGTTGGTCAGATTGCAATATATCATGCACCCCATAAAGGCACTATATTGATCCCAGTCATTATCATTTAAAATCTTCAATCACTAGTCATACAATTCTGTTTGTTTAGCCTGACCTTGTTTTTCTTGTCTGCCTCAGGTGGAGTCCCCAGGTGACGGTGTACACAGTGATGGGAATTCTTCATCATGTGATCTGCTGGACATGCTTCAGGAGCAGGAGGACTCTCACTCTGGGACAGGCTCGGCCACCTCTGGCTCCATGGGCTCTGGATCCGGCTCTGGTTCCGGTTCTGGTTCAGGCTGCAATGGCTGTGGGACTTCAGCCAGTGGAGCGTCAGGCAGCAGAACAGGTCAATACAAAGTCTTTTCATTTATTTTTTTATCATGGAGTTGCTATTGCTTTCTCTGTAATGTGCCACAGTATAATATTAAACCTGTATAAGATGCCATACGTTGAAACAGTGCAGGCAAAGTAATAACATCACCATGGAAACAAGCAACGGGTGGGCTCTTTACCAGAAAAGTTACACTACATCTTTAAATTATTCAACATTACTGTGACAAGTCATTACAAGTAAATTACGTAAAAACTAGACGCACAACAATACAGACACAGACAAAACATTATATGACAGCAAATCAAAAAAATACCACCAACAAGAGATCAAAAATATATCAACTTTTATTTAGGGATTACCAAATTTTTGTAGTAAAACCAATTATAAGAAAACTTTATAATACATGTTTCACATCAGGATTCAGTTAACTGAAAGTAGAAGTGTAGTTTTAAATAAATCTACAGTTAACATTTGAGATGGTACAGAAATTCTGTCTTAACTAAAACAATCCAGAAAACACAATGTTTAAATATGTCTCATGACCATTAAAATTGTCAATTCTCTTGATCCTACTTTCTTTTATACTGAATTTTAATTGTCTTTACCATTTTTATTTATATTTACAGGAAGTAGCAACACCAGCAAGTATTTTGGCAGCGTAGATTCTCTGGAGCATGACCCGAAGGCCAAAGCCAAAGCAAAATCGCGAGGAGAAGGAAGCTGCGACGCTCAGGGCAAAGTGTCTACTCAGGGCGATGAAGACCATTTCATCAAATACGTTCTACAGGAGCCGCTCTGGCTCCTCATGGCCAACGCAGATGATAAAGTCATGATGACGTATCAAGTCCCATCGAGGTCAGAATCTCACTTGATTATGATTTTAATCTTTCTGCTCCATGACATTCCACAAAAGAAACCGGAATATAACTGTGATACAGAGATGAATACAGACTATACAGGTTGAGTCCAAGATTAACTTCTATACACATTACCGTACTCGAAATGGAGTAGGAGAAATTAAGACTAATTTTAACCCACCCTAGTGTCTGAAAAGACAATCCCTTAACAATGTTCTCACAACAGATTTTAAAATTTTAGAAAAATGAACATCTAACTCATGTTAAATTGTCCCCTCATCAAAAACATCCCTGGAGGTGTTTTTTTGTTTTGTTTATACTCAATACATGCTTCCATTTATCCATTACTGTCTCTTCTGAGCAATCATTTAAGTTGTTTAAAGACTTAATTTACTTGCCTATTGCTCATTCCCATTGCTGACATCAGAGGGTGCTCTATAAACTACACCTCCTACCTAGGTATTAAAGTGAGTTTTCCAAATGCACACATTATTTTAATTTAGAAAATGTAAACTACTTATGCCAAGATGATCGTGTTTCAAAGAGAATTAAATCAACTATGAAAGGGGATGAATTCATAATATTTGTTCTTAAACATTAAAATAAAAAATATATATTAAAAATAAAACAACCAACAGCGGGAAAATGTGTAGTGTTCAGTAGCACTGAACAAAAAGGACAGAAGGACACTGACTCACAGCTACCATAAAGTTAATTTGAAGATGGTTCTCCTTTGGTTCACAGGGACATTCAGAAGGTTTTGCGCGAGGACAAAGAGCGGTTGCGGCACATGCAGAAGAGCCAGCCTCACTTCTCTTCAGAGCAGCGCCGAGAGCTTGTGGAGGAGCACCCTTGGATGAGGAGAGGAGGTCTGCCTGCAGCCATCAATGTTAAGGTAAGGGACCACAGAAATATACATGTATACGGTTTTATACTATTATATTGACATGCACATACAAAAGAGGTGTAAGGAGTAGAGAGTGTATCCTTGCATCTTGCTTCAGTGACTATCAAGTGCCATATACAACAGGGGGCAGTATTGGATGTAAATTACAACTGTAAAGAGAATAGACTCTATTCATACTTAACAGAAGACATTGGAAACATTCGGATGACAAGTCACCAACACGGGGGATGTGATAAATCCATGGATTTCACAACCTGCCAGAGCTTTCCATGGGGGACGTGACTCTAACCGCATCTTCAATGTCACTCAGGGAGCTGGTTGTAACTGTTGATCTGCAAATTATAATGCACAAATTAATAGGCAATTTATAAAAGGAAAAAAGAAAAAAGTGGCATGTAGATGAAGAAAACTGGGCCTTTTTGTCAGTTTTCCCAGATTTTTTTGCCAACAGAGCCCAAAGGAAGTCGTCATCCACATGTTTCCAAACGTCTTCCGGTTTTGTGACGTAAGCGTGAATATAGCCCAAGTTTTTTGTACATATATGCTTATTAGAAATTCCACATTTGAGCCCCACACAGACCATAAACAAACTTAATGTCTAAGGAACACATCTTTAAATGTTCCAAGAAGTAATGAAATAGAAATGATCAGTTATAATTAAAGCATATACATTTTCTGTTTGACTAAAAACTATTGTGGATTTTGTTCATTTAGTTGAATTTAAACTAAAACTTGAATAGACACAAACAAAAAAAAGTCAGTTCTTAATCTTAAATCTTGAAAGACAGAGCTACAATTAAATTAAATACATGGCGATATAAACACTGGCAGCTAATTTGAAAAATTAAAATTGCTCACACTTTCTTACAGACTTGGACACTTAACTTAAACACAATAAATTCAAATGTGTTAAATTCATATTTTCTTGTTCCCATAGGAATGTGTGTACTGTGAGGAGTCAGCAGCAGCTCCCATAGAAGAGGACATGCCCGATATGGACATGGGCGAACTGGGGGAGGAACTGAACCAAGAGACCAGGAACCCCCAGAGCCAATCAGCGGAATCGCAGCCTCAGCCGGACTCTGGCTCATGAACTTATTGCCAGCTGCCAACAGGGGGCGCACGGACCAACTTTGGACCCCCCTCGCTTCTACATGCACAGGTCCACAGTTATTATCACAGACTCAAATGACTGTGGGCCAACCTCTTGATCACTTGAACTTTTAAAAACGTGATTGCGCCGAGGAGGTGTTGCTGGTCGTATCTGTCTGTGTAAAGGGGTCAAAAGCTGCTATTGCTGCAGTTTTTAATTTGTCCACTCGGGGGCAGCATTTCTGTTTTTGCAGCTCTATCCCAACGCAGACAATTTCCCTTCAAAACCACAAGGGCAAAACATTCAGGAGATTATCTTTACAATATGCACGTGCTGTTTGTCTAGACACACTAGTAACTTATGGTATTGTTATAAATATCTATATATTTTATTACAGAAAGTAAGCTTTGCCCTCTAGATGTTGAATTACTTAACCACCGTTTACCATCTGTATTTTTGTCTTGTCCAACCAACAATCAGTTTTATCGTCAGTGTTTCATTGGACAAGAGAAGCCAGGAAGGACTTTTTTTACATCCACTTATCGTATTTTTGAGATTTGGTGGATCTGCGCAAACAGACCCTGCACTGTAACTAGGAGACAATCTTATTTTTTTATATATATATTTAAATTTTATGCAAAGTTCAAATATAAAAGGTAGGTAATTTATGTCAAAGCCAAATTTTGTGAAATGTACTGAATTAAGTTACTGTAGAGATTAAGTTTGCATCGACATCAACCAAAATCTTTTAAAAATGTTATTTGGTATTTAGTTTTTCACTACTGAAAACCAGCATTAACATAAATTTTTATTATTTTTCAAAACTAATTGACAGAACATAAAGTGGCATTCAAACCCAGCAAGGAATTTTCGATATATTAAGCACTAGTCTAGTTTTACAAAAAATTGTTCCTTTAGCACCAGTTTAGGAACGTATCCTACTTCTGTAAAATATTTGACACTTCACCTTTTGTGAAAACATAGATTTAAAATGAGCCAGTCATATGCGCTTTACTCGATGTATTTCTTTTCATTCTTTAACTCTTTTAACAGTTGCAATAACAGAACAAGCGTAGCTCAAGGGGGACTATATTACTCAAGTATGCAGAGTATTTTTGACCTTTTTGTGCATGCGTTTTCAAATATTCATCCCCTTTTTATTTTTACATAACCTTCAGTAAACTGTGATCGGTATTGGCTCTATACGTTGTCAAAGTTGGGATCAACTGAGGTGCTAAGAAGAAGAACTTTCTTTGCGGTGAATGTAACAGACTGGACCAATTGTCTCGCTGGTTTGTTTTGTCATTGTCCAAATCTTTTTTTTTTTTTTTTTTTTTAATTATTATATTATTTCCGTCTGTCCGTGTTTTATGTTTTTATTTTATTTAGTGTGACAGGAGACGAATACTACCTCTAATAACTCTTTTTGGTCCTGTTACTGTGATGGTTGGGTGGTTTTAATAACAGTTTGTATGTGTGGGCAAAACGCAATGGACTGGTCAGTGTACTTTTTGTGATTCCAGTTTGAGATGGGTCGCCTTTTACCATCTTGAGTAGCTATTTCTAGCCGATGTTTCATTTCTAATTCAGTTTCTCATGACAAGCCTCCAAAACTCACCTTGTGTATAGAACGCACACATGGATGTATTGAAACAAGCCGAGGCTAAGCTAACGATGCTGCATTGTTCACGCCTTACAATAGAGGAAATCTGGACTGCCGATTACGATGGGTTGTAGGAAGCACCGATAACTATAAACGCATACACGATCGGCCTGTATTGTTGTATATGGGCGTGTAAATTTGTCTCCTCGCCACTGTACAAGTCTGTGGAAAACTAAAGTATGTGTAAGAGCGCACATGTGTTTTTTTGTAGGTGAGATTCTGTGTTTGAGAACATAAACCAATGTTGTAATAAAACAGAAATGCTTTTAAATGATGTGTTTTTCTGTTTATTCATAGTTACTTCTTTCAAGAGTCAACAATCTAAATGGGCTGGGTTCACTGACCTGTCAGATTGTAGATTTGTTGAGGTTTAAGGTTAATATCTCTAATTACAGGGACTTTCCACATCACACAAAAGCTTGCATGAGGTTCAACTCTCCTGTCAGTATAATTAAGCATTTGTGAAATAATTTTTTCACAATAGTCTTGAAAGTGGTGCCATTATTCAGCTCCAAAGACATAATTGTTGCTGCTTTGGATTGTAAGTCATATTCGTATTGCAGGTTTGTGGACCTAATCCCAAACAAATTATAAATTTCAACATTTGGAGATTTTAAATTGGACCTTTTTTCAACAAACAGTGCTTCTCCCACAGAGTTAAAATTCAAGAACAGCCTGTTATATTACAGTGAAATGGTTGAAACTACAGTGACCATTACATAATTATGGCTTGAAAATAAATCTTGGTTGGCTTGTAAAAACTACCAGTAGTAGCAGTAGTAGTATGGCAGTTGTAGAGGTAGTAGTAGTAGTAGGTAGTATAGTCCCTCACAGACCCTCCTCTCCCTCAGAGACAGTTGGTTTGGGGATCAGGCTGGCTCTCCCCTGGGATCTGCTCCAGAGCCATATGCTCTGATCTTCACCGTTACATCTTGCCGCTCTCACACCAACTGCTGCATGCCTCTGGCCCCTGACCTCTGGAGTCAGAAACTGTCTGTGGGTCCGAAAAGCACCAGAGGAAAACTCCTCCCATGGTGTTATAGTGCACAGTCTGTGCAATTGTTTAATACTGAAAGAAATGTATTCAGGTGATGAGGTCAGAGAATCATCTGTTTCAACGGTCTAGGCAGAATATTCCCACCGTTATTAAGAGCTGGAAATGGTAATGACTTATATAATGCTAGTAAGAAAACAAAGGCTTAAAAGCTATGTAATATAAGTTGGCTTAAGGACTTTTCATGGCTTAAAGTTGTGTATTTTTACATAGAGAACCTGCTAGACATGTTACACCCATATCATGTGAGTGGGATAAGAAATCACACATTTCAATTGTATGAATGCATTTTATGTTGAATGTTGAAAATTATCATTTATATTATTTAAAAATGTATATTTCATTTGACAAACATAGATCCAAAGTGCTAAATGAAGTTCAATATACTGGAATAGAGTTTCTACAGTGAATACATTTCTCATAGTAGCTTCTTCAGTTCTGGTGAACATTTTGTCCAGTTGACAGAATTCAAGCTTCTTTTGCACATAGATAACTGAGAGACTAACAGACCATTAAATATATTTCAATCACTTTTACCTGTGTGACTCAGTCTCTGTGACTCATGCATACTAGTAACAATATGTAAATCACTTCACATTCAGAGGCAATGAGTTTGTTTTTTGTGCTTTATTTTACACACCACAGTCCAAGAAAGTCCAAATTTACACAAAGTGTGAAAATCTTTTTTTTTTTTTTTTTTTGCAGAGCTGTAGTGCAGTACTTTTCAGGCTTAATATTTCGCATGTTACTGTGTCCCCTGATAACCCCAGACTAAACCCTGTGTGGAGGCCCTGTCCCTGAGCCCTTTGTAAACCTGAGCCTGCCTGTATCTCTCTGTGTCTGTGCTTTTGACACTCGTCTCTCGTCAAATGGTCCCGGGCTTTGATCACATGTTCTGTCCTGTTCACATTTCAAAAGAACACTGACGACGCCGTTCACACCCCGGACCAGTACACCCCAACCCCCAGACCCTCCTCTCCTCTGCCCCCTCTGCCCCTCTGCTCCTCTGCGGAGACCGACGCAGGGCTGCTCTATAACTGCACTGCTGGAGGTCCCTTGGCTCATGGAAAACCTGCTTTGTGATGTACAGTACAGCAGGGTAGCCTGAGTGTATGTTAATTCTAAATGGTGTTAATCAAATACAAGTACAAAGTAGTAGTCTAATAAAATGTTTAACCATTTATTTGGGTAAACTACGACTAATAAGAGTAACAGTGGGAGTAACTGGCTACACGCACACTGAAATCTGATTATCATCTGATTTCTGGATTGTTTAGACTTACATGCAAACTGTAAAACTGATGTGAGCGATCAGAAAAGCTGATGCTGTTACATTTCATCTTCCTGTCAAAATCTGATAAAAAATCTGATTTGGTGCATATGTGTGCACGTGTCTGCAGCCACTGTCTGAACTTTAATCTGATTTATGATTTGAAGTTATGATGACAGGAAGGAAAAAAAACAAAACAAAATATTCAATAATGTACAAAATCTGTGATTTTCAGAGCATAGACCACAAAATGAGAGCCCCTAATCATATCTGAAGGAGCAGCCCAATAAATACAAATGTTCAGATCATTTCATATTGTCAACATAAAGCGGGGAGAGAACTTTTACTCAAGTAAGAGTACTGTTACTTCAAGAAAAAAAAAGTGACTCAAGTAATTATAATAATATACCACCCCCCTCTAATATGATAATATACATACATAACTAAAAATATTCAATAAAATGAAATGATATGATATAAATGATAATAGTAGTAGTAGCTGCAGTTATTTAAGCTTCTCGGCTAAATAAAGCTTAAATTAAAATGTACTGATAAAAATTTGGGCACTTGTGAATTTGACATTCAGTGAGGAAGCATAAATGAGGAACCATTTTCTACCTTTCCTTTGTTGTGTATTTGAAATGACTAAATATTTCACATTTCAAACCCACTTCCTCTTCTTTTCGTATTAGTAACAGGTCGTTATTGAGATAGGAAGTTCCGACCTGTCAGGTAGTACTTTTATATGATCTACACTTCCTCCCTGAGCCTTCTGTCCATGATCACATAGTTTTATATGATCTGAGCTTCCTCTGGAGCTGTTGTCCAGGATCAGTCTGGGCTTTGGAGCTGAGGAGGGGCAGTCCCAGACACTTGGTCCACATTCGGAGACAGGATGTCCCACCCCCGTGATGAGCCGTTCACCACATCAGAGGCGAGAGGAGCCACGCGTTAGCTAGGTGTGACTCTTTTAAGTCAGGCGGTAGCTACAACATTTCCTGCCATGTTCTTCGGTACTAAGATCTAAAGTCTAAAATCTCTGAGAATCTAGTTCAGGTTGTGCAGTAGATCAAGATTCAGTTGTCTGAAATTGTTATTGACCTGCTTGAATTTTTTTGGTGAGATGTTAAAGGGTCTAAATTACAGTTATTAAGTCCGTATTGTTTACGCTGTGGAAGTTAATATAAAATAAAAATTGAAAACCATTTTATTTGTCAAAATGTAAATTATTCAGACCCTGATATTCAGTTTACGTTTTTGTAAATGTGCTGAAACTGAGCTATAATTGCCTAGGATGAGATTCAAGCATCATACATAAAATATAGAACTGTAAAATTACCCACAAACGTACAGAAATGCCAATTTATACATATTATAATAGTATGTACAGGTCTTAAAAGAAGTACTAAAATACAAAAAAAAAAAGTGAGACAGCATAGATCTCTGGCACTGTTCCTATCTCGCAATGGTCCCTCAGTGTCCAGAAACAAATTCTTTATCATTGAACCTTCATGGTCCAATAGTAAAAACCTGGCATGTGAAGTTAAGAAGGTATATTATCTTACTTCATATCCCAGATGAAATAAAAATGTGTAATGTCTAAGTGATATGAACTCACTCAATAAAATACTTCATTTCTGTTAAATTTGTCTAGTACATACAGTACATTTACACATATTCCCATAGCTACTACCACACATAATTAACATATCACAGTATAATGCACACTGCAACACCACATCACATGCACACTGATGCACAAGAAGGCAGAACAGTGTTAAGATTAAGCTACATTATTTTATTATATAAAATTGATGCATATTATAATGTAAAACATTTCTAAATAATAAAAAACATTACAACATAAAACAGTCTTTTTTTTAGAAAGCTACAGGTCCGAACAACTAGACCCTTAGAATACAGAATACAATTGACATATTTATATTAATAATAATGAAAGGCAAATGTCTAAAAGAGCTTTATCACACTGAGATTATGATATATACATAATTATTATACAAGAGACAAGAGTATTTTAGGTCATCATTCACCAAACAGTCATTTTACAAAGTGGAAAAATGCAAAAGTCCATGTCATTTTGGGAATTTTACTTCATTTGGAAATATTCCGGAGTCTTGAAGAGTTGAACAGTGCATGGATTTGAATATAATACAAAGTAATAGTTGTTTGGTAGTGGTCAATAGTGGAAGATCCCAAATCATCAGGCATAACATTGTGAATTCTTTCTTTTCTTATTTTTTTTTAGGCATGTGGACGAGTCAAGATCTGGAGAAGTTTGTATTTCAGAAACAGAAATTGTCAAAGCTTGTGTTTGACCAAGTCCAATTTGTGATGTGTACGCAATCGGGTCAGAGAATGTCCAAAAAATGGTACTTCCTTAACAGTTTGTAGTTCCTGAACAGACTTTAGTGGTCAGTTAGTATCCAAAATGATCCATGGTTGGAAACTTGTGTCAATAGAACTGAAGAATTTCTTGTCCAATCCAACTATAGCTCAAATGGTTGAAGAAAAGTTGTCGAAATACACCTTGGATGTATCGAGTTTATCCAGCAGACAGATAATATTTGAAGTATGATTACGTTGTATAACTTTTCTGGTGGAAGGTCCGTCAAAAGCTTTTCTCTGCGGAGGTGTTATTGCTTTGTCCGGAATGTTTCACAGTATGGTTTTAAATGTTTATATCTTCACGGAGACCAGGACAAACTAAGTTACAGTCAGATCTGTTGAGAGGCGACGCCGCTCACAGTCAGAATGTTTGTTTTTTTAGATATTTTTGAGAGATAAAACCACTTGTAATTGAATAAATGTAAAAAGTAGAGCTGTTAATGTCATACTTTGGAACATTCCAGGCGGAGCAATGACATCTCCATGGAAACAAGCAGGTGGAGGACTCCCAGCCAAGAAGTTACACGATGTTACGCCCGATTAGTCATAATGTTACACCTGATCTGTGAATGTACTGCAGTTTTAGTAGTCCGTAGTAGCGTCCCAACTTCCGGGTTTAGTCCATATTTTCCGATTTCTTCACCAAGGCCTCCACATTGACCACGGGTAGGCGACTGTCGGCTGGCCCTCCCGACCCGCTATGCTTTCCGTAGAGCTCTGGTTATGCTCGCTGTCTGTCTCATCCAGATCGGAGCAAAGATCTTCACTGGAAATCGTGGAGGGAGCCGGGGACAGAGCCGACACCGCGCTCCTTCCTCCCGGAGAAGCCAGCATGGATGAGCAAATGGAGTCTCCGCTCGTTCCGTTGGCCCAAGTACTCCCGGTGCCGCTGCTGCCGCTGCTGCTGCTGCTGTTGTGCGTGTCCGATATGAGGTCCATCACGTCTTGCAGGTGGTCTTCGTTGAGGGGCATGCACTCCAAAAGGTGGTTGAGGAGTTCCGCTGCTACCGTCGCGTCGATCCCCGGACAGCTGGACACGAACATGTGGACTTCGTGCATGCACTGGATGTAACCGGCTGCAAAACGCTCGCTCGCTTCTCTGTTCATCCTCTCAGACTCTGTGGAAGATGAAAATGTGAAAGTAATAAGTCAATATCAACTAACAGTAATCAGTAATCTCTCATTTGTCCAGGAGCGACTCGTGGTAGAAAAGGTAATGTTATCTGAACAACATTTTGATGGCAATTGGACGTCTGTGCTCTTGTAAAATGATCAAAAATAAAGAGACAGCTGATACAGTGTGCAGATCTACTCAAACATCTTCTTGGATAACACCAATGAAATCAAAATTCACTGGATTTATCTTGCAATGTCTTCAAGTTGTGGGGTAAATGCTTTGACCATTCAACCATATTCTATAAGAGAAACAGGTGAAATGATTTAGAAAACGCATAAAATTGGAAAATACTATAAAAGCTGATAAAAGTAATAGCCCTCTTCTAAGGCACGGATACCAAATCGCAACTGTAAATCAGTATTTTTCAAATCTAGAATCAAGTACAAAATCTGTCACGCAGCGATGGCACTGAACCACTAACACACATTAACAAACTGCATGATACAGACTAAAACAAAGCATTCTTTTGTCTAATTAGTAGTGTCAAACCCAAAATGGAAGGCCATTGAGTGTACATTTTGTGCCAGTACCATGATGCTGGCAAGGGCTGGCAAGGGCACTCGCCTACACTAAAACCAATGTCAAATCTGACAGAAGTACTGCTGGTGTATGAATAATTTAAACTAAAGCTTATTGACTTTTACAATAAATCAATATAATTCATGAACAAACCTTGATTTCTGTTTTTCAAAATGTCCTCAACCTTCTTCACTGTGAGCTCCAGCACCTCTGCGTTCTCCATTTTGGCGTGAAACTGTGAAGAAATAAAAAAATAAGGTTGAAACATTCAGACAAATGCAGTTAAAGATGCAAATGCAGTAAGGGGGCACTGTACTCACGTCTGTGTCTGCCAGTAGACCGCGTAGCTCTTGCAAACTCTCATTGATGCGAGCTCTCCTCTTCTTTTCCACCAGAGGTTTTCTAATCTGCAGGATCAAAAACGCAAACGATTATAAATGACAGTAGGAAGCTCATTCAAAACGCGTCTCTAGTCCGTCCGTGTAGTTTTGCTGCAGGAGGATGTAGGCTAAGCTCCCGGTGCTGGTGACAAGTGCCAGTAGCCATTACTCCAAAGCGACATTGTTCCCTGATCCAAAGCCCGTACCTTTCTGTCGGATTTCTGGATTCCGAAAAACGAATCGTCCTCGTCCGTCCCGACTGGGTTCTTGCTGGGCCGAGCCGAGGGTGCCATGATGGTCCGCGTTCGTCTCCCAAAACTGCCGATCCCTTTGGGGCGGTCAACGAGGGGCAGCTGGCAAACGGAAAGGAAGCAAAGCTGTAGGCGCCTGTGTTTATTGTGCGATGTTAGTGAGACGTGCTGCTAGCGCTGAGTGGCTGTTGTTAGTATTTATAGTGGCTTATTAACATGTGAATAGGGGCAGAGCCGCTCGCGCTGGGGGACAACACGGCGCACACGGCAGCAGCCAATGAATGCGCGCTGTCTTTGTCTACGGCCCGGGCTGGTGTGCGCCCGAGGAGCTGCACCAGCGTTAATGACGAGCTGTTGTGGTTTAAGGGAACGGCCGCGCTGTTTTTACAACCGAGGAGCGCGTTACAGTAAACCCCTCCAGAGTAAATCCCACCACCAAACAAACCGTGTCTTTAAAGAGCATTTGATCTTAAAAAACGGTACTGCCTAAAGGCCATGGTATAGACACGTGCACACAAACTGTGTTAGAAAATGATGAGCACTAATGCACATTTATTAGGATACTTATTTTATTGCTATTTGAGTCGCAGCTCTGGCTGACACATTTTTTTTTTTTACAGATAATTGATTATTGATGCCACTTTTGTTGATTTGCCATTTTGGCTGCACATATTATTGAGCTGAACATGCAGATATATTCCAGCAGCCTGAGCTTCTTGCTCCTCTGTCCAATTTGAGTCCAGTGCTCTACAGACTAACGCTTTGGCGGATGTAACGCGATGCCATCAGTTGGCAGCTGCTGCTGCGGCCCCTCGGCCCAAACTGAATCAGCCGGGGGAATTAAGGGCCCTTGTCCAAAGAAAGCGACAGGTGTTGCCCTACGCCTCGTTTGTTCTCCTCGTTCTTTGGTGACTTGTGTTTTGAGTGTGGCTGCATTCTCCCGTGTCCTGTGCTGAGGAGACTTCATTAAACCTGGTGTTTTTGCCTCTACTCTTGAGTTTAGATTTGATAATTTGACGCAAATAACAAAAGCCTAAATGAGCCCTACTGCTCCCCGCTTAATGAGACTGCAGAGGCGCTCGTTCACAGCACAATGTCTATTTGTTTATGTCCAATAACAGCGCAGCCCCTTATGTTGTACGTTGCATTATTATGCAAATTTGACTCCCATTAGTCGCGCGACTCAGATATGTTCAGTCCTGCACAACCAGGTACAGTTTTTACGCACAATATGTTGAGTTTTACGCAGTAATATCACCCATAGACTCAACTGCCACAAACCCGCATGAAGCAGGCAGTGTATGAGGGCTTTGTTGTACAGGCCAGTGCGAGTTGGCAGCTCGCCACAGTCTCACTTCTCGTGTTTAATGGTGCGCACTGTGCAGGAGCAGCTGTCTCGCCTCGCCTTTGTGTGAGCGAACCCCCTCTCCTCTGCGCGGCCCGGCGCCTCTCATAACGGACATAATAGCCCGGGAAAGAGCCATATGTACTGTGACAGTTAAAAACCACTGATAAATTGACTTTCTTTTATTCAAATTGTCCCAATTGAGTGTAATTTTATATTCTTTGCTCAAAAATTCGAAAAAGCAGTATAAGTCCTCGTGAGACTTCTATAACAAAGTAGTCTGTATGCCTAAAAATTCACAAAAGTCCAGAGCTACTTTAACGCTAGGGGGCGCTTAAAGCCATTCTGCCAAGTTCAACACTGCTGAGGCCCCCACGGGGATTTAACAAATAACCTGTGTCTCAGTCATACATGTGGTGTCCTTATGTACAGTCAGTGGTGATGCTTACTTGTACTAATCAAATTGTTACCTTAGTCAATGTGACTTCAGAGTAGCTCTTGACAATAGGTTACCAGAGGCAAGAAACTGTTGTTGTGTCCTTGGGCAAGACACTTAGCCATAGACTTAGACAGGCTTTATTGATCCACAAGGGAAATTACTTGGACACTTCAACCGCATTGCCTTGTATGAATGTAGTGTCTGTGTGTGTTGGTGGTGGTCGGAGAAACAGATGGCGCAGATTGGCTTCCATCGGCCCCAGGGCAACTGTGGCTACTATAGTATCTTACCACCACCGAGTGAGGAGTAAATGAACAATGCAGTGTAAAGCTATGTTATAATGAATTATCTGCAAAACAAACAACATCACATGGCATTGCAGTATAATATTCAGAATATTTATTGTTCTTGGTTAATATAAAGAAACAGAAAGGGAAACAGCTGTATGTTACATGCAAGTACACTAAAAATAAAGTTAAGCCTTATTATAATCAATAAATAAAGATGTTAATACAATAAATAGATGAAAGATTAATAAAAGCCTTCTATAAAGCAGGCTACAATGGAGTCGACTTCTGAGGGAAGTACAGCGAGGAGGTCTCACGTCTTTACAACACCAGAAATAGTCTGTTTTTACATGATGCCATGGAGGAAATCAGGACAATGCACATTTTTAATATCAGTTATTTGAATTACTTAACTATCAATATTAAAGGTGCACTATGTGACTTTTGAGATGGCATGGTCTTATCTGCTTGTCTCCATGGAGATGTTGTTTTGCCTGAAATGTTCTATAGTATGAAATTACAGGTGTTTTCATTGTTCAAGAGACCCTAAAAAACGTGCATTCTAACTGTGGTTGGGCTCGCCTTTCCACAGATCTTGACCTGCTTGTTTCCATGGAGATAGATAAGTTCAATGCCATACTGAGATAATCTTCTAGAAAAGTTACACTGTGCACCTTCATATATTTTGAATCTAGCAAAAAGCCAATAATATAGGCCAGAGTTTATAATATTCTGAAAGTTGTTGGAAAAGTATTTCATTCAGCTCTGTACATCATGTAAAAACAGTCTATTTCTAACCATCAATGGAGCACAAACCGCACCAAGAGTTTCATAGGAACAACATATCTATAAGATACATATGAGAGGATAGTCTAACAAAACAGATATCATTAAATTATCCACCGCGCGTTCACCAGGGCCGCCACATCTCCAGCACGCCCCCAATATGAGGGCTCTGAACCTGGGCACTTGTTGGAGGGCTGGGGTGGTCTGCTCTGGATGGTGAACCTGGCAGTATTTGGGCACGACTTGGGCTGCTGATTGGAGGAGGGAGACTGGCACCAGCAGGGGGCAGTGGTTCATCTCCAGATCTGGGCAGGGATTTGAGGAGATGGTTGAGAAGTCTGGACCCGAGATTTTTGTCCATCCAGTCGCAGGTGAGGAGCATGTTATGGACCTCATGCATGCACTGGATGTACCCAGTGCTGTACCTCTGCTGTGCCTCCAGGCCTACCAGGGGATCTGCAGAGAGGACAGGAGAAGTACCGTTAACAATGTAGCACTCTGACCTCTAGTGGTGATGATAAATTACAACCACCCATGTTGGATTATTGTTCTAATCATGGGTTTAAGCTTCATCTTGTAATTATGCACCATTTTAAAATCAATGTTAAACCCATGAATTGGTCAATAACTGTAATGTTTACAATGCTATTAAAACAATTACAATGTTAAGGAAAGGTGCTTAAATGAAATCCCAAACAATGAATAACACACTATAAATTTTTACTTAAAATAAACAATACAATTAAATTCATATTTCTGTACATAATATAAAAATGTATAAAACTGCAACACTGACATTTTGAAGAAATATGGAAATACATAGGCTTGTGTGCTCTATCTTACACACTACAAGTCACCATTCACTCACAAGTCTAATGATGCAAAGATGCTGCCCTCTGCTGGCCATTTAGTGCAATGACAAGCAGTGGTGACCCATCTTTTGTTCGGTGTTGGGGGTTGGACCCACGTGTTCGAGTGTTGTGGAAGACATGTGGATAGTTTTTGTCTCCCTAACATCTACAGACTAATACAAAATAATTCATACGAGACTGCGAAATAATACCAAACAGTAGCTTAACTATAAGATAACACAAGATCAGAGTTAAACGTTTTTATCTTTTACTCTTCTTACCACTGAGTTTGCTCTTCTGTATGTTTTGCAGGTGTTTCACAGTCATCTCGAGAATATCCGCCTTTTCCAGTTTAGACTGCTGCAAAGTGGTAACAGATAACGTTAACTTTTCGCCCACATGTAACAGGTGTCATTTAGACACGCGGAAAACACTCACATCGAGTCTGAACGCTCCAATCACCGTCTCTTTGAGCTGATCCAAACAGTTATTTATCCTCTCGCGCCTCTTTCTTTCAATGAGTGGTTTCCGAAGCTGTGGATAAGAAAGTTACGCACGTTAAAGTAGCAAAAGCTCGATGGATTATTGGTCGTTCTGTGGGTCCCAAATGGAAAAGTATGGCTCATATCCCGTGTATTTTACCTTTCTATCCTCTTTGGCATTGGGGTGTTTTCCCACGTTGTGTCCCACGGATGAGGCAGTCATATCTTCCCTCTGAGGCTCGTGCGTAAAAAGTGAAACTTCTGTGGTTTGCGTGCGTCTCTAGGGCTCACGGCGCGGCACGGTCCCCGTATTTATAGGGCACAATTAGCATGTGAATGGTCAAGCGCTTTGGCTGTGCGATTTTCCCACACAAGAGGTCCCATCAGTCAAGACTGACAGGTCACTGGCTCCATTCAATAAATGCGGACCCCAGCTCAGAGAGAAAGAAACATCTCAAGCGACAGATGTCCGGCCTGAAACCACAGTGTCCCCTCTCCGCCCTTCGCCCGCAACTGAAAACTGCAGTTTCCTTCTTCAGAATAGGAGCGTATTACCGCGCTGTACTGACACACGGAGCCCCCTTGGTTAACACGAGCAATACCTGCTAAGGGGCTGGACTGTTTCCACCATAAAAAGGATCACAGTGGCTATAGACCAAATCATATGGCTGTAAAATACGCCTGAATATGTAATAGGCTTATAGGTTCATTCAAATATACACACACGTTTTTGTTTGTTTAGTAATGTAACAGGTGTTTTTTCTTTTTCTCCCCCTAATTTCAATTAAAAAAGAAGCCAACCAATAACCACAGTCATTTAGAATATTAGGCCGTGTAGTCCAGCGCTGCCTTATGGCCACTTGATTCAAGACATATACCCTCAGGGAGTACAGATACTAATACTACCCGTTTAGCATTCACAAAGTGTATTTGCTTTCCCTTTGATCGTGCGTATTGATCTGCACGAGTGGACATCTGCTTGTAGCTGTTAGCAGCAGATGTAAGCTTGACCAGATGTCCCTTTACCTTTGGCCAGGCCCACGCTGTTTCAGAGCCACGCGACTGCCAGGCGAGCGCCGGGGCGTGGGAACAGAGGCCCCACAAAAGCCCATTCATCTAAACCTAATCAGCGCGAGGAGAACGGCAACCCTGAGAGCGGTGGGACGGTCCGGTCACTGGGACTCTGGCTGGTGCCCATTGCCTCAGGTGCTTGAGGAGGCGATCCCGGCGTGGTGCACTGAGCTTAACTTGTAATGGTCCAGTCACTTTTTTCTTTTCTTTTCTTTTCTTTTCTAAATAAGCTTCAGCTGCAGAAATGACCCTATAAATCATTTTACGCCCCCTATTGGCAAATACTGGAGTGACACTTTTGAGAGTGAAATGCCTAAATTCAACAGGTACTTTTCAGCAAACCAAGGCTTGTAGCATAGATAGTACTTTAAACAAAATAAACAAACAAACAAATAAATAAATAAATAAAAGGCCTGTTTTGTATTTGGTTACTTCTACCACTGAAGAAAACAGCAAAGTGGCACATTTATCCAATCCATATACAGTCAGTGATGTAAATGTTGGTATTGGTAGTTTTCAGGTTTTAATTTGGTAATTTCATGCTCAGATGGCAGATCCTTTCATTATTTATTACATAATATTTTCAATAGAACATAGGTAAAGTAGATAATATTCCCAACAGCTGTACAACAACTCTCCTTATGTAATGGATAACCCTATGTCCTGTCAGTCATCATAACATTGCTGCACTGTCTTCTTATAACCTCTTGTATAAATTTTATTTTATTACTTATCATTCTATTTTATTTTACATTTACATATACATTTATATAACTACGTCTTATTTGACACCAGTCTCTTGCTATTTTTTGTGTGACTTATTTAGAATTTATTATTACCATTTATATTATTTACTCTTTGTTATTGTATTATATTGTGATGTGTGAGCTACTGTGTCCAAATAATTTCCTTTCTGGATCAATAAAGTTTGTCTAAGTCTATCTAAGTCTAAGTTAATTCCCAAAGTGAGACATTCTTTTAGTGATTATACTGCCCTACTCATTTGTTGCCTATTACAACACAAATCAGCATTTTAATAATATTTATATAACCTGCCCCCATCTGTATAAAACATTACTGGCAGTTAGGATATTGTGTTGTCATCTGAAACATACCCAGTCAGCATAACAGAAGCGGGAGACAATAGTTAACAAAGCACTATCTTGCAGTTGAAGTATAGCTCCCTCTGGTGGACAAGTGGAAGAACACGTTGCTGTTGCAGGTGATGTCCGGAGAGGGCGCTGCACGCTGCTGTACTGCCTCGCACTGAGCCTCCACCGCTGCCAGCAGACTGCTCCTGTCTGCTCTCAAACAACTCGGAAACTGGGACCGTGCAATTAACTTAACCACCGACCAGGGGAGGCCACGCACCGAGGAGATCAAGACCGTTTCAGCTGCAAACACCACCGGAGAAACAGTTCATCCAAATCAGGAGTTGCTGGTGGAAACGCCATATTAAAG